GAGCACAGGCGCCAAGTGATGAGCCTCAGTCACGAATATTTATGTGGAAAGAGCCCAACTGTGCCCCTCAAGGTGCACAGTCAATTTTCACCAGTCACGTTGGCGCTAGAGAAATTTCATTGGCAGATATCGTTCATTCGTTGATCTATCCCGGCCTGGCCGATCTATATTCGCATCCTAGATTGTGGAGGATGCGACTACCTCATCACAATACGAACAGCCAACAGTTTTGATGAACCTCTGCTACACACAACCGGAGATCTCAAATTGAAATTCAAAGAAGGTTTCTCTCGGCTTTTGGCTTAATACCGCAACATGGTCTCCATGAGTCGGATCCTAATGCAGCTTGCTCGCTGCTATCACCAACCGATCCATTCCGGCGGGTTCTTGGTCGCCTGCGCAGGATAACATTGGGGCCACGATATGGAGATTACCTCTTGGGGGCCTTTCTGCGTGGCATTGCAATTATCTATGATCTCTTGGGGGGATATGTAAGACAACCGATTTGAGCTTGGATGAGCTTCTAGTTTCCGTTCGGGCCGCCACGTTGATCCTGTGGTTCATGCTCATGCTACCACACTTTACAGGCCACACGCAGACGGCTGGTAACGCCATACAGGCAAAGAACTCTACGATTCGAATTTTTTGATTCGTGAATATCCGGGGAAACTTGTGAAGGGGCTGACCGTGCCCAGGCTCAATTTGAGAAGTGCCGCGCCACCCCCTTCTCTACTGGCTGTTGGACTGGCCCCCGAAAACATGGGGCTTATCCACTATACAGACTGTGGCAGGTAGGATTGTTCCTTGATGGAAGGGCAGTCAGATAGGGTACGTCATTCCCTTGATCTTCTGCCTGGCCCGTCGTGTATGTTGTTGGTTCCGTCGTGCGGTTTCATTCGCCGAAACGAAGCTCAGTTGGCCACTCAGTCCCCGGAAATGAACTTCGACATTGTATGGTCGAATTGCTCATCGGCAGCACCGAAACTTTAATGAGAAATGGTGGTGGTCTGCCCTGATCGACGGTTCGACGGACATACCCAATGCCGGTGTGCACAGAACCTAGATCACCGCGGTGTAGTCCGCTGGATACCCGGGGGCCCTCTCTGATGATCCACATAAACGCCAACATTTTGCTCTGTTGGTTCTTAATGATGTCCCGGTCTACCACATCTGGGCCATTGTGTGCCTTGTCCACCCTCTACCTTCGAATGCCATGCTCATTTCGGGAGTGACTACTAAGTCATTAGATGCATATGGCGCATCAATCATCCCCCACAGCGGCAGTGAATGCGCAAGATATCACAGTCTGGGATGAAGGCCATTTCATTTGCTGCGAGCTCCACGTCTCGGCACAGTCATTATATCTAGATGTCTGCTCGGAACCTTGTGATATAAAGTGGCCTTGATCGCCTGCTGTTTTGGTTTTCATCAACACAACCACCACAATATCAGCCTTGATTGCATTTTTCAAACTTCTTCTTTCGGGAAAACACGTTACTCGCCCTCTCAAAATGTGTTCTGTCTACATCTTTCTATACGACTGCGGCTGTTGCCTACGTGAGGGAGGCGTTGTTCACTGTGCTAAGGTTGGAACTCCATCTTGCCAGGGAGTGAAGGAGCACTTTCGCCGTCGAGATGGTTACAAATGCCCAGCACACGGTGGCTAAACGGTCCTGCACAAGGTCAGTGCCGCAAATCAAAATTATACTTGACCTCTCCCTCAATTGCGGGTTGTTAACAGATCATTTCATTCAGAGACCTGGGCCATAATTTTGCTACTTCAACAATGCCCTTCGTTGCTGGCCCTGGTCTTTCCCAGCCATAACTCGCTGCATGCATGTCAAAAGGAGGATGAGATGTTTTTTCTCCTGTACCTTATCATACCAATGTATGGGCTAGGAGGCACTTTTTGCGATGGAACTCGTTACTTTTCCTGCTGAGCCCACAGCTCGGTTTTTTGCGTTGATCTTTTACCCACTGTTGATCTCCTAGCTTCTTTGGCAGCCTGAGCGTTCTCCCCGCAACGGCTTAATCATTTATCAGACTACAATACTTTTTTACGCTCATAGTCCGATGGACCGATCTTCGGTGCACCACACATCCTATTATTAAGTCTTTCAATAAAAAGTAGTGGTAGATCAGCGTCTGTAGCCCATATAATTTACACCCAATCTACAGATAACAAGCATCTCAAATCTCCCTTCACTCTACATGTCAGGATTTCTTCTATTTCCATAGTAACACAGCAAATATGTCATAGTCTTCTACATCTATAAGCGCACCGGCAAATTCTAGCCAAAGAACAAGTTACCGTACTCGTTTTTCGCGAGCGGTGTTCGGTATGAGCACTGACACAAGCAAGGAACACTCCAGAAGCATCAAGAGTGGGGAAGATCAAGAGGAGCCTTGTCATATCTTGCGAGCTAGCGAATGATAGATTCACATAGGTCTACGAAATTAAACGAATAGATCTACAGCAATAATCGCGGCCAGCATTAGGCGATAGGCTGAGAGCCGCAGATAGAAATCGTGTGCATCGCATTAGACCTGCATGGCGCTCAAATCAGCTGATTCGAACCGTTTGGATACTGGACCTCGATCTTATGTTTGGCGCTCTCTACAGATCAAGGCTCCCTCGATCCCTCGATTTTTGAAGAATGATGGAAAATGCAGCATGCAGCCAGCAAGTGCCTCAAGTTAGCTAACCTCATCGAAGTGCAACCTGGAAAAGTAAAGATAACAGGCACGCAATGAGAGACAATGATGCTTTGGATTAGCTGGAAACTCGGAGTGACCGTTTCGAGGATCCCAACATGTTGATAGTTCACGCGCCTGTGCATGCTATCACATTCCTTGGCCCTATCGGCCGGGGTCAGTAGCGCCTCGGAGCATAGACTCCATCGGACATATCGGGTTGATTTTCGTGATAGACTCTCAGATTCTCAACATCGGATCGTTTTCCATTACATCATGTCATTATCTTTTCGTAGATTATGTAGACGCCAAAATAGACATGAAAGTGAGCTTCGAGCTGGGCGATCTTGGATGTCATAATCACGTGACTGGACGGTAACAGGGCATCGTGATAGCTCCCTATTGCAACATTTAGATATTGGAACAACTCTAGTCCATCTGCGACGCACATGTAATGTCCATCGAAGTCGACTGGGCAAGGGCCACCTCCGGCCCGGATGGAGAAGCTCTAGCGGAGCGCATCCGCTCCTTTGTCCACGACAAGTTCCAACAGGTTCCCTTACCACGCTTCATTCGGTCCGTCCAATGCCACGCCTTCGAATTCGGGACGATCGGACCAGACCTTGAGATCAAAGACTTCTGTGAACCATTCTCCGACTTCTACGAGGAAGACGATGACGATACGTCTGCGACGTCGGAGGAATGTATCGCTGAACAATGGTCGGGACGCCATTCGGACTCCGCATACGACGACGACGTTCCGCATAACCTCCACCACCATCCCTACCCCGGCGAGGCGTTTCAACCCTCTGCACTACGATCCCCACTGCCCCTGGGTGACCACATCAACTCACATTTCCTACCTCGCGCCGGCACCCCCGGTATTCCCGGAGGCACGTCGACTCTCGGGTATCATTTGATGTCCCTGGGTGGTCTTTCGGGAACTCAGACTCCGCTCGCAGCTGTAGCGGGCGGGACACCGTTCGCCAGCAGCTGGTCAGATTCTGGTTTGGGCCATGGAGGGAGGCCACACCGTCCCTCTCGCCCGAGTGGCCTCCAGCACCGAGCAGACGCAGACATCGACACCACAAACTCGGCGTCGCGGCCGTCCACCGCCAACACAATACCCTCACGCCCCTCGGCGGGCCATACTGGCAGTAGCGGATCAAATCGCAATAGTGGTGATCCAGCCGATATACCGCAGCCATCCAGAGAACCCATCATCGACCCCTCCGCTCCGATCCCGCCGCGGATGCGGGAGCGTCGTCCAGAGGATTTCCAAATTCTATGCCACGCCAAATACGCCGGTGATGTCCGATTATCCTTGACAGCGGAGATCTTGCTCGATTACCCGATGCCAAGCTTTGTCGGACTGCCGCTGAAACTCAACGTCACCGGTATTACCTTTGACGGCGTGGCGGTGGTTGCCTATATCCGTAAACGCGTTCATTTCTGCTTCTTATCACCTGAAGATGCCGATGCGCTGCTTGGTTCGGAAGGACAGCCCCAGAGCAGCCAACAGCCTAGTGAGGATGGCCGGCCGCGGTCTGGCGGGGATCAGAAACGACAGGGTGGATTGTTGCAGGAGATTAGGGTGGACAGTGAGATTGGCCGTAAGGAAGACGGTAAGCAGGTCCTCAAGAATGTGGGAAAGGTGGAGCGCTTTGTTCTTGCTCAGGTGCGTCGCATCTTCGAGGAAGAGCTGGTGTACCCTAGCTTCTGGACATTCCTCATTTAAAGGTCGAAGAACGGAGTACTCTCCCCGACCTGACACTAGACAATATCTGTACATTTACGAAGATTTTATGAATCTCATATAGATGAATTTATGACCCGAGAATAAAGCCATATCTGCATAATGCAAGTTGATCCTGAACCCAAGATATAATCATCGCGCATAGACTAGCAGACTAGCAGGACGGGCGCTTCCAGAACAAGCGCTATGAATAGTGACTCCATTCTTTAAACATGTGGGAAAATCTTATCAATGGTATGGACGATGCAACAGCACGGCTTCTTCAGGGCTAATTTCCGCAGGTGGTGCCCCTCAACGTAGCAGAAGGGTCTTAGTAATGTCGGGAGAAATATTGATGAATTTGCTTCAAGTTCAATGTATCAGGCAGGAGCAATATCAAGTGCGGGATTGAGTTGATGACGAGCATATTTGGCTTGGGTTACCGAATGACGGATATACGGCACCCGCGAAGGATAACCCGAGTGCTGGCACTCAGCAATTCAGGAAGAAGCTGACGTCGCACAAGACAGCCGAGACCGGTCTCGAGGACCAGGAATCCTAGGAGGACATTTTACAGGTCCTTCTTCTCGCCCTTCTCGCTCTTGCCAGAGGAGACCTCATCACCGAGCTTGTGGTATTCGCGGGTCAGGCCCTCGCACTGCTTCTTGAGAGTCTCGATATCACGTTCCTTCTCCGCCAGCTGCTTCTTCAGAGAGCCAATCTCACCAACCGAGCCAGCCTCGGCGAGGCGGGCAGAGTCCTTACCGCCGGCCTTCTTGTCACCCTCGAGCAGCTTAACACGGTCCTCAAGGCGAAGAACCTCCAGAATCATGATGTAGGTGCGGTTGAGAATCAGGGAGAGGAAGAGAGTGAAGCCGCACAGGTACATGTTACGCTGCGAGTAGAACTTGCGGGCCTGCACCTCCATACGGTCGACACCAAGGTGGGCAGCGCTATCAAGAAGAATCAGTGAGCGGTGCACATAGCTGCAAGACATGATTTGTAACAAACGTACCCAATCGAAGTGCCATCCTTGGAGAAGGAAGCCAGCTCCTGCTGCACCCGGTAGACACGGTTGACGCTGTCAATGAACAGGATGAGAATGAAGATGAATGTAATCTAGATTTGGTGTTAGCTAAAGCGAAAGTTCATCTTCTATTTGAGGGGTCTGCCGTACCTTCAAGCCATACTGTAGTTTTGCTATGATCGGACTTTCGGAAATGAAAGCGAAGAGCTTTCGCTTGATGGTGAACGGCAGAGGGACGATGAGGGCCAAGAAGACCGCCATCTCGAACACCAAGAGAAGGAATACCTAATTGAGAATTTAGTTGTCAGTCTCCATATCCGGCGAAATGGTGTTCCCAAAGACATTGGAGCGGGCTCTTTGGCGAGGTGGCCGATCGAGCCAGCTAGGCTGCAACGACACCCGGCGCTCCATCGGCCTGGGCGCAACAAAGGGAACTCTTGAGATATCAGAAGTTGAACATACAAGACTGTAGTAAAGAGTCATCTTGTCGACGTTTATTTGAGTAGCACAAGTTGCGGGATGAGAGGTTCGTGCTTGTCAAAAGGGGGTGGGGGTTGGGTCGGGAGCTTCGTGTAAGCTGGCTTGAGTGTAAACAAACAGCAGCAGTAAGATTGATCCAAGAGGCAAGGAGCTAGAAAACAAAAAGTAAGAGTACCAAGAGGTAGAAGTGTTCAAATCGGGCAGTAGATGGAATTGGAAAACCAGCTGTCGGATGTACAGGTTCGAGGTGGTCTTTTATGGGGAACTTTTCCAAGCCTCGGGGGAAGACGTCATCGTCCAGGTCTGCACGTGACTGTGAGGGCAGCCCTAAGGTTGCGATGCAGTGGAGCTGTCCACCATATCCGGAGAATTGAACATTTTCACGTTCATGTTCATTTTCTATACTATATACAGTCTTAAACTAGGGCTGAAGAAATTTTCATATAATTGAACATCAGATCTAACCCTCAGCCTCGTAGGAGTTGGATTTGTGCTTGGGCTCGAACTTGAAGTCCTTGTGTGCCGGGCCGAGGAACATCTCACTAGAAGAAAGTGTTAGTCAATAAGCTCAACGAGCGATTTCAGAGGAGCGTGTAGAGCAAACTTACGTAATCTTGATCCAATCCTTGTAGTTACCGCTACCCATAAGGGTCTCAAGGTCATTTCGGCCGCGCCAGGCAGGAGGTCTGTCGTTGATATGCGGAGGAAGGTATTCCAGCAGACCAAGAGGAACGTAGCGGTAAGAAAAGCTCAACCACTCCAACAAGAATCTGCGGGTTGTGCCGATACCAAATTCATCAGAGCCCCAAGCCTCGAGACCGTACTTGGCGAACTTCTCGATATAGGCAAGACGCTCGGATGCAGACTTGTCCAGGTATTGGCCAGTCTGGATCTCCTCAAAAATCCATGGCTTGATCAAAGCACCACGACCCACCATGACTGAATCGACACCGGCATTCTGAATGTGATCATCGTAGTCCACATGGGAGAAACAATCGCCATTTCCAAGGAAGTAGGTCCTGCCACCGTTCGGCAAGTAGCGCGGATCAGCTTCGCGAATGGTATCAGAGAGATCATCGGTCTTTTCGTTCAGACGCTTGATGAGGGCAGCAGTCTCAGCAATGTAGCCCCAGTCTGCTTGCTTAGTATAACGTTGCTGTCTGCTACGTCCGTGGAGGGTGATGGCAGCGGCACCAGGAGGGCCAATATCTAGAACGCTGGACTCGTAGCCACCCAGGACCAGTCGTTCGACAAGTTTCAAGGCATTGGGTTGGTTGTCTCTGGTACCCATGCGAATCTTCACCGTAATAGGGATCTCCTGGGATACTGCATTCATACCACGAATGATCTTCTCCAGCTTGGATGGGTGGTCCAGGAGTGCAGAGCCGGCTCCGTCGCGGTACAGAAGCTCAATGGGACAGCCGCAGTTCAAGTCAATGACACGCAAGTTAGGCGTAAACTTGGAAAGCACTTCTGTGGCCTTGAGTGCCTGGAACGGCTTGTTGGCGGCGATCTGCGCACCAAATCTGAAATCTTTGGAATTGTCATACCCTTGCACCACGTTCGGACCGGGGGTGATGGTTGGCGGAAGCATTTCAGACTCGTGGCCCTTGATCAGGGTCCACTCAGACTTGTTGCCTTGGATCAGCGGCATGCTAAGGGCCATCTCGGAATAGGTGAATTGAGCACCCAAGTCTCCGCAGAGTCTGCGGAATGGAAGATTACCCTGTGTCGTCAGAGGTGCCAGTGCTGGAGTCTCTGGTCCAAAGTAGATCCGTCTCTTCTCAGAAGCCAAGAATGGGGGTTCCGTATATTGAGCCCGATTATTTTCCAGTTCCTCCTTGGCCTTTTCGGCGTCACCGTTCGTCTTGGGGGTCTCTCCGTTCTCAGAAGTCTCTGCTCCGTTATGGAATCGTCCGTGCAACTCTTTCTCCAACTCCTGGGACACCTTGTTGAGCCAATCATTGTATTGATTAGCACGAGGAGTGTGCTCGCGCTTTCGTGACAGCGCGACTTTGTCTTCGTAGGAAATGATGTTGACAAGGCCTTCGCCAGTAGCAAAAGGCACAAGCGGTTTGGCCTTCGCTTTGCGCTCCTCATCTTCCAGGAGGATGAGCTCCTTCTTCCCGTCCGCAGTCTCCCTCTCCATTGAATGCGAGCCGACCAAGCGGCATCGCCAGCCGGCGTAACAGGTACCTCGTGCCTCGTAGACGGGACAGATCCCATTGAATGTTGTAAGGTCCTCCCGCTTGTGCTCCTTTAAGTATAGTCGCAAGTCGTGTTCAAATCGGCACTTCTCGCCGAATTGGCACTCTTCAGGCGAGAACTCCGGGCTGAACATTCTTGAGGCGCACAAGCCTTTCGCGTCCTTTGAACTACCAAAGCTTCGGTTGGTGTTTTGGCCCTTGGGCTTCTTCTTTCCTTTCTTCTTATCGTCGTCACGCTCGGCATGAGAAGCACCTTCGGCTGCATCATCGGTAGCGGCATCGGAAACTGCTTTGGGTGCCGACTTGATCAGGTATCTGAGATTCGTACAATTGTCAGTCGTTATCGGACGAAGTTTAGAATGGACAATTGTGGCCTACTCTGCTTTAATGGGCGCGATACCCCTATTGCGCAGGGAATCGCGCTCATCTTCGGGCTGTTCAGGCTCATCAATGCGAGCCTTCTTGGAGGGAGGCTCTTCGGCGGCCGCGCTACCGTTGGCAGCATCGCGCTTGGTGACTTCGGCCTCCGATGGAGCTTGAACTGGCTCCGCAGTGACGGATTGAGGAGCTGTCGAGTCCATGCTGGACATATCGGGCAAATAATTGGTGTTCCTGGGTCCCGACTATCTCACTGGCGTAGTCGCAATCCGAAATGACCTCCTTGTTGCTGCAGAAAATAAAAACTTCGGAGGCCCCCGATCTTATCAAAAATATTCGGAACGGGTGGCGCGCCGCAAGTTTGCAGCATTTGCATCAATGCGCCATCAATCTGATTGGCTGTAGATGGACCAAGATCTATATTCTCGCTGCCTTGATAATTAGGCCATTAACAAGTGAGCGCAAGGAATGGGTTGTTCTCTCTTTTCTGCAATGTAGGATGGACTCAAAAATCAAGTGGATGATTTTAATCGAATTCTCTTGCTAGCTGAGCCCTACCATTAGTACCTGACGGAGACTCCTCCTCCAAACTGGTTCTATGCAGGACCAGCGCCTTCGGTAGACTATACAAAGTCAGTGCGAGGGCCAGTAGATGTTCACATATCATCCCCTTTTGATACTGTGTTTCACCCATTACCACCCTGTTACCCACCAGTACTCCAATTGGCTAAGCTCGATGATAAACGAGTTGCCCGCCGTGTGATATTCGCTCTCTATGAGGATGGGGTTTGGACTGCGGTATGAATTCTTGTTTCCTGATGAGAACCTAAGAAAATTGGCGGAACATGGTGCAATGAGAATATACTCTCATTACCTTATATATAAACCATGGAGAACGAGAATATGTAGTATGAGTGTCTGTCATCCGAACGAACGCCAAGGAGGGAACGGTGGTGCCGAACGCGAGTCCAGCCGACCTCGGGTACAACAGAAGATAGCCCAAAGCTGCTACGACCAGTGTCATGGTCCTACCAATTTTCTATTGTGTTCATTAAATATGATCGTATCCACAAAGCCTCTAGTAGCGACTCGGAAACTTAAAATTGATGTTCCGAGATTAATGACGAGCAAAACTTGGGAGACTTTGCTCCCAAGGACAGGGCCAGATGCACATCCCACACGTCACGGACTGTTTTGATCAAATATGAAAGACCTTCTCCGAAGCAAATGCGGCAGCCTGGGAAAAGTAGTACCCCCGTTGATTACTGATAACCCGTTTGCCGGTGGCTTCATCAGTATAGTCCGCATTGTAATGAGTATGTCCGAATGCCCAAAGGCGCACTTGAGGATTGGTCCAGCATCTTTCCCCAGAAAGATCCGTTGCAAATCCCGAAGACAGAGGGCTATTGCTATGCTTTGGATGAGCCGCACGTGGATCGGTTGTGACAGGACTGTAGTGTGTGAAGATGGCAATTTTTCGTTCTGGTTCAGAAGCTGCAATTTGTGCAACCTGGTCATTGAGCCATTGCAGATCTGCTCTGTGACGGCTGATGTGATCTTCAATATCCCAATCGGAGACATAGTAAAAGTCACTTATTCCAAAGCTGATACGTTCTTTGTATTCTTCGGCAATGTTAGACCAAAGGGTACACCCCAGGATTGTAACGTCTGCAGAAACATCGTATCGAGTCTGATCTAGTAAGACGAATTCACCCTGTTGCTTTTCTGCGACATCATTCAATTTCCGTCGTTTCTTGACCGAGTCAGAGAACTCGGATATTTTCAGTCTGGTCTTCGGCCATGACGATTGCCATGGTTCGTGATTTCCCAACAGCAGGAACACCATCCGAAACTGGGCGAGTTGAGTTTCAATAAAAGTGAAGAATCCAGCATCCTCCACCACCCCTATGTCACCCAGAAGTGCCAAGTATGGTGCGTGGGGGTTGACCTCGAAGACATCGTAGGCAGATGGATTTTCCAGATGTAAATCAGACACAATTTGGAATTCGACCATTGAGAGCTCCGAGACGAGAGAAGGATACAGGGAAAAGGTCGCCACAAAGATACAGCCAAGGAATAGAAAAGTCTTGAAGCTTCGGTTGACCGCCAGATCCAATCAGAGACAGCGCGACCCTTTTTGAATACGGACGGAAAATGGAAGAAGCGTGGCGGTGTGGCGGTGCGAACCTGGAGAAGTGTGGCGCAGCAATCTCGTCACTTCTGGAGAAAAGGAGGACGAGAGGACGCTACTGGCTCCTGTTATCTAAGCGCCCAGCCCCGGTAGTCTCATAAGAGAGCCCCTCCTTGGCTGCCGTCTGTGATTAATTCTTTCTTCTCTTTTTGATCTTGTCTCGTCCAAAAGACCCCTCGATTCACGCTCATTTCCTGTCTAGACGGAGCGTTCCACGGTTTGAAAACAGACGACGTCATCGCCTTATCTACGGTTATCAGCACCGGTTTGAATCGCGCGCAACTCAATTTCCTTGTTTAGTATTCATCTACTTCCCACGATATGTCAGGCGCAACGCACGATCCTAGACTGCTCTACAGCGTCAAGAATATCCGCGCATTTCACATCCAGGATGGCGAGGAGCAGGAGTTGACGCCGTCGGGCCCTCAAACCCTCTCCCTCTTGATGGTCCCTACTGCTGCATCAGCGCCAACCCCTCCATATGCCGCCGGTGCGGGCACGCAGACTCCAGAGGAAGACTTCTACCTGCACCTCTACCTTCCTCCCGAGCTGGATCTCGCATTACCTGCTACCACCCAGATCTTCCACCAACCGCCTGATAGTTACTTGATCCCCCGATGGGATCTGGCTCCCGATGCAGGCGCCTTTATCCGCATCCAGTTCCCCAGCATTGGTAGCGGTCCGAACAATGTCACACAAGACGACATCGATACCTTCGAGACGATCCTCGCACAATGCACTGCATTTCTTGACCGCGCTCCCGCGGCGAGCGACAAGTCGGATGGCCTCGCTGCGTACAACCCGGCTGATTATGCACCTGGCGAGGGGTACATTGGGTCTGGAGAAGACAAGGGGGGCAAATTGCATGGCAAGATTGTGCTGGTAGACGAGGAGGATGGAAGTGTGGTCGGCGAGTTGGGCGATGGGTACAACGTTGTGGAGGACCCGGATGTGAAACCCGGATCTAAACGTGAGTGTCAAACCGCCCCGTGTGATGTGTTCTTGCTTCAAGAGTTAACTATCCCCATAGGCCCTGTTGGAATTGAACTTCCAGCCGAAGGCGAAGGTAACAAGGTCAGCGTGACCAATGTCTCCGAAGAGTACCTGGAAATGTCGCGGCATCCAGCATATCAGAATTCAACCATTGTCCAGACCTCGGCCACTGCATCTCGACTGATCGTCACCACCTCCTCATACATCTCCAACGCCATTACCAGCGGCGCGGAGAACTTCATGAAGAAGACCAAGCCCAACACTAAGCCCGTGACATTCTCCGATGCCACCCATGCCCGCATTCGCAAGGTCGGCACTTTCTCCGACGGCGCCGCGAACCTATCCTCGCGCACGATTGGCCAAGTGGAGCGAGTAGCCCAGAACATTGGCGCTTCGTTAGCACGCAAGGATGCCAAGCCTCGCCCTCACGCCAACCGACACCAACCACCGCCAGACTACAAGCCGGGCGTACTGAACAAGTCGATGATCGCATTCTCGACGCTGGCAGACGGTATCACAGAAAGTGCGCGCACCATGCTGATGACTGGTTCGGCAGCCGCCAGCACGATGATCCAACACCGCTACGGCGACGAGGCCGGCTCCGTCGCGAACAATCTGACTGGCGGCATCAAGAACGTCGGTCTTGTGTATATCGACGCCACGGGCGTTTCCCGTCGTGCTCTACTCAAGTCCGTGGCCAAGGGCATGGTCGTGGGCCGTATGCGCGATGGAAAACAGGTGGTCGTTGGCGCCGGTGATGGCGGCCAGTTACCCCAAGGCGCTCATGGCAATGCCGAGGCAGGGCCCTCTGGTTCTGGGCTAGGAGCCCGGGATCCAGTTGTGCGCCGTGCATCGCCGAGCCCCACGCCGCCGCCAGCGTATGGCGCGTCGGGGACAGTGTCGCTGGGCGGCACACCCAGGTCAGGGCCAGGGGGGAAGCGGTAAAAGGGGAAAGGTATTTCATTTCACATGATAGGCGGGGAAAGTGATGGATTTGATTTGATATATTACGGACATATCGGGCGGGGTTTCCAATTCATTTAGTTTCTCTATCGTATTTACCTCGTTTTATGTATTTTTTTTGGTTCGTCGTCTGGCACGGAAAGATCAGGGATAATTGGTCGTCTTTGCAAACAGCGATATTGAATCATCACCCAATTTTGGGATGGGTCTGCAAAATCCCTCTGGTCCCCCAGTCCCTGATTGTGTTGGCGCCGGGGCTAGGGACCTGGGGTTTCCTAGGGGCCTATGCGAGTATGCGTATCTGTAGTAGTGTAGATAGGATGATCGCCACATAAATGCCAAACAGAGTTTCACGCCACACTTCCACATTTTATGCATCAACTTTCCTTGCAGCCTTTGCTTTTCGGGCTTTTTCAAGAGACGAGTCATTGTCCCAGACAGAATCTAAGTTTCGGCCGGGTGGGACAGTCGGTAATATTTCTCCCAACTGAAAAAGGATGACTATCGAAACAGGCCTTCCAGCCGCGTTGTCGGCGTGGCGAGTACAAGTACGCTTCATGCACTCTCACCTTATCGTCTCGAAACGAGTAGATAGGAATACATAGGATAAGGTCTCGCCCCCTTTCGCGCTTCCACCCCGGCCAGGCGTCATACTTGCGGACAATGAGTCCAACTCACCATTGGCGGGCGGCACAATTGACACTGACCCTCGTTACCGCTGGAGGGAGTCATTGGCGGTCGATTGGACGAGCAGCTCCCATGATGATGGCGCTGCCAACGCACCACCCGCTTGACAGTTGGCCGACCTGCCCTGGAGCCAATGGTTGATCATCATCAGAGCGGCATACTCCACACCGACTCAAGCTGGAGCAAGAAATTGTGTGTCGCCGGTGGTGTGAAGGGTCCGTCGGATCACTGCAAATAGAGTCCAGTCATGTAGGGCGCAAGGGTTTACAATTGACGGGAAGGACAGTGGCCATTGGGACAATTGCTAGCGTGGACAGTTGACATGACTGTCAGGATACGGAGTACTCGGTTCTTCGCCTCTCTTGTCTGACCGTCAGTCATCGATGACCGGCCGATTGCAATCCTGACGTGGAGAGTTCGGGGTCGGTCGAGAGCGCGGTGCCCGTTGGGAGTGGGGATTTTTTGTGGAGCGGGTAAGACTGTATGTATGACCCCAGGAGCGTAGGAGGATGGGAAAGGTGTCTCCTTTTTTTTTGGTCCCATCCGGTAGATATCTTCAAATCTCAAATTTGGGGTATGGTCACATAATGGATGGCGTATGGAGTATTGGATCTGGAGAGTGGAGGAAAGGAGAAGTAAGATTCTGTCCAGTGGGAAGCTCGGGAATTTCACGTTGCGGGAGGCAGGAGTCACGATCTGCTGGATCGAGTGGGCTTTCCTTGGGACCGTCGGCGCCTTAACCGTGGATGGGGTCCCCCGCCCGGTGCCAGGGATTGAGGAAAGGGAAAGGGAAGAAAGGGGTAATTCGGGAGTGGTAGAATACCGAGAATCATCGAATTGAGTGTGGAGTTTAGCTAGGTGTTCGATCATGGCCTGGAAATCATGTGCTGGTGTGCTCATCGCATTGTATACTTCATCGAGGCATAGTACAACTACAAAATACATACGATAGATAGAGAGGAGCCCAAGCTAGTCAAATCGTTGCCTTTAATTGCAGGCTCATGTTGACTTTCCTCTTCAAGCCTAGCCAATTCATTTCCTTTCAGCCCAGGGCAAGCGATGAAGCCAGAGCTATGGTCCCGTTCATGCTTGTATAGCCGGATGGGGGTAATTAACTACTCATCAATTGAATTAACTATTTAACCAGAACCAGGTACCACTCTTATATCATGGCGAACACACTAATCATACTCAATCTAACTTCTTCAATTTATACATATGACATCTGACTGCTAGCTCATTCGCTCCGTCACTAAAACGTTCACGATCCCGATCGTTAATCCTACAAATGACGATCGACCCTCGGAAAGAGCCCACTCCGCGCGAAATGCGAAACAGCCGGTCTGGCGCCCCCCTTTTTGAAACGGGGACCCTCTTTCTTTGTTGCCGTTTCTTTTCATTATTTCCCGCAATTCAGAATAAACCTCCTGCACGTAATTACTCAGTGGGTGTTTGCAACTTTTGTTAACTAAATCTTCAATCTGGGTCTAGGTCTACCATAGGTCTGACGTTGAGTCCAGGTTAACATGCGGGCATAGATATCCTGGACAAGTATGAAACTGCATAAGCGGTCCAGAGTACGGAGTCCTCTGCATGTATGGGTATGTCCTCGGGCTGTCAACTTTCCAGGTTTGCTCGCAATCATTGTTTATTTTCCATTGTCCGTTTCTTAATAACCTTCCTGTCCCCTTTTCACTCGGTTGCTTATAATTTATTTTTATCGATGCGGAGACTGGCCACATGCGAGGATCAGCCCTCGGGCCTCGTACCCGTTTCGTTCTATCACAGACGAGGCAAGGGACGCAGGGGCACTTCCTAATCGTGAATAAATGAGGGAGCTAGCTATTTGGAAGCCCATCAATAAATCATGCCCGTTACTGCAATACTGACATATTATCGGATAATGTGCACGATAGTGCCTTGTCCTCGTCGTTTGTCTAGGAGTGAAATCCATAACTATTCCTCGGCTCGAGAGTATCGGGAGCAATCCCCCGCCAAAGGAGGTTCTCTAGCGTTTTCTGGTCTCTACCAGATCCAATTGAGTCCATTGATCCTCTTATTCTCGTCCTCTTCCATTCTCCAAGTAATTGATCAATACTCCATCAAGTAAACGGCGTCATCGGAGACTGGAAAGAGACCCGCTGGTTTTCCCCCAGACTCCACTCGGTCAGCCCGCTAAACCCGCTAAAGCAGCTCAACCAGCCAAAACCAGCCCCGAACCAGGCGCTAACCAGCACTAAAACCGAGAAACTAACCTCGAACCACCCTGGCCCGCTGCTGGTTGCTACTACGGAGTCCTGACTACTCCAGTTCTTGCTGCTGCTGCTGCTGCTGCTGCCGCTGCCGCTGCTTGCTGCTGCTTCCTGGTGCTGGCTGGGACAATCTCGTATCTCGCCTGCTCCTCCTCCTCCTCTTCCCTCTTCCTTCCCACATCCTTTCTGTCACCCTCTCGGCCCTTTCCCTTTGGCCTCCTTTTCCTTTTGCCGTTTCCTTTCTTTTCATTTTCTCGTTCTTGTCGGTTCCTCCGTTTCTCTCCCCCAACCCCCCCTTTTTCTTCCTAATACCCGACCGACTTCTCTCCCCTCGCGCCCCCTGTCCGCGCGCTCCGCCCCTCCGTACCCTGGCTTCGATCATGTTCAGTATCCGCAATTGAACTTGCTGGAATTGATCCGGGACTCTTCGTCGCGTCTGAGACATTGCTGCTCCCGCGTTTGTTTGCCCCAAGTTCGTGGACAACGTGCGACCGTCTCTTGTCTCCCCCTGTGGGCCCGGAGAGAAGAGAGGGGACTCTAGAACACTGCAGTGCAGGTAATCCTCACTTTACCTCTCTTTTCTTGCACAATTCCTGCTTTGGCGACGCGTCGTTCCATCAGTTCAACATTGTGACCGGGGGTTCGATGCGAATCCGAATCTTGAATTTTACCCCCCCATTCCCTTCTATCACTTGCGACCGCTAAGCCCCGGCGTGGCGGTAGCATTCCTGTCAAACCCCCCATTCCTCCGATCGAGCTCCTGTCAGTTGGAACCCTGATAAAGTTGCACATGTTTGTCGATTGCCGATAAGATTATATCTGCACACTTGAACTGACATGATCGTGGTGATAGCTGGTGAGGCTGGTACGTTGACACTCGGTGAGTGCGACCGATCGCCCAATTCTTGCCCCCAATCTTCCTCGCCCAACACTCTCCGGGAGAGCTCTGGTGTTTCGACGCGCCGTGCCCGTCACAATTGGTCCATTTCGTACTTCCAATCAGTGCCTGATCGAGGGCTGACGTGGTCCACCTTTTAAAAAGTTCCGGGCTTTTGTGCTTTTATCCAGAAGGTGTGTTGTCAGACGCGACTGCAAATAGCTCGTTGCGCGCGCACCCGATCGCGCAAATAGAAAGAAAAAACCTTGCATGTAACCCCGAGTACTGATACACTTTCTCTTCGACAGTCACTTTGTGAGGCGGGTCCCAACCAGCTTCCTCGGCTATGAGCACTTCCCATCCGCAGCCCCTCCCGCTCCCTGCTCTCACATCACCAGCCTCGACTCGTACGGCACCATCTCCACAGAAGAATGCGCGCAGCAACTATCCCGATATGCTAAGCTCCCCACCGGTTCCTCCTCCGAGGACTTCGTCTGCCCGTCGCAGCCCCAACGGGGAGAAATCCAGCTCGCGCCACAGCAAAAGCCGATCTGACCGCAAGGAGAATCGCGATCGACCCCGTGAAGATCGCAATGGAAAGAGTCGATCCCGGCGAGCGGACCCCTTAGAAGAATCGACTCGAGAATCGGGCAGGTCACGAGAAGCACCTGGAGAGTCTGTCGCGCAGATAAATTCCGACATGGAGGACAGTCATGGCCAAGAATTTTCGAGAGAACCCAGCGCGGTCATCAGTTCGGTGCTGGTCAGCGATCCCGTGGTGGACAGGGAGAGAGAACAGGTGCGACAAGCTGGCGGATCGCCAGCCGCCGCCGCCGCCGTGGAAGCCAACGCCTCTAGCTATACCGCACCTGGACATGAAGGCGCCGAGGAAGGAGCTCGTACCGGACATCGCAGTCGACACGACTACAGTAACAACGGCAAAGATCTCAAGCGCAAGGAGACGACCTTCGGCACCTACATTCTCGGTCAAACCCTCGGCGAGGGTGAGTTTGGAAAAGTCAAGCTAGGCTGGAAACGAGATGGGAGCATTCAAGTCGCCATCAAGTTGATTCGGAGGGAATCGCTAGGGTCGAACCCCAGTCGGCTGCCTAAGATCTACCGTGAGATCTCCATCTTACGCGATCTGGCCCATCCCAACATCGTCCGCCTGCATGAGATGGTCGAAACGGACCGTCACATTGGTATCATTATGGAGTATGCATCGGGTGGTGAACTGTTTGACTACATTCTGAACAACCGTTATCTTAAGGATAATTCTGCGCGCCGATTATTTGCGCAGTTGATATCCGGTGTCGGGTACCTGCACAAAAAGGGCATTGTCCACCGAGACCTCAAACTCGAGAATCTGTTACTGGACAGGAATCGGAACATTATCATCACTGATTTCGGTTTCGCAAACACTTTCAATCCCGTGGATCAATTGGAGGAGGAGATCGAGTACAACTTGACCAACAAGGAGTATGTGAAGCGCAAGCGCCTGGACAAATTGGGCCCCGATGGGTTGCGTCGGGGTGACTTGATGCAGACCAGTTGTGGAAGTCCCTGTTATGCAGCTCCAGAATTGGTTGTCAGTGACTCGCTCTACACGGGTCGAAAAGTCGATGTCTGGAGTTGTGGTGTTATTCTGGTAGGGTTTTGAAATATCCTTTGACTATGCGCCGATCCGGTTCTAACATGCCTCTGTTCAGTATGCCATGCTCGCGGGCTATTTGCCCTTCGACGATGACCCAGCCAACCCAGATGGCGACAACATCAACCTTCTGTATAAGTACATCGTCACCACTCCTCTCACCTTCCCCGAATACGTCACCCCTCACGCCCGTGATCTCTTGCGACGGATCCTAGTTCCAGATCCTCGAAAACGCGCCGATCTCTTCGAAGTCGCTCGCCACAGCTGGTTGAGTGAGTACTCGCACATTGTGTCGCACATCACTAGCAGCACTACAAACGTGGCAGACATTGCGAACTCCACTGTCTCGGCCGGTAAGACATTTCAAGCCCTGTGGAAAGTAAAAATTCCAAATGGATCGGCTGACACATTTTTCCATTCTAGAACCCAAGCTTGAAGCACCGGCACTTGCGCGTAGCGCCTCGGTTCGCGAGCCACCCAAGACCAGCCACGGCGCAGTTCCTGCTGTGGGCGGACTCAATCACCATGCCGGCGACATCTCACAGGGATCGCCAAGTGACAAGTCGAAGACGACGTCTCGGGATGCTAAGCGAAGAACTGTTCAGGTTGAGTATGTTGCTCCCCAATCTCAGACCACGAGAGGAGAGTACCAGGAGACTTCAGAGCCACACGACCGGGTCACCATCGATCAAGAGGAGCTAGCACCCGCGCCGCCAGCCAAGGATACAACCACTCGAACGGCACCAAAAGCCCCCGTCAACTACGACAAGCCTTTGCCCGGGCACTTCCCACGATCTACCTCGGACAATGCAGCATTCACCGGAACACACACTACTGCCACCACGGGGCTTTCGGCTACTCGGCCGACAACCGGTGGCTCCATGGCGTCCTTCCACACGGGTCGTCTTCCTTCTCGGGGCTCCTATGGCCAGCCAGTGGCTCCCACTGTTACAGCGACCAACACCGAAGGTCGTCTCGCACAGCCAAAGAGTGGCCAATTCTCCCTTGCGCAGAATCCGCCGCAGGCGTCGACTGCCTCTATCGGTCGTCCTAGCACCCAGCAACTGCCTTCAGCGTTCAACCCGACCCCCCGGCAAGAGCCGCCAAAGGGTCACAAGCGCTCAAACACCGTCTCTAGTATCGGCGAAAAGCTGTTTGGTCGCTCTGGCTCGATCCTGGGTGGTCGTAACTCCCAGTCAAACTCTACCTCTCGGGGGGATCGTCAGAACAAGCGCTATCCGCCTACGAGCATGAAGGAGCCTTTGCCTCGCGAAGACTCTCGTGTTTCAATGGATTCTCGTCGGTCAATGCAGCACTCGCACAGCCGTAAGGCCAGTCAGGCTGGCGAAGGCCGTGCTCGTCGATTCTCGCTTCTTCCATCCTCTTTCTCCTTCCGGAACTTCTCGTCTAGTCGGGATCAGAGTACGGATGAGATGTCCCAGACTCCTCGCACGATGGAGCCTATTGGACCGCAGCGCCCAGCTACGGGCCCAGCCCAGAGTCGACCTCGCGCGACGAGCTATGGAACTCAAGAGGCCATGGGTATGGTTAGCGAGGGGCCTGCGGAGGAGACGTTCGAGAACAAGGACTCCGAACCTCTCAGCTATGAGGCCCAGATTGACCAACAGTTTGCCGAACTCGGGAACCGATTCGACCAGACTCAGGATTCCTTTGGTGCCATTTCCTCCGAACAGGTCTATTCAAACAATGATGATGGGTACTCGGGTCACAACTACACCTACTCGTCGAAGCCCAATTACTACGATGATTACAATGGCAACTACGAGAGCATGCCTCGCCAGTCTATGCAAGCTGGTCGGCGCGGACCTAACGTCTTGCAGAAGACCAATCGCAAGTTCGCCGATGCCTACGAGTACGAGCGGGACGGATCCCATCATTCTGGCAGCTCTGGTGCGGCCAGAAAGGTCATGGACTTTTTCCGTAGACGTGCCAAGTCTCGTGCTGGTGACGACCGGTAGTCCATTCTGCCATCTCATATCGACTTCCGTTTGAAAGAGTGACCATTCCAATCAGCCTCAACAGTCAGAAGCTATCATCGAGATCCTCGGGTGGATGACACCAACCAAACCTCACCCGCCTTGCTTCAATACAAAGTGCAGACTCAACTACATATTTGCTGCGCCTAAGGCATTAATACCGCTTCCCACGCCCCAAAAACGAGTGAGAAAAGAAGAAAGCAGTTAGGTTGTTCGAATTCCCCCTGTGATACCCTGCTTTTATTACCAGTTTTTTTTCCACATTCTGTGCATGGAGCGAAATTCTTCATCATCCGTCGGGTGTTTGATTGATTATCTAGCATGTCTATTTCCTTTGTCAGAATACATTTTCCTTTTTTTTCTTGTTTCTCTCTGTTTTCTTCTTCTCTTTCCTCTTTTTGCTAATGTGTCCCCTTTTTCCATCTGGGTTCCTCTATCTCCCTTCTCGTGTGATTCAAGCCCGTCCCCCCTATGTTCATTTCTCCTGTCATTATTATCTCTGACTGTAAAGTGGGACCAGAATCGTGTTCTTCTTCAGAGCTTTATCATCCCCCTTTTTTGCCCTCATCATTGCGTAATTCATTGCTTGTGCCAATTTCCTATTCCCGATCCCCACGTCCGATGTTCCCATTGCCTCGTGCTCTCATAGGCTCTCTGTCTTATACGGGAGGTGTTTTTTGAACGATAATCCAATATTTGATGTTGAGTGGCATTGCTCTTTTTTCTGGTCCTTTTGCATTGCGTGCTCCATTTGCGCTTCGTGTGATGGTCTCGTTACTCTGGCTTGCTTACCCATCGGAGCGGCATTTTCTTCTTGGCTAGCAACTGTCAACCTTAGGGGTGGGATCCGTTGCTGTTCTTTCTCGGTAATAAATGTGGCCTTATCTATTGTTTTGCCTTGTCCCTTGTGTTGGGTGGATCAATACATGGGTTCATCTTTGTGAGATCGCTTCCGTTGGGTGTAAAGCTGTTTTCCTTTGCCTAGTTTGGGCAGGATTTCGCTCTTGTTAGGCTAGGTTTTCCTGTTTGAATATATGATGGTTGGCTGTGATATTTGGGTTCTTGTGTAGTTTCTTGTGAAGTATGTTATTCCATGACTTAAGGAGGACATTTCATGGATTAAGTCTGGTCGGTGGATGTAAAGAATGCATAAATAGGCCCTCCTTAGGGACACGGTGACTGAGCCCTCGGTTCTTTAGCTTTTGTCGTTCTCTGCGGTGAAGCAAATGGTTCTACTCTTTGTCCCAGGAACGGACAATAATGGACTTGCACCACATGTCTGTCTCATTGAAACATGACTCGATGGGTTTAATGGCATGACACATTCCTTTTACGTCGACGGTGATATCAAGAGAGAATCTTGGAATCCTAATAATATTTAATCAGGCCCAAGAGCGATAACATAAAATACAAACTCCTCATATTCGAATGCTCTTTTGCGGACTCTCCATGCCCATATTCCTTAGAGTTGCCCTTAAAACATCACCTTCAAACGCTCAACACCAACTCGATCAGCTTCTTTGTTCAAACTTGCTACCTCTGCTTCAGCAAAGGGGATTCCTTCGACGAGGCGTTTTTCCTCGGTAAGAATTTCTATCTCCCCGGGGAAGTAAATTCGATCCACGCCCGCCATCTTCTCTGACTCAATCACTCTCTTATAGAGATACGCCATCCGCTCTTCAAACTCCTCCATGGTCATGAACAAATCCGGCTTGATAGCGACCAAGAAATGGCCTACATCAGCCGGCTTCGACGGATCATACGGATTCGTAACATGGCCCGCAAATGCAGCCCCAGAGAACACACCAGAGAAGACATCCATCATAATCGACAGCGCCGACCCTTTGGGTCCACCCATAGGCAGCATAACCCCCTCAAGCGCCTTCGCAGGATCATCCGTCCGATTCCCATCCTTATCAAGGGCCCAATCAGTGGGGATCTTCTCCCCGCGGCGAAGAGCCTTATAAATCTTCCCCCGAGCCGCTATCGACGGCGCCATATCAAGAATAAACGGCTTCGTAGGATCCCCACCGGGGGCGCCACACGCAATAGGCGAAACACCCATCAGCTTCTCCTTCCCACCCCAGACCGGCAACGCAGGCGAAGAATTGGTAAATACCAAACTCATCATGCCCGCCTCGAGCGCCTGCTTGACAAGCCAGGCCGACATACCAAAATGATTTGAGTGCTTGACGGATACCATGCCCATACCGTAAGTTTGGGCCATTTCAATAGCGCGCGCCATACCCGCGTGCGCGGCGACGAAACCGAACCCGTTATGGGCGTCGATTTGTGCGGCTATGGGGGTGACCTGCCGCAGTGTCGGAGTGGCTGTTGGGTCGAGGGCTTTTTGGCGAATGCGCTCCATGTAGGAGGGGATTCGGTTGGAGCCGTGAGTGTCTACACCGCGAAGATCGGCTGCGACCAGGCATTTTGCGACTATGGCGGCATTTTCGGGGGGTGTGTTGTTTGCGATGAGGATTTTGGTGACGAAGGATTGGAGGTCTGATGGTTTGATATTATGCATTTGTTGCTGGGATTGTTGGGTGGTTTCAGCCATTATGTGTGGTGTGGCTTGTCTTGCAAGCAGCTCCCGGTTGTATCTTGGGTCTCTTTTTAAGAGTTGAAGGGGAATTGGAGAGTTAAATGTCAAGAGAAACGATGTTGGGGTGTGATTTATATTGCGGAGAAGGTTGGGGGAAATGCGGATGGGATCCGTCACCTACGGAGTACTTCCGATGGGGACACATTCCAAGGGAAAGAACAGTCCGGCTGGAGTAGCCCACCCTGCCAATGACTATTCCGGGGTTTGGTAGAGCTCCCTGAGAAAAATAAGACTAGCGCCGCGGTGGAAGACGAGAAATAGAAAGTGCAAAAAATGGACGAATGGCGATTCGAACGCCAGACTTTTCGCATGCAAAGCGAACACTCTACCAACTGAGTTATACGCCCTTTGATTATTAATCGAGACCTGATTTTGCAATATGACGGGCATATCAAATGCTGGATTTCGGCGTATTTCCAACATTAGACAGACAAATCTACCAATTCATCAATATCACACAAGACTCGCTTAGGGCAAAAAAAACAAAGAAAGAACAAAGAAAAAGAGTGGCACAGTTTGTATTGGTAAACAGAGCGACCGAATCAAAACTAAATAATACGAGACGGTAAGTTGGCCTACTGCGTAGGGACACACAAAAAAACGGCAAAAAAATGGACGAATGGCGATTCGAACGCCAGACTTTTCGCATGCAAAGCGAACACTCTACCAACTGAGTTATACGCCCTTATGATGGAACTGACCAAATTATCGTTTTATACTGAGGCCCACCTCCTCCCAATCCTTCGATCACATCTCAACCCCTCTATTATCTCAATTCACAACCACTATACTCGTCGATCTGAACCGTATTAGTTCTCAATGAGCACTCGTTTGGTATCATAAACAGAAGTCCTACTGCTTTGGCTATTATAAGCCACAACCGCACCATGGTCATTGTTTACTATTATCTAATCCTGGACATATATTTCTTCGACGGGTTAGGACTAGAGGTCACTCACAGTCACTGTCGAGTCGTCATGAATCTGTGAAGTATGGCGCGCCATCGTTTAAAGCGAGACCCAAGTCACTCAAAAAAGTGACATACCTCACTTTCACCCGTACCCGATGGATCCCCGGTATACACCCATGGCTGCAATCAATTACGTACTAGGTCGCCTGGCCGATTTGACAATACACTGGTTCAAATTCAAGAAGGGCCACCCATACCTACACTCGGATGAAAAGAAAGGAGCTAAAAGATCACATTCGATTCAATAGCAATCACCGAATAACCACTTCCCAAATCTCCAGCCCACCCAGCACGATATGTTTCTAGTTCCACATCACTGCGTTTGGATCTAAATACTGTTGAATGATACTATCGAAATCGGGCGCCCCAGGGAAACCCATCAAGCCACCAGGCATTGTATCATTCAACCAACTTGAACCTTCAAGGTTGAAGTCATACTCGTCCGCAAATGAGCCCATCGAGGGGCCAATGTCGATCGCAGAGTCTACCTGCTCCGACACTGCCGAAGTCGGTGCCGTGTTGGAATTGTGAGATCGCGTATGCCTCGTAGCGCCTGCGACAGACTGGGTTCGGGCTGGCCGTGGTGATACTTCCAGGGTACGTAACCGAAGCAGACGCTGCACTGTAGCGCCCGATAGCTCATGAATGCAGTCTCTTGCCCTCCTAGCTTCGGTCCAATATTCCCCGATACTGCTGAGGATATCCAACCCGATACCAGTGTCAGCTACCAGGTCATCAATTTGAACAGTTGATGCGACCCGAGGTAGCCTCCAAAGGCAGTGAAGCATAATCAGCGTGCTGAGAAATATTGAATGCACGATTAGTCTGCTATAAAGCAGCGACTCTTGCCTGTACAGCTCGCCAAAGTCACGGAGTAGTTCGACTGCGTGTTGGAAGCATTGCGCCAACAATTCTTCCGACGGGTCAGGGATCCCAGGGCTTGGTCTTAGAACCAAGATCATCATCTCGTGATATCTGGTTTCGCAGATTTTGGCGATGGATGCCATGTTGGCCGTACGGGGGATTTGTGTGTACCATGATTTCAGCCGATCTATCATGTCACTTTGCCATTGATGAATGTCGGGGACTGGTGGATATGCGTATTTGGGAGGATCTCGACAGATACTATGCATGACATATTTGATTTCGGAATTGAGTTGCGCTAATCTGAACAAGTGAATCGAGTACGTGATGTGAGAAGGTACATCATTGTGAGATCGCTCGCCTGAAACGGGATCGGCGAGGTGTGCATCCGCAACATTCGCAGGGAACTGGTAAGCATTAGTTACCAAATTTTGATATTCAAATCCAGGTTATTGTTACTTACTCGAAGCTCACATGCTTCATCTCTAATTCCGATCGGCCGCCCCATCATGGTGCCCAAAGTTCGGTCAAAACTGTACACCACCCAAAAGATTCTCGTTCTCATCTCTTGTTCCAGAAAAGAAATGTGAAAAGAAGACGAGGTGCGCACATCCCGCTGGAGACCGAGATCAATTAGTGCGCCCAGGCACTGGTAATTCAAGCTCCAGATATTCACTCCGCAAGAAGGGTTATGTAGGGCATAGACCATGAGAAGCAGTTGACTCTGAAGGCTCTCAAGTGAACCGTCTGCGCAGGCACTTTCAAAATATTGCGTTGCAGCAGTATAGTATCCCTCTGCTGGCAGACGAAGTCTGAACCGTCGCGAGAGATCGGAAGCGGCTATTGCGAGTACCATATAGACATGGAAAGCGTCTGATGGATCGGGCTTTGCTGTCGACTCTCCCGTGTACATCCTTTCTAGGCGCTGCATATGGGATTGCTCATGGAGGAATGGATAGGGAAGATGGAATGAAGAGAAATATTTTGAAGAGAGCTCGATCGCATCGTCCTTTCGAGAGGGTAATGAGGCGGGGGTGTTGAATAGCTCTGCAGACAGCGAGATTGGCTCGTCTACACTGCAGTTCCCCCGTGGTCTTGACCATCGACCAGCATTGGAGAAGACAACACTGGCAAGAAAGTAACCACTCGAAGGACCGATATATCGTGCGTGTCCACCAGAGGAAAGAGAGACTAGGCCAATTTCGTGTGCCTGTCTTGGCTCCGTGCGGGATTGTTGCGGATTTTCAATTGGGACGGGTGTAGTATCTTGCTGGGAGGATGTCATCACCACAGCATTTTGACTACTACCCCCAAGATTGATAGATCCTTCATTTGGATACTCATTAGAATCAAGTGTGGGCCCATCTTCCAAGGAGACATCAGTCCTTTGCTCGCGGACTAGAGACTCGAGCCACTGAACACGCCTCTGCAAGTTTGCAATATACCTAATCCCAAGTTAGACCGAGAATGAAACATGACATGAAGTAAATCACTCACGTGCGATTGACTTCCTGCTTGCCATCATTAACGCATGGTACATTGGCCTTTATACAGGCTCCGCAACTCGGAGTTTCGCCGTTGCAGCGAATCTTGCGTCTCTGACAACGCCGGCATGCTGCCCGGTTTCGACTCCGCCGTGGAGTGATCATCGAATAAGAAATCGATCAGTGCAATACGGCGCTTTTGACAATTTCATATTCCAAGCGGAATACTTGCGGTCTCGGTAGCAATTGATCAGGATCAATGAAAACCTCGGATGAGAGCCGCTCATCCGCATGGATGACTAACCTACCGGATCGGGCAAGTTGGGTCAAGGTACCTAGAGGTCATATATATTGATACTTTTATTTATTTCCAATCCGATAGTAAAGCATGATAAAATGGTAGAACCGATCAAGAAGTAGAGTGATAGACCCAAACCAAGAACATGATGAACGGCACATAGGATGTTAACCTGGCAACTTTCCGCAAGAAGCGGATGCCTTCCGCCTCGCCCCATACACGTTTCGATAGGCGATACAACCTGCTATTTATTACCTGCATCATCACTGCAATCCCGCTATCACTCGCATCAATACCACAAACCTTTCCCTGCCCTCAAATTGCTTTCCAAGATGACAATCGTCCACATCGGTAGGTCAACTCCAGCGCTGTCTTTACCCACACTGACATCCCCCCTCCGAAACACAGTCCTATTCAAATTCCAACCGGAAACCCCAGCGATCATCCGCGAGAGATTCATCACAGAATTGAAAGCCCTAAAGAACCTACCTTGCGTTAAAAGTCAACGCCTCGTTGTCGGCGGACCCTCGATCACGGATCCTGCCTCGAAGAGTAAAGGATTCCAATACGCGCTTGTGAGCTATCATGAAGATCGGGTTGCGTTGGATGCATATCAAGCTAGTAGTGAGCATGAGAGGTATGTGTCGTGGGTTATTGGTTGAGATTAATATGTTTAACTGAAAGTTGGAATAGGGTGACGCATGCCTATTTCATTCCTTATCGGGAGGATCTTGTGCGGTTTGATTTCGAGGTTGAGGAGGGGGATGAGCATCTGTTAGGGTTTGCAGGAGTTTCTGGGTCTGATATATGAGATTTGAAGACATATATAATATGGTTGATGCGGAATAGGGACCCAGCCTAATCATTATCGCAGACAACTTGAGTTAAGACTCGGGATGAAATTGACATCTGGCTCGCTAGCATGTAGAATAGCAGCTGGTCTGTTCGCATTTATCACTGGTATGATGCTTATATGCAAGTATCACTTGGAGCTATGTACATATCTCAGGTCATCTTCGGCCCATACTGCTATATGGTCAATTACGGCACCGTCTTTACTCGACGCGTAAACACACAAATCGACTACCTTGGTCCCAGGGTGGTATCCAGAGTCTACATAGCAGATCGGACAAGCAGCTCATTTCTCAGAGCTTGCTGGGAACTATCGCCCGCTTATCCGTGGACGTTCCTCGAGAATCACTGTGACTTACATCCCAGACATCATCACCAGCCCAGAACTTCTTCACGGCAGCCCAGTACCGATTAGGATCTTCCATAACCAACCCACAATGAGGACCTTGTTCAAAACAAACTTGACCCACGGGGTACCCCTGATTATGTGCGTCTTCAAGATGCGATTGCACATCTTTCCATCCTATCACGATGTCCTCTTTGGAATAGATGTACAATCTCCTGGGCGTCGATCCAAAAGTAGAAGGGGCATTGAGTAGGTTTCGAAGGTCCCTCACGGCGCGCGCTAGACCAACATGCTGGAATCCATTGGCTACGGCGAGTGCTGGGTACATAACAGTCTTACCGAAGAATTGTGCAATAGGAGTCTGCGGCACGGATACCCGCGAAGCCGCGTACATTCGCTCGAAGGCATCGTCGCCAGGGCAGCAGTCCAGGATAAGAGTGCGAAGATTAGAGAAGAATAATGCACCACGGTCGGGTTCTGACTTCATAGAGAGCGCGAGTTGACTGGCAATGTTGCCGCCTCCATGGGAGAATAGATGCAGTAGTATGCCGCGCTGGCGACTGTTAGGCTCCACCGTGTTTTGGCCGATCTCACGACCCATGATCCGGTTAATCGCATCGCGAGCAGGCTTTAAATTGGCACGTATCCATCGGAGTGGTCGGAAAGCCGCGTCGGACACATTCGTTGTTATCAGGAGAAGGGAGGAGGTTGGGAAGAATGCCCGGTATTGGGCCAGATACTTGTTGATCCGCCGAGGCGTTGCGCCCCCGACCCAGGTACACAGAATCACCAGGGACGGCGAGGCAGGATCTGGTAAAGGTTGCGCAGGAGATTCATAAAGATGAACGTTCTCCCCGATCATATGGAAACACTCCAACAGCGAGTCCGACGCCATGTCCGCTGGAAGACACGAGTGTGTACTGTACCTGGCAGGGGAAGGGGGAAAAGCGAGGCTCCACGTCCCGCGCGGGGACTGCAAGTGTCCAAGTGTCCTCGGTCCGTGCTTGTACAGATAATCACATTGTACTAGTTAGTTATAACCTCATGTCAGCCCCTCAGCCCGTAGTGCTAGAACCCGTCTTCCTATCGCATATCTCACTCTGCTCAATGCATATATCCACCCCGGGAGTACGGAAGTGCACATCCACGGCTCTCAAGGTACCGGATCCCACGGGCTGATTTGTGGTCGTCCGATTCGATCAGAGTGCTAGAAGCCCTCCAACGGGAGTCCCCGATCAGAGTGGAGTAGCCCAAGGTTCTGTCACTCGCAACAACGGGGATCTCGGCCGTTCCGGCCGAACATGTACAGTAGAGGGTTGGGGATGTGAATAGAACCATGCCAACGGCCCTGGCGACGTTGTGTATCGCGTTCCACAACAATTCCCCACTGGGCCAAAACAAAAAAGGTGGCGTTACTCCCAATCAACCCCCATGTTCAGGCCAAAAGGCCCAGCCAATGCATTTTGCAGAAGGATTTGAGCAGCTGGGCCCTGGGCTGCTGGGATCAAGGAGGCAGATCGACGAACACACCACTGCGATCACGATGATGTTGATGATAATAGTTTTTACCCCTGTCGGAGAATAGTATCAGATAGCTCGGCATGTTCCGGGGGCGGAAGAGGTTATTCGAGTGTCATCATCACAAGCCACCGTCGATAGAAACTTGCGCGACACACGGCCCAAAAAGGCGAAAAACGAGGCAGCAACGATCTCATTCACCCGCCGAACTCAAAAACCTGCTTTTCGGCCGGTTGAGCCTTGTGATTGGCTGGTCCGTCCGCCCGGGCGAGGATGGGAATCTCGTCGAAAAGACCACACGCTTGGACGAGAAGCGACGTTGATGAAGTCGTACGATGACGCAGCAGGAGACTAAGGATGGAGGGGGAGTTATTAGCACGCTTGCCGGTTTTTGAGTCTCGTAGGGCCAGGGATGGTCGGGAAAAGTGCTGTATACATAGTAGAATTCATACACTGAAAAGAGGAAGAAGCTTGGATGGTTCTCCCCCCCCCACCTTTTCCCTCTCTCATCCACTGATTGTTCTTGTGAATGGCTGAAAAGTGGCTTGACCTGGCTGGAAACAAGTTGCACTGGTGACATACAGTCCAGTTTTCCATTTTCTCGACCTTGGCTCGTTGGCACTTTGGCCATTTTGGGCGCTGCTTTTTTTTTTTTTTTTTTTTTTTTTTTGGTCCGGTTCTGCCCCTCTCTCCCGCAACAGTTACCCTTCCATCTTCAACTCTCAATCTTCTCTTCTACACCGTTCAACTTACCCCGCCCCTCCTAGGAATAGCGCCGCCGACCGGTGCACACCGAGTCCAAAACGGCCTCCTCGCACCAATTGCACCGGCCCTTGTCGTCGGTTCGACTCCCCCGTCCTCCCTAGGCCGCTCTTTGCGATATCAGCATGGACGCCGACCGCGATCCCTCCGCGGAGAGCCCACTGGGCGACTCCGGTTCCCCCGGTCGCGAGACCACTTCTCCGGTCGCTCCGCCTCACCATGCGTCGACTCCTTCCCTCCTTCCCTCTCACGATCCCGCCGCCGGACTCACAGCGTCGTCCACGCACTTGGGCCAGATCAACGCGGCGCGGCGCGGCGCGGGGACCCCGCCACGTCTGCAAGCGTCTATGAGTGCCCAAGGCGTGGGAGGCTTGAACCAGGACATCATGGCCAAAATGAAGGCCTTCTCCCTCTCTCGCCAAGGTGTTCCACTCGCACATGCTGCTTCTACAGGCACAGTACCAACCTCGCGTGAGGCTGGTGCTGGCGGGGCGCTCGCCGGCCGGATGCCGCCCGCTGCTCGACCCAACACCAAGAATTGGGCTTCGTCCCCCGCGATTCCGGCTTCGATGTCGAGTCCCGCCTCTCCCCGCCCGGGTGGATTAGCAGCGAAGCGTATGAAACCTGGTCTCAAGCTGTCCGACGTCACGGGTGGGCCACCAACGCCCGTGCCGAACGGGACGGAGCAGAAGAAGGAGGAAGAGCAAAACGGCGAATCTGCGTTCAGCAAGTATGCCGAATTTATCGACACGAAAGCCGGAACATTGAATTTTAAGAATAAGGCAATTTTGCATGGCGGTGGTGTTGAGTTCTCTTCAGGACACAGCTTCAAGATCTCGTTGGACGAGGTCGATCGGTTAGACGAGCTGGGTAAGGGCAACTATGGTACCGTTTACAAAGTCCGACACAGCCGTCCACACCTACGGAAACCCGGCTTGGGCTTAAGTGGGATTGTCAGTCGTCCGGCTGGACAGGAGGAGACCAGTTCCGCGATTGGTCCCAACGATAATCTCTCCGGTGTGATCATGGCGATGAAAGAAATCCGACTGGAGCTGGACGAGGCCAAATTTGCACAAATTATTATGGAGCTTGACATTCTGCACCGCTGTGTCTCACCCTTCATCATCGATTTCTATGGCGCATTCTTCCAAGAAGGCGCAGTCTATATGTGTGTGGAGTATATGGATGGTGGCTCTATTGACAAGATCTACCAGGGTGGCGTACCGGAGAACATCTTGCGCAAAGTCACACTTTCCACCATCATGGGATTGAAGGCACTCAAGGACGAGCACAATATCATTCACCGCGACGTCAAACCGACCAACATCCTGGTCAACAGCAAGGGCCAGATCAAGATCTGTGATTTCGGTGTCAGTGGCAACTTGGTCGCTAGTATTGCCAAGACCAACATCGGGTGTCAGAGTTACATGGCTCCTGAACGAATTGCGGGTGGTGGTATGCAACAATCGGGCGCTCCGAGTGCCGGAACATATAGCGTGCAAAGCGACATTTGGAGTTTGGGTCTTTCAATTATCGAATGCGCGATGGGACGGTACCCGTACCCACCAGAGACTTTCACCAATATTTTCAGTCAGCTTCACGTAAGTACTCATTCGATGGTTTTTCTTTTTTGACGACTTGTGTTAACATTTATACCAGGCAATTGTTCATGGCGAACCTCCCACTCTCCCTACCGAGGGATTCTCTGAAGAAGCGCATGCCTTTGTTCGTGCTTGTCTCGACAAGATCCCCAAGAATCGCCCAAACTACAACATGCTCCTCCGCCACCCCTGGTTAGCACCTCTGATGCGCCCACCAACCGAGGCTGACGCCGAGTCTGCCTCCCAACCTTCCGAAGCAGCCGCACCTCGTGAAACCCCCTCCTTCTTGACAGAAGACAAAGAAGTTGCGGAATGGGTACAGAATCAACTCGAGCGCCGTCAAAACGGCCTCTCACACGACGCTAAGAAGCCAGCACTGCATGCCGTGGCTCTCGACAAAGTCACCACCAGTCCCATTCACGAAGAAGAGACGCCCATCCCACCGCAGGCAGACTGAACGATTTGTCACTTTCCATCTCGATTTGAGATTGCCTGATCTTTCTGCATCTTTCCAAGTTGCTCGATTATTCTATTCATCTCACGACCGAGTCCACGCTCCGATGATTCCACGGCGCAGGCGCCGTCTTCAATGACATTCCATGGCTGTCTGTTGATACATGTCGCAACTGGATCTGTTGTGAGCTCAACTGCACTTTTAGCCCATCGATTTCATACATTCTTATTCATTATTCATCATTCCAGCCACAGAACATGCTTGGTATCTGTTCGCTATTTATTTCATCTCCGCCATCCCCTTTCTCATCGTACTTGAGCGTATTCTCACCCCTGTGCCGGTTTCATGTCGAATGTTCGATCAAAGGAAATTCTAGGATTGTCATTGTTGCTGGCGGGGGATTTTCAGTATGAGAACAGTTAGTTTGTGTCGAGCACGCCATCGTGCTCGTGGAACGTGTTGGTTCTAGCGCAGGCTCTTACGTCATCATACTAAATTTGAACACATTCACGGTGTCTTCTTGTGATCTGCTATCTAACAACATGGTCAATATTCAAGATCAGTAGTCATTAAAGAATGTGGATTTCTCTTTAAGAGCCTATTCGAAGCAAGTATAGAGAAACTTAAGAGGGTTAAAGGGTTAAATTACACACAATAGCTCATTCGTTACGGCCAATCTCCCTGAATGTTCGACCATACCTTGCTGCTTCCCAGCCATGTACAATCCCACAGACCCTGCGTATCCCGGCAATGGCAGCGAAACCGCCCAAGTAGTCCCACACCTTCATCATAGGTTAGATTGATTCCAAAATTCATCGATCCGGAAAGTCATGACAGCAAGAAACGGCACTAGGCATAACGCCCCCTAACAAGGTGAATTATCAATGAAAAGAAATATCGCTCTGAAAACAACGTCAAGTACTCGTCGATCCCGGCCGTCCATTCCACCCCGTAATCAACGCGCGAACACCTTCACTTCCTTTTCTGGGATGACCGTTGAACATATCACGCACAACACGGACATCTTCGAAGGTGGTGTCGTATAACTCCATTTCGAATTCGCGGAAGATAGTGGCGATGACAAGGAGGATCTCGGCCTTGGCAAGGCTGTTGGGGGGGGGGGGGGGGGAACAATTAGTACATGACTGTTACTCTTGTCTCCCGGCCAGGGAGGATAAAAACGGAGAGGGATGGGGTTATCACGTACGGAATGCCGATGCACTGTCGAGAGCCTTTGCTAAATGCGACCAGGTATCTCTCCAGACGGTGTCTTTCCGTTAGATCCATCCAGCGTTCTGGGTTGAATTCTTCTGGGTTGGGGAAGATTTCGGGGTCGTTGTGCTGGAGTAAGCTTGTCATGCCGACGGGTACCTGGAATTGAAATCAAATTAGTATGTGGAAAAGGTGTCGATAGTGATGAAAGAGATGGAAAAGAATTACCCCAGGAGGAATGACCCAGTCTTTATACATCATCGGTTGATCGGGGGAGCTGCGTTGGAGGCGAGTTGCAACGCCGAAGGAGACTCGAAGACCTTCTAGCATCACCGAGGACTAGGATTGTATGATGGTTAGCTATATATGATCCCTTAGAGGGAGAGCCAAGGAACAAGTTCTCACCAGATATGGCATTGCCTCGTAGTCTTTCAGAGAAGCCGTTCCATCAGGATCCAGTCGTTTTAACTCGTCGCGCAGTTTTTGGAGCATCTTGGGATTATTCAACAGGTGGAAAGTCACCGTAGTCAAATTCTTGGCTGTCGTCTCTCCACCGGCCGCAATCACGGTGAAAACCTCCTGACTCAAACGATTGGCCGCCTTCTCTTCAGGTGGCAGATCGCTCTGCAAAAGAGCATGGAACAATGTGCCCTTGGGCACGATGGCCTTTTTATCCGACACGCCGTCCGCATTCTGACTATCGATCACCAGATTGGCCAAACGTATACTCTCGGCCTTTTGATCAATAACGGGGCCGAAATCCGGATTCATGCTCAGGACCAGCCAACGAGGAAGGTAATCAAAGAGACCCATGATCCACTGGAATTGTTTGAATTGCACTCCCGCGCGCACGATAGCCTGGATCGTCTTTGACCACTGGGGAGTGAAATCGGGATCGTCGAGATAATGGAATGAGTTGCCCATGGTATATTCCACGACCACATCCGTCGTGAATGCATTGAAGGCATGGTACATATGGAGTGGGGCCCGTCTATCGATCCATGCGCGCATCCCATCGCATAATTTGTCCACCATGCCCCGCAGCATAGGTTCCAGTTGACGAATGCGCTGTTGCGAGAAGAACGGGTTCATGGGTTGACGTCGTATACGATGGCGGCGATGGTCGACGGTACCGAAGGCCGAGGCCGGGGCGCCGAACATGCCGGTCAAATGGAGGGATTTGTTCCGGGGTGCTTCGCGGGAATACAGCACGTCGTAGTATTCGGGGTCATTGATGTGTAGTTCGTAGGGACTGATGCGGACGATGGGTCCGTATTCGCGATGCATTTCGGCGATTTTGAAGGTGTATTCACCTTCGAGGTAGGAATCGTAGTAGAATTCGTACCACATGGTTAGGGCCGCGAGCTTAGGCCCCGGGAAGTGGGCTATTGGCGAGAGCCATAGTCGTTGTATAGCGACGTATACTACATAGATGACACCTGCGATCCCGAGAGACAGCACGAGCTCCGTGACTGATAGATGCGACCACGCCATCGTTTTGGCAGGAGATGGCCTTGGGCCACAAGGAAGAAAGAAAACGAATTCAAAGTGCTGGTGCTGTGAACAGGGGGGACGTGAGCTTGAGAAATGGGACAGTCCTTCTTATTTGGTCGTCAGCTACGCGATCCATGCGCTAGTACTCTTCTCCACAGCCGAGTTTTCTTGAGAGTCTAACGGTAGTGTTGACCATTTTGTATTCGTTTTTAATCTATTGTCAGAATTGATTGGCACGGACGAGTCTAGCTAGCTCGAGGCGACTGAAGCGAAGTGTATTAATAACAATGGCATTCATCAAAATGGTGGCCGCACCCGAAGTGCTGGAAAAAGGGCCCGAAGTATCGGGTCGCACGTTTTCATTGGGTCCGAACAATGGGCCAAATCAGAAAAAGAAAAATCAAATCAATAATCATCATCATCATGCAGACTTGCAGAAGTGTTTTAATCGTGCGTCCTACATTTCGTCACGACAGAACGATTCGAGTGGAGCGAGACGCGGACGAGCTTTCACGCCAGGCTGCGTTAGGGCCGGCCCAGAGTTCTTCCCGTCCTCCCCGACCCGAGGTTGGGTGCTGATTGGTGGTGATCCGTGAAGGAGGAGGGGAAAGCAACGGGGCTAACTCAAGTGGTACGGGATGTGTTATGTTAGTCTGATACTGGCGACTGTACGGAGTACTGTAGTTCAAGTCGGACGCCACTGTACTCTCTCAACGATCCAATCGAGACTCGGAAAGATTACCTGACATGACCATTTGTAGTAGGATGTGCATTCTGATAGCCATTTCTATTACATTTCATACCGTTTATAGATTACAGACCTCGTTCATCAATACAAATACATTACTGTAGTTCACTATTAGTTACAGTCACCAGTTCACCCACTCCTCTCCTGACATCCCATCCTCTTCTCCATCTTGGACGCTTCCTCCGCTGCAGGTATCTGCCCACCTTTTTGTCTAACCACCACCCCCCTCTTTCCTGACCTCCCCCCCCAACCCTAATATCAACCTCGTGGATTCTCCATTCGCCATTCTTAGTCGGGTGCATTGGTTCGTCGCTTCGGTTGTGACGCGCCACTTGGATTCCTCCCCTGCCCCTGTTGAGTGGACCCCCCTCCCCCCAAGGCGACACGAGCCCAGCCCACCCATTCGACGCAAGTACACGGCCAAGTACATAAAGGGTTCGTGCCTCCGATCCTACTTTGAGTTTACGCCCTAGCGTTTGGGCCGTGTCTCTGGTCCGGAGTACTTTTGTGACCCATAAGGCCTGTGGACTTTTTTTGGGTCCGTCTCGACTCTCCGTCCATTAAAGCAAAAGTCTGCCGTGAAGACGTTTGAGATTGTCAATCTCCATCACTCGAAAAAGGATCCGAAGCTCTCTCTCAGCTCAGCGTCTTTCCCACCACATCCCCTACTCTTCCTCCTTCCCCCCTCTCCTCCTCCATGTCGGAACCCGAGCCTATTGCGGTGGTAGGTGTCCAATGTCTTTGTCAAATCAATGAGCTGAATCCTCATGCTAATGGATTCCCTTAGGATCCGGACACGTACGCCGTTGAAAGTGCGTACTGGCCCGACGACTGGCAATCGTAAGTGGCCCAAGTAGCGATGGGCCAATTCTAGGCCCGGCCCAAAAGTTTACGAAATTGGATATGAAATCTCACCCGGTCACCCGTTTCTTCAGGGAAACTACATCCATCGGATCGTCGATTTATCGAGGTTTGATCGAGAATGGACGACGGTAAGATACTAAGACATTGGATCCCAACCATCTCGATCACTGACTAAGCATGGCTGATTTCCTGCTTGTAGCTACCAAGCACTTCGAAACAAGGAGTACATGTAAGTCAGCAAGCTGAAACCGTCAGTTTGGCAATGTTGATTCTCATTGTATTTGGGCAGTATCCCGGCCGATGACGCGCAGTTTGAAGCATATGAAGCTGGGTAAGTACTGAATGTGATGATACCCACAGGGATACCGGACCGCATCAACTAATCACCTATGTAGACATCTCTGCGCTCTCATTCTAGAGTCAAGTCATCATAATCCCTTCTTCCGAGCTCCCGTTTCTGCACCGGAGAATATCCTGGATATCGGTACCGGCAAAGGTACCTGGGCGATGTAAGTACTCGATCTCGATGCTGACGCGAAACTTCAGCCTCGCTGACCCTCATTTAGCGATGTTGCCGATATGTTTCCAAATGGTAAGCCTCTCCGAGTCAACACGTGATCTCACTATCATCTAATGCATATTAGCCACCGTCCGTGGTGTCGACTTATTTCCTCCACCAGTTTCTTGGGTGCCTCCAAATTGCGTTTTTGAAGTCGACGACGTCCAGCAAGAATGGACGTGGCACGAACAGTTTGATCTCATCCACATGCGTATCATGATCGGATCTTTCGAAGAGGCCGAATGGGAGCGTCTATATAAGCAATGTTACGAGTAAGTGACCCGAAGATATCGGGTGCCCCCAGAAGATGGAATGTTTGACTAATGGACAACAGCAACTTAAAGCCGGGAGGCTGGATCGAACAATTGGAGGTTAGCCCCGTCATTCAAACTGACGACGGAAGTCTGCCGCCCGATAATATCTTGAACGACTGGGGACCGAACATGCTGGCATGCGGGGAACGAGCCGGTCGAGCCGTCGACACCTTTGAAACAATGACCAACAAGATCCAAAATGCAGGATTCGTCAACGTCCATCAGAAACACTACAAATGGCCGATCGGACCATGGCCCCGGGACAAGGAACTCAAGGAGGCTGGTATGGTCAATCACCAGCACTGGAGTTCCGGTCTGGAAGGCTGGGGTATGTGGCTACTGACTCGATTCGGGGCTCCCCATCCCTGGAGTCAGGAGGAGGTTCAGGTATACGTTGCCCGATTGAGGAATGAGTTGATGAATCCACGTTTCCATATCTGGCACAGAGGGTAAGCCGTGACTACTATCGTGATTCTTTTTTATTTTTGTGACTTGCTTTTTGGCTAATCTTTGTACTGCAGACGGCGGGTATGGGCTCAGAAGCCACTGGATGGTAGTCCCACCCCGACGAATAAACGCCCATCGCGTTGACATGGACCGTCACGGTGGACAATTTCCATTTTTCATTTTCCTTTATCATGTATCTCAGCACTCAGCCTTTATGAATGACGTATTGCATCGAAGAGCCCTATTTCAAAATTCAAATCTATACCCTATACGGGAACTTCTTGACCAATGCTTAATTAAGTTCGAAATCGCTAATTCACCCGCGATGGGAACTAAATTTAACAGATGAATTTGTCGTTAAAGATTTGCATACGTACGTCAAGATAATGGATGGGGATATTTCCGAAAGCTAAGAACCCCATAAAAACCCAAAATTAGGCATCAACAAGGAAAGTCTATCTGATACCATCTCATAACTTTCTGAACCATCGGAGATTCCCCCAACTTCCTTTCCGACATGACCCTCATCTCACCGCTTTTCCGCTCTCCCTAGACCCCTGATCCCATCATCAACACCATCAGACGGCGTGAGCCATACGAGACGTGATTAACGGATACAAAAGATCCGATACTCATCTTTCTCTTCGTTCTGAAAGGGCACGCCCAAGCGGTCCCCCATTGGACGGTGGTCATCCCAAGCCGAGAACGCGCAGCTTGCACCCAACAACTTAGCTGCATTGCGTCGACCGCCACAAGCGCCCTTGGAAACCACCCGGCCACGCCAAGATTATCTCCATCCCGCAACAATACCAACAATAACATGGGTCAAACGGCATCCACCCCACGCCCAGGCACAACCTTTCAAGTCATCGGCGCAGGATTGCCCCGAACGGGGACTGCCTCATTCAGCAATGCATTAGAAATCCTCTGTGATGGACCGGTCTTCCATTGCGGGACGCAAGCCACACTAGGCCCGACGACCCAAATCAAGCAATGGATGGAGATTCTACGGCGCTGGCTCGCCGGGGGCGACTCCGATCGAAGAATCATGTTTGACGTTCTAAAGTGTCAGCTAGACGGGTATGCGGCCGTGGCCGATTCCCCGGGAGCCCAATTCATTCCCGAGTTAATGGAACTATACCCCGACGCAAAGGTGATATGTACCATTCGGGATCCCGTCGCGTGGGAACGGAGTATGGAGCAAGTTCGGAATGCGACCGTCCCTTGGTGGCTCCATTTGGTTCTGTTGCCGTTACCCGGGTTGATGTATTTCATCCCTTATTTGCGTCTTCTGGCGGCTCAGTGGGAGAGATTGTATGGGGAGGCTATTCCCACGCGGCACACTTATGATCGCCATATTGCTTGGTTGAAGATGGTCGTTCCGGAGGATCGATTGGTCTTTTTTGAGGTCAAGGATGGATGGGGCCCTTTGTGTAGGGCTCTGGGAAGGGATGTTCCCCAGGATCGGCCGTTCCCTCATATTAATGATTCTGATGCCATTGATGAAATTTCTAGGATGCATGTTCGACGGGGTCTTGCTCGTTGGGCAGTCATTCTTGCTGTGGGCGCTGCTACTGTTGCGTGGGTTGTGCGCCGGTAGACATGACCTGCAGCTACGAGCTATGGAGAAGTGGATTATTGAATACTTGTATACAGCATATTATCTGAACTAACTGATTGCATACAACAACTTACGACATACATTATTCCCTTGCTGGTCATCGTAAATGCCTCAAGTCTTATATTTCCACGCTAATATGATAAACAGGGATTGACAGTCATAGATAGGAAAATAGAGCCAAAAAAATCAAGTTATTCGTCTCAACCTGGATATAATTTGCCATGGAACACGTGGAGCACAAAGCCTTTACGCTGATGACCTACGCGGAGAACGAAGTAGTTGAAAGCAAGAGTAGACAAGATGACCCGCAGGAAAGCAAAGAAAGAGAACCCCCATACTTCCTAGTAGCAAAGATCTCTCCTCATACATACAATCCTTGTGGCTGTATAATGTCTTTAAGCTTCACTTCGAGTCGCAATGTATCTGAAAATGGACAGAAGAAGTTTATTATCGCACTTGCGGGACTGCCTTATATTCTATCTCTAAATTTACCGCAGAGTAACCAGCTCCTCGGCGCTAGTCGGGTGAATGGCCACACAGCTATCAAAGTCCTGCTTGGTAGCACCCATCTTCACGGCGACACCGAAGCCCTGGAGCATCTCACCGACACCAAGGCCAAGGATGTGCAGACCAACCACCTTCTCCTGGGGGCCGGCGCAAATAATCTTCATCTCGGTGGGGTTCTTGGCCTTCTCTTCGGCCGGCATAACGCTGTAGTACATGGCGGTGAACTTGGTGTGGTAGATCTTGATCTTGTCATCACCGTACTGCTGGCGGGCTTCGGGCTCGGTAAGACCGATGCAGCCAACCTCGGGGTGGGAGAAAACAACGGTCGGGATGTTCTCATAGGAAAGCTTGGAGGTCTTCAGCTCGGGAGGGCCGAAAAGGCGGTTGCCAAGTTGACGACCGGCGGCAATAGCAACTGAGAGAATCGATTAGCTCGTGGATGATGCATGGGTAGAGGGATAATACATACCTGGGGTCAGCTCCGCCTGGCCAGTCACGTCACCAAGGGCATAGACACCGGGGACCGAGGTGTTCTGGTACTCGTCCACAATGATGTGACCGCTAGAGTTCAGCTTCACACCAGGAATGTCCAGGTGCAGGTCCTCGACCTCTGGAGCACGACCAACGGCCCAGAGAACCTCGTTGACCTCCAACTCGGAGCCATCATTGCCAATTAGCTTGATGAGCTTGTCCTTGCCCTTGCCATCACGGAGGAGCTTCACCTCCTTGAAGCCCTGGAACTTGCGGTGCAACTTGACACCGGCAGCCTCGTACCGATCGGTCATGGTCTTCTGAATCATGGGGTCGAACTTGCGCAGGAAGTGCTCGCCACGAATGAACATGTGAGTCTCCACATCGGCAGCGTTCATGACACCGGCCAGCTCGACGGCAATGTAACCAGCACCCACGACGGCAAGCTTCGGGGGAAGCTCCTCCATCTCGAAGAAGCCGTCACTGGTGATACCGTGCTCGGCACCGGGAACGGCGGGGATGTTCGGCCGACCACCGGTCGCAATCAGGATGTGAGGTGCGGTGTAGCGGGCAGTGGTGCCATCGTGCAGGCTAATCTCAATGACAGTGGGCTCGACGAAGCGAGCACGGCCGTGAACGAGGTCGATGCCTTCCCGGTTCCAGTTGCGCTCGTAGACGCCATTCAGGTTGTTGATCACAGCATCACGGGTGTCCTTGAAGTGCTTGTAGTTGATCTTGGTTCCCTCGGGAATGTCATAGCCGTAGTGCTTAGCGGTCTCCAAGGTCTCGTTAACAGTCGCAAAGTTCCAGGTCATCTTCTTGGGGACACAGCTGAACACCTCGGTTAGTTATTGAATCGAAAGGACCCCCATTTAACGAGCAGAGAAAAGCAGAATAACAATGATTACATACCCAACGTTCACACAAGTACCGCCAGAACGGCCGCTCTCGACAATCAGGGTCTTCGCCTTGTACCATCCCGCGGCGCGACGGGCGCTTCCGCTACCTCCGCTACCACCACCCAGGACGATGTAGTCATACTGTTGAACCTTGACAGGAGCCATTGTGGAGGATTCCTTGCTTTCCGAAGCAGGTGACGACGACGAGAAATGCCGAGAAATTGAAGACAGCCGGGAGCTGGAGAGAGTCAAGGTCGTCGCAGAGGAGCGGTTGATGGTCGCCAGAGTTTGGGTAACGGTCGGCCGCGGACCAGTGTGAATGGACTTGGTGACGGGGGACCGGGTCAGGACAGAACTGCGAAAGCTGATCCTGGATGAGGGAATGCGAAGGGAACGGGAGAGCATGGATAGGAGAGGGAGGAGGGGGAAAAGGCCGGCAAGAATGGCGGGGTATGTACAGGGAAAAGACCAGGGAAAAAAAGAGCTGACAAAAGGGAGTGACGATTACGATATCGGCGATCGATAACTACGCGCGCCAGGAAACTTGAACTTGACTCGCAGCGGTCTGGCCGAGGCCACGTGATGACAAATCGCGTTCGATTACGGCATTCGATCGATGATGGAGGAAAGTCTTAGTCAGGATTGGTTCATGATCTAGCGATGCTTACTTGCATTTTCAAGCTATTTCATCCGGCAGACTGTAAGTCTAGCGCAGCAATGTCGCTTTGTATACTAGGTCTGACACTTTGCATACTTAGCCTGGTCACATGAGATGTACCAATTATAGCGATGACCTCGGAACTATAACTAATTAACGTTAAGTTAGTTATGGAACTCAAATCATGTTGACTAAGACGCTGCAAAGTTACCCGTAGCCCTCGCTCTACCCAGCTGCTATAGATGCGTAGCGAAGTGCATGAGGCTGGTTGACTAATTATCATCGTCTGCGACAATGGATATTCAAGTTGATGAAACATGTTGATATGATATCAAGTCAATTATTTGTATCGAATGAATAATGGTCTGCGTTTTAAACAACCTCGATCTGGATACAGCCATAGATGGGTTGAAAATCTCATCACATGCTGGAGAGGTATGATTGAGCCAAAGATTCGTCAAGACAGAAGGAAATATGAAAGAACGTGGTTGCTGCAGGGTTGCTCCAAGAGTACACCAAAGCCAGTCTCGGGGTCTCTCAATGGAGTATCTGAGGAGGTAATCATGGCATAACAGAGGCGGTATACCATAGAGGCAAGAGGATGGCACCGATTTGAAAAGGTGCGCAATATCATCCAACTCGATAGTTGGAATCAAGCTGGTAGTGGGCGATGTTCGAGATCGAGGAGAATGAGGGAACATGAGATAGCACATGAAGGTGTGGGGTTGGAAGGGAAAATCCCTTGGAAGCAGATCTGATCATTTGACGATAATATGAGAGACAGCTCCTCTCTTGCCTGACTTGGCTTGGTGAAACTATATCCCCTTGACGTCAACGCCGATGTGGAGAGCGAAGCGCATGTATGCACAGGGAGGTGTTGAATTCCCTCGCAATTCCACAGCTGGTGCCGTTTGTGCGTAATCGCTAGACAGCCCATATTGCGGCTGGGCCTCGATCGTGGCTCCCAGATTGGTGCTGTTGACTAGCATCAGGGAGGCCTGCAACGGCTGGAGGTGCATTTGCGACTGAATTCGCAGAGATTGCGCAGATTACTTGTAACTGAGATATGGAGTGCGGTGTGTTTGCGACTGGTGAACTGGTAAAAGTTGGTGTTTGGGTGTGGCGTTCCAAGCAAGTCGACCAGATAACTAGTGATTGTATGCGATCACCGCGAAAGAGATAAGGCAGATGCAGAGCGGGATATAGACACTGCGATCCATATCGGCGGGATTCTGGGAGGAAGAGCGCTTCTTCATGACTTGGGCGCTTCAGGTATATAGGAAATGAACGGGTAGAGGTATTTGAGGAAGTAGAAAAGGAATGGATCGTATACTTGTACTTGGTTGAGAGAGGAGGGGAATCGAGGCGGGAGGGGGTGTTTATTTAGGGAGAACCAATCAGCGCCGATCACCCAGGCTTAGCTAAGCGTTGGGCCTCAACAAATGGGCCATCGTCCGATGCCGATTGGAGGATGTCTGCATGTGTCGAGTGCATGGGATACGTGGACGCTTGTGGGGGGTTTCCATGGCGTCCTTAGAAATCACCACGTGAACCCTGAAGACACACCGCTCAAAGGGACTAGTGACACTGCCTTGGACTTAAAATGACTTGGTCACCTGTGATAAGAGGGAGGTGCCCCACGTGATCGTGGTACCTGCAGTAGGCTTCGCGCTTCCCCCGGATTTTCAACACGAACAAAGCACTCGAAGAAGATGATTATGATAGACCTGAAAACTTATTTTTCGGTACCCTTAGTTCTCTAATCTCTCATACGGTACAAACATGAAAGCATTATCGCCAGCACCTGCCATACAGTAAACCAAGTGCTAGGCCACCGAGCAACTCCAGACCAACTACCTCACCAGCGCCACCTGGATGGGCCGTCAACTTCTCGACCCTATCTGTATCCCTTGAAAACTCAGAACCAGGCCAAAATATTGTACGAATCTGAATATGCCTTGGCACAAACCTGGATTCTCCAAGAGAATTTGCCGTACCCCTGTGGACGCGCACGAGCGGCCCTTGTTTACCGGACTGCCCACATTCATGGCCATCGAGAATGTAAGGGGATATACCAACCACCTAACAATTACCCAATCAACGCCCCTATGAATCACCTCCATACCTACTGAGCCCCCGATGTCTACCATCGTTAGCCAATAGAGCAAGGCATCTAGGGACTCTCCACTTGCTCCTGCGTAGCCCTTCTTGGCTAAGGTGCCTGCCCTCGAATGTTCCCTCGAGTATACATCAACAACCCGTCCTCCTTTCATTGAACTCGCCTTTGGTCTCCGAAAGTCGTTTCTTAGCTCTCCAACCCAGTCGACAATCAATATGCGTGTTTCTACTTTCATTGTTGCTCTCGCAACTACGCTGGCTGTCGAGTCGGTTGCGACCAAGATCAACATGTCTTGCAAGTTCGCGGAGGATCATACTGGCATGATACAGTCTCCTTATTGCTGTCGTGATCTGAAGCCTGCGCAGAACAATGCCAAGGCCAACGAGGCTACGGACTGTGAGTTTACCTTGGTCTAGTCATGCATCCTCCTCTTCAACCGCATGTTCTCGAAGTTGCTAATATGTCATGTACCCTCTAGGCCAGCAGTTGACCGAGCCTCAGTTGTGCGAAGACCAGTCGCGCCCTGCTTGCTGCTATGTTGTTGTGAGTGTTCTTGCTCGATTTGATGTTTCAATTGACATACATGACTAACGGTCCTTTGTTTTGTTCCTTAGGGCCCCAAGAAGATCTGTACTTCACACGTTATCTTCCAGGACGCCGAGGACGTCTGAGTTTGGAGATGGGAATGAGAACACCGGAAGACATGTTCATGTATGAACAGAATCGTTTGTTTATGACCAGCAAGGATCTTGTAGGCGAGCTTATTCGATGTCAATACTATCCATTGAGAAGACGTGGATGAACATATACTAGAATGACAAGAATATCTCACGTACCAAGAACATTACGAATAGGCAAAGAGATCGAGATTAAAGGATATGTGAAGATCAAATCTAGTTCGTGTAACAACTGGGAGAAAAGTGACATGTAAGAAACTGATAACTATGGCCTCGAAAGCAAATGTGATGTAATAATGCTTCAGCAACAAATCGCCATATCGCAATGCAGAATAACGCTATGTACAGCTTAACCTCGTGAAGAGGCAGCAAGGAAAACAAAGGCCACGAGACTAACCCGAGTGCACATCCAGCATGCGCTCTGTATTCCGCCTGAACAGTTTCTCCGCCAACTCGGGGTCGTGGGTGGAAAGGTCCAAGCACCACTCGGTGAAGGGGCTGATGTCGACACCAGTGAAGCGGGTATGAGGCCAGTCCGTGGCAAAGATGACTCGGTCCGGTGCTGCAGCCAAGAACTCGCGTGCCATGGCCTTCAGATCACGCATTTGTCCGTCTTTCGTAAGTCGATAAGGGGCGGACAATTTGATGTAGGTGTTTCCGGCTCGGAGTAGCGAGATTAAAGAGTGGAAGCCAGGGAGGCTATATGGATTGAAGGGATTGTTGCCTTTGGCCCAAGACGAGCCGGAAAGTTCAGGGCTTCCGAAATGGTCGATGCAAAGGGAGACACCGAGACGAGGCACCACAGACTCGAGCATGGGTACCATCTTCAGCGGAACGTAGACTTCGATGATCCAATTCCGAGGGCGGGCAATTTCGGCATGGCTAAGTAATGTCTCTTCCAACTCGCTTTGACCCATCACCTTGCCCACGGACTGCAGGTTTACTCGCAGACCACGAACTCCGAGAGTGTGCCACTCATCCAGCGTCTCTGACTGGATCGTGGCAGGGTCAACCACGACCACACCGCGGCCACGAGAGGGACCGAGCTTTGACAGAGCCGCCAATAGGCAGGAGTTGTCAGTTCCATAGATAGATGGCTGGACAAGCACCAGGTTTTCGACGCCCAGGGAGGACTCGAATGCAAGAGCGTCAGCTAAGGTATGAACCTCTGGCTGATAAACTGCTGTCGGAGCCACTGGAAAGCGCTGAGGCTCAACGACATGCATATGGCCATCCCATGAACGCAGAGGAATCCTCTTTCTCAAGGGCAGGCGAGATGTAATGGCCGTAGCCCCTGCGGCCGCTACATAGACCGCACGCTGGGTAATGCGAGTCGGAACCCCTGCGTTGAATGGTATCCGTCGGGGTCCGCCGAGTATAGCAGCATCAGGCTGAGTTGATGTCAGCATTGTGAATTGAATTAAAGAACGACGCTCGCAATGGCCTTGTAGACAGAGCAAGGGAAGGAATGCTCAAAGCCCTTGGGAGATACAACTCACAAATGTGCAGAATCTGATGCTGGGGCTTACCTTGAGGGCAAGTCTGATCGGTATCATGCCGTCGTCTCCTCTGCTCGGTCAACGTCCGAAAGGATGGGATTCGTAGACCTGGAAAAGCAAGGAAAACAGCCGTTCATCTTTTGCAAATTTTTTTCAAAATCTGCCGTGTGCCGTGTGCTTCCACATGGTAGAGCGTAGAGCCCCTCAAACCTGACCCACCGTCGGCTGTTCACAGTCTCTCAGCGGCAACGAGGGAGGGTGACATGGCGAAGGAGGAGTAGTATCAAAGCGGAAGTTGTCCGGGAGCCCTGAGCCATGAATCAAGGTGGATTAGCTTTTCCCCGTGACGCCGTCCGGCAATGAAGTATGGGGCTCGGTCGGCAAACTCATGTTTGATTGCCCGTACTCCGTACTCCGTATGTTTAATAATGTGCAACGATGAAGGTGGAGGGGGGGGGGGGGGGGGGGGGGGGGGGAGTCAAGGGAGAAGAGAAAGAGGGAATAAGCGCAAAGCTTTCCGGACGTTGACCGAGACCTCAGCACGACCCCAAACGGGGTGCCGAGCACTTTCAGTCGCCGCCTGCTCAATTTTCTTTAATACCATCGCCTCCTGGCGGTTATTCCTCCACTACCCACTCCGTTACCCCGACCGTGCCTCCAGCTTCTCCAGCTTCCCCAGATTCTGTAGCCTCCATAGCTATTGAAAAGGGGCCCTCTTGTGGGAATCCTTTACGCAAGACATCATGCAATGGCTGGATCGCTCTCGGTGGACGACCAGCCCATACTATGCGCTGGTGATCGTCGTGATTGCGTGCGGGAGCATTCCTAAAGGTATGCAGATAACCAGATAACCCCCGCTCGTGGCTGGCGACCGGTGCCAACTAGAGTAGAATGTGAATGAGTAGCTAACCATATTTGCCCAATGATCGCAGGTTATGACGAGGGAGGATTCAGCGCGAGCGTCAAGCTCGAGTCGTTCATGGTCGACTTTAACCTCATCAAATCCCATTGGAAGAACAATCCCACAGGGCTAACCAATCGAACTGCCAACATTACATCCTTCAACGTGTTGGGGGCCGCATTCGGTGCGCTAGCTGGCTTGGATCTCAATGATCGCCTCGGTCGCCTTATCTCGTGGCGAGTGGCCTGCATCGTGTGGGCGATCGGGACATTTATCCAAGTTTTCTCGTCTGGAATCTATGGCCTGCTGCTCTTTGCCCGCATCTTCGCCGGCCTCGGTGCTGGCTTGTTAACGGTGACCTCGCCGCTATATCTATCCGAGGTGGCACCTCGAGCGACGCGAGGTCTCGCGGTCGGCATGTATATGGTGATTTTGCTGGCCGTGCTCTCCATGGGTAAGTCCGGTCTTATTGCGGCTTCCAAATCTCTAAATGGGGGTTTTCTGACGCTAACCTCGTCTCTCCGCACTAGGCTTCTTTATTAATTATGGTGCCAATCTCCACATGGCCGCTACCCGTACCCAATACCGGCTAGTCCAGGCTATCCCACTGATTCCTGTCGGTATCGCCTTTGGCCTGTCTTTCCTCTGCCCGGAGACCCCTCGGTACCTGGTATCGCAGCAGCGTCATAAAGAAGGAAAGGAGGTGCTTGCCCTCCTGCGTGGCAAATCAATCGATGATGAGAGTGTGGAGGCCGAGTTTGAGGAGATTGACCGACAAGCGCGCGAGCGGGCTGACTTGAAATCCGTCTCGCACTGGCAGGCGTTCAAGGAATCCCAGTCGAATCCTAATTACCGCCAGCGATTCTGGTTGCTGATGACGATGCAGACTATTGCTCAATGGACCGGTGGCAATGGTATCACGTACTATGTGACCACTATCTTCGAGTATGCTGGTGTTGCTGGTGCGAACCAGTCGCTCATTTCATCGGGCGCTTACGGAATTGTCAAGCTCGTCTTCACCATGGCATTTACTTGGGGTCTGATTGATCGCTTTGGTCGCCGCCGCTGCGCTCTGACTGGTCTTACCCTCCAGCTGGCCGCACACATATATATGGGCGTTTACATGGGCCTCCAGCCCGGCTCCTCAGACAATCAGTCTGCCTCAGATGCAGCTATTGCATCCGTTTTTGTATATGCCGTCGGCTGGTCGATCGGGCTCTGCACTGTTCCCTACCTGTACGGTGCGGAGATCTTCCCGACCCGGATTCGCAACGTGAGCTATGCCTTAAGCATGGGTCTTCACTGGTTCTTCCAGTTTGCCGTTGTGCGTGTTACCCCGAACATGTTCACTTCCCTTCATGTGTGGGGTGCGTATCTGTTCTGGGCGATCATTTGTACCCTGGGCCTGATCATTCTTGGCATTTGGATGCCAGAGACAGCCCAGGTTCCGATTGAGCGGATGGACGAGCTCTTTGAAGGACCGTGGTATCTTCGCTGGCGCGCTCGCCCCAAGCACGTTGGTGACTCGTCTGAAACGACTGAATCAATCCATTCTCACTACGACCGGGATGGAAAGACATTCGAGTCAAGGATCACTTAGTCCCGCTAAGTGACTTTGCACATTAATCTAGCACCATCTATATACCCGATCCCCGATACCTTTCACTTCATTCCCCTCTCTTGACAGCCTTGCCTATGGATATATAGTCTGGCGACTGCGTTGTGTATAAAACCTCTACCCTACACGTTGTAATTAACTCTCAATTTAGAGGGCTGTACATAATTGTATACCCCATTTCTCCCTAACAATCTATTAACGCCTGGAACAGACACAGCGTCAATAATCTGATATAATCAAACTACTGAGCGAGGAACTCGGACTAAAAAGTGCTCCACCGTAGGCTCTGTTCCACCGTATATGGAATAATCTGTGGACACGGTCTCGAGTAATTCAAAACCATGATTGAGATATAACTTCAACGCAGCCGGCTCCGACATCACGTAGACTTTCATCCCATACTGGTCTCCCACTTTCAATCCGCTTTGCACCAACATGCTGGCAATACCCCGTCTCCAGAAGGCAGGGTCAGTCGTCAGATAATCCAAGACTAGAATCACGAATTAGCTATGGGGTGCATCAGGTCCATAAGGTATTCTAGAGCCGTTACTAAGAAAAGGCCCGTCTCGCATAATCCGAGCATCAATAACTTCAAGCGGCGCACTGCGATAACTCATCAACCCACCACTCTTCATACCGATAGGTTGACCCCCTCTCGTATTTGCCTTATGCTGTATCTCCCACTCTTCTCTCTCAGACCGAGTTCCCTCGGGTGCCTGAGCTTCGAGCCAAACATCATTTTGCTTTGCTAGACAATCCGGTAGAATCCACCGCGCGTAGCCAACTACCTGGCCTGACTCGACATCAATGACTTTTTGATGTCTTTTGGTGTCTCTGCCTGTCGCTAGATTCCATGGAACGCGGAGGGCGCTTTTGGTAATGATATCTTTTGGATTGGGGTCTTCCCAGAGGAATGCCCAGTGAGGGTCTGTTAGGCGGGCACTCATCATTGTAATTGCGAGACCGAGGGCGTCGGCTGCCGAACAGGGTTGGATCTCGAATGGCATGGCGATAAGTATTAATAACAGCACAGAAAAAAAAGGTCAAAGGAGTTAAGGTTTGAATGCAAGAAGAGAAGTAGTAGCCAAGTAAGTGTAAGCGATGAATTGGGGCCAGGTGTCCACGACGTTATCGGCCGCTAACGAAGGTCGCAAGGATCGAAATTAGTACCTCCCAAAATCAAATCTATACTACACTAGGAATCATCGCTGCTGGCTATTTGGACCATTGATAGGTCAAAGTGCCTCTATATACGTTATTATCTTGGAGCCGACAACTTTCGACACCATTGCAACCATCCCAGTCTTGGGAATACAGAACTAGATGACGTCGAATATTAGCAAATGGGAATTTTTGAATTCAACTAGTTCCACTTTGTTCATTGTGAAGTATAATCGATATGTATACCGCTTGCTTTGGGTCAGAGATATACGCAGTCTTCTAACACCGAGTCGCATGACATTACTGTCCACCAAATGAGCGACTGGAAGATCGCTCGTGTTGCAAGTCCGTTGATACTCAATTACGAGCGGAAGAATGATACAGAGGCTATATATTATGAGTTCAAGTCTACGAACGCTCCATTCTCCGGTAATTCAGCTGCCGATTGACACCCAGATTCGGAAACGAGTGGGGAATGCTCGGAGATTACGGACTTGTTCTCCACTCCTGGCTACGGCGCAATCAGATGAACAAAGAACTCCTGGATATAATGAACGGCCAGCTTCGAGTGTTTAAAAGTATCCTGATGCGCACAGGCAGGAACGCGCTCTTGTGGTGAGCGCACTCTAGGTTCCATAGACGAGCCGACCGAGCGGAACTTTCACGATGGGCTGGCCTTATCGCTTTCTGGATCTCAACCCCGATGAGAAGAGCCATCGTCGGGAGCTCCTCGCTCAATATGCCTTCTTGTCGCAAACCTCGGTTTTGATCCCGATAACTGGCTATGGAATCTATCGGCTGTGCACATGGCTCTTTGCTGGGAAAGGGGCCTACTCGGCATTGAGGCCATCGCCCGGCAGCACCGAATCAACCCGAGAGCTCAAAGGGGTCTCGTTCCAAGTGCTTGCCCGTCGCTGGAGGTCATTGCAGTGGTGGCTGAATGGAGAAGTGGCTCCGAACTGGGGATTGAGAGGTCGTTGGATTGCTGCCATCGTCTGGACTTCGTGGCTGCTGGTTCTCTGTTTTCTTCAGACTGGCCACGGTAAGTAAGCACTTTCTCCCTTGGCCGTGTCGCCGATGAACTTCCATCCTGTCAACACTCACCCAAACCTCTTTTTTGAGGGTTGCCGGGATGATTTCCCAGGACAGAAGTGCCCAGAAAGTCCAAGCGGAAACGGAAAATGAAATTCGACGATACTGACTCACGATAGACTACCTCCATGTAACGAAGCGCTTTGGCGGTGTTGCCGCAGCTCAGATGCCTTTTCTATTTCTCTTATCCATGCGCACTCGATTTTCCCCGCTTGTTATCATACTTGGTTCCTCACATGAGCAGCTTGTTCATTGGCATCAACTCTGTGGCCGAATCATCATGATCCTCCTGGTCCTCCACGGAACATGGTATATCAACTACTTCGTTCAGAACGGGATTCTTGCGGATCGTCTACAACATCGGCACTCTCTCACGGGACTAATATCGCTATCTTTGATGGCAGTAACCGCAGGCACAAGCCTCGAAAGAGTTCGTCGATGGAGTTACCGCGTGTTTATTTACTGCCATATCTCCATTGGATTGGCGATTTGGCCGATCCTTCTACTCCACGCGAAGCCACTCCGACTGTACGCAGCCGAAGCACTGACATTGTTCATAATCGATCGAGTGCTTCGATACCTGGACACGGTCACGGAACCGGCTACCCTTGAGCGAGTTCCTGAAACAGAGCTGCTGAGGATCTGGTTTCCCATGACCTCGGCCAAGCTGGCTCGATTTCAAGCAAAACCGGGCCAGCACGTTTATCTGTCCATTCCCTCCGACCTCATCTGCACTGGTAGCAAAGGCCTGCTTTCCAATCCATTCACGGTGTCAGAGGTCACTGCCAGCGAAATAGTGCTTGTTCTTCGAGCCCGACGTGGTCCCACAACGCAAACACTACAGACTCACGCGGATCGCTTCAAGATCCACCGGTTGATCTGTATAGAGGGTCCCTACGGGGGCAATTTACCAGTCGCAGAGCTTATCTCTGGTGCTGGCCGTATCCTCCTTGTAGCAGGAGGTATCGGAGCGACGTTTATTCTACCAATTTATTGGGCTTTGCGAGAGCAACTGGAGCTAGAGGCCGGGGGCTCCGACCGACTCCATTTCGTCTGGGCCCTCAGGTCATCTGCAGAGGCCGATTGGGCTACGGATTCCGAGAAACAGACATTCAGCCAGAGCTCGAATGTTCAAATTCACTTGACGCGGAATCGCTTCATGGGAAATACTCTGAACCTCGCAGCTCAGGAGGAAGGCACAGAGATGGATGAATTACGAGAATCTGACGACACCATCGGGGGAATAAAACCACTCGCCGGCCGACCGGATTTGAAGGATATCGTCGATGAAACATTTAGCTATCATGCGGATGAGCACGTCGCGGTGATCTTCTGCGGTCCTCGAGGCATGGGCCGGGAGTTACGGGGTCATATCGGCAAATGGGTAACTAAGGGCCGAGAGGTCATCTGGCACGAAGAGAGCTTTGGATGGTAATTTGAATACTCTATATGACCAGTAACGATTAATCCATGACTCGACGGAATTCAAAATCGCATATCATAGTTTCTCCAAGCGATCTAGCGCTTTATACTTGGAGCCATCTCTCATATTGCGCAACCGCCAGAGCAGTCATCAAGACCAACTCCCGAATATTATCCGTCTCGATCTCCTTATTCTTCTCAATGCCCTCGCAGCAAATGATACCATTTCGATTCATCACTGCCAGAACGGGACCCCCAAATGAACCGGGATCTGCGCAGTTGGAAGAGCGTTTCACCCGACAAATGCGGGTATCGATGTCCATAGCGAAGGGAAGATCATCGGGGACGCCGTTCATCAGTTCAGGTCGTGAGCTATGGTAGAACATCCACACAAGACTCGCCGCATTGGATTTACTATACGAGTCTTTCTGATCATATTCGCGCGTAAAATCATGGTGGTCGATGTCGATTTCGTTGAATTTCCAGCGCTCGCCGTTGGCCAGGATCACTCTTCCACGGTATGAAAAGCATACAGAGCAGCAAAAGTAGCCTGGGCGATCGATATCAATAGCAGCAACGACATTACCATCTACCAAAGGAATAGCTTCCATGTCACTAGACTTCAGGATCTCGGTATCCTCTTCGGAACTGGTGACAATGAGATCGTTGCTGTTCAGCTTCACCGGGTTCGGTCCTAGTTGTGTAAAGGTGGCACCGAAATACGATGCCGGACGCCAGATATTGAAAATTGGAAACTTGGAACCCTGATTCCAGAAAGAGCATTGTTGTAGCTGAAAAGAAAGTGTAGGTTTGAACCAGAGCAGGCATGAACCCTCCGTGTCTATGGCCAGACTTTCGGGACGAGCTATTCGAAGAATCTCTCCACATTGAGGTCTTTCCGGTTTTGGAGGCTCGGGGAGCTCGATCGGCTCTTTGAGGTCTGATATATCTGATGTCTCTGATAGGGCATCGTCGTTGGTACTATAGGCGTTGGGAGTTAGCCGAAGATAGTGTCAGTTTTGGCAAGCCAACTTACATCCAAACGGGCTCCTCGTCGAAGGTGGTATTCATCACGTATGAAACTGCCGAATATGGGGATAGTTGTGTCTCGGGAGCTTCACAGGTCCGCCTGGCATAATATGTCAGACTGTACCTAGGCAAGGGTAAATCAAAATCCGTTACGTCTTGTGTACAGAGCTCTGATCTGACGGGGCGGGATGGGGTACTATAAGCGCCTCATACGGTGGGGCCAGATCATCAACATCATCTCACCCAGGCAGCGCTTTTATGATAGTTTGAGCTTGTTTCGTACCCATTCTACTAGAGAAATGGGATACGTGGAACTCTGTGATCTGAGCTCCAAGCTCTCTAGATCAAAAATGACTGCCTAGAGAAGGCATCCATAGACTTGCGAGGGATCGAGCTGATCCACTTCTCTCGCGGCTTAAAGGATATCTGCTAGTGGGAATTTGAATACTTGAAACTTGTTTCCAAATATTACAGACTTCAGGCAAGATCGTCTTCGAGTGCATTTAGAAAACCCATGCCATAGATGCTGAGACACTTGATTCCCCCACCTTAACGCGGAAATACCTCCTTATCCCAGACAAGGGTAAGAGATGCCATGATAGAGCAGTGAGGTCGGAATTGTGTTAGATATCGCTATCTTTACTTCCAACTGTTCATTGACACCGCATTAAAGTATTACTTTTCCACGAAGACAAAAAGCGGGAAGTAGTAAGGGTAATGCAAAAGAAAAGGGAGAGGTTACCAAGACAGAGTTGACTGGCTGACCCTATCAAGCGATAGTGCATATTATTTACATGTTAATTCAGATGGCGGCGACTGCTTCTGACGGGACAAAAGGCCAGTCAGATCGTTGCCTGCGGTTAAATCAAGATGTTTTACTGCTCGGTGTACTCCGTGCATCATTCCAGCTGCCTGTGTATCGAGAATGACTCGACTGAGTCATACCAATTCGGTTCCAACATCAACAAGAAAAATCTGCACAACGATCTCGGGTTTGAATCAAACTCCATGCACAGAATTTTGACTGGTACGTTGATTCAAAATCTCAAACGCTAAATGTACTATTCGGGAATCATCAATACCAAAACTAACCAGCCAAATGCAAAAGCCCCTACAAAAATCGCTTTAAGTATCACTGGTTATGACCAGTCCACCCGCCATCGAATGAGGAGGTCATCGTAGTCGACATTGGCTGCGCATAAGAAAACGCCTCGAATACCTCGGGGGTGATCTCGTATGCGCTGGGGTCGTCGACCGTCATTAATGCATTGGGCATGCCGCCTAGTAAATGAGTTGGTGGCATTTGTGGCATATCGCCCATATGAGACGGGTCAAATCCGGCGACCGGTTGTTGGAATGTGTTGTATTCGGGAATCATGGAGGCACTTGCATTCGGTCTGGCCCTGCTGGGTTGTGTGCTCATTGCTATGTGGCTTTGCTGGCGCCGGTGTGGATGCGGGATGCCTGGGGAGACGTGGCGAGAGGGACTGCTGCTGACGGGTGGAGATTGGCTTTGGGTGGGGTGAGGAGGTTGGAGGGGATTTTGAGATGGCGGGTGTTGTTGGTTGATATTTGGGGCTTGGGCCAGCATTGGGAGGTGAATATCGATTTGAAGCTTTTGGACTTCTTGGTAGACGAGGCTGAGGGCGGTGGTGATGACGGGATTGGATCCCTTGATGCGCTCAAGTGCGAATATACAGAACTTGAGTTTGTCCAAGGTTCCTGGGGCGGCATACTTGAGGGCCTGGATCTCCAGAAGGAAGATGGATGCGGCCGTGTAGATGCTGTATGCCTGAGATAGGACGACGTGGTTGTCGCCGAAAGTGCGGCGATATAGATCGAAGAGAGATAGGATTGAGGTTGCTGAGGCCATACATTGTACAAGATGACTCTTGTCGTAAGGCTCTTGTTGGGTCTTCAACAAGCCCCGAGAGCAGAGAATTGGGCGATGGAGCAGGATATTGATTGTGTGATACAAGCAGCTAAGACAAGATGTTAGTAAGCAATAGCTGTATTTCTCCCAAAGGAACGTACTTCAAAGTCATGATGTGGCTCGGAGGGGAATACGGTGGTAGATCCATTGCCACAAGCTTCAAGTAATCGGGCAGTCCATCCCACCAGTCGCTAAGGTTCTTGGCTTGTTCCTGGACACAGTCAAAGAACTCCGCTTCGGTGCTTTGCCGCATGGGATCATATATGTGAATCAAAATTTGATTCAAGATCTCAGCAAGGCCGCACATCTGGATGAAGCACGAGGTCGAATGAGCCTGTGTAGGGGGATAGTGGGCTCCATCGGGGAATGTGACACCATGAGGAGTCCAGATCTCGATCTCGGAAGTGTCATCCACTACATCAACGAGTCAGCATGAATATGAATGAGCACGTCGTGTTCGATCAAACTTACGGATTATGCGGGGTGGGCTGACGCGAGAATGTTGCATCGTCGGCGCCCGTCCAAAGTACAAAGACACGATCTTATCCCAGAAATAGCAACTCCAGAAAAGACGGTTCCGAATCTCGATATCCTCATCGCTCAAATGGGCTGCACCGAGATACTTGCGACTATCAATCGAGATTCCTAGATCATCCAGAACCCGGAACGCCATGCCGCTATAGAGCCAGGCTTGCGTCCGGTTACCCTTTCCGCATTCTTGCGCACTGAGGAGCAGCAGCGTTTGGATGGTCGGTACACTGGCATAGCCTGACTTGAGTGACTCGAAGAGCCCCGACACCGCACGTTGGAAGAACTGGGCGCCGCCTTCGAATGAGTCTAGAAGCGGGCCGATCTGGGGCTCTGCCTTGCACCAACGTACGGAGTGGGAGAGGACTGCGTTCATCAGGACATCCGAGTAGTATGGACCCTGGATTTTCATATCACCTGTACATGGGAGATAAGTTGTGGAACCAAATCGCCGAGGGGCTATCAATGAACGTACGGGTGAAGGCCGGGCGATAGACAAAGTTGAACAAGGGCTGAATCCAACACCAATGAGAGTCAAGCAAATATTGGAATGGCTCCTAATGGATAGATCGGTCGTCGTCAGCTGAGGATGCCAAGGTATCGTATCCCACGTGAATAACTTGCCGGCATTGCAGCCATCTGCTCAAATGCCCGTTCCCGCCATGCACTGTTGATCAGTCGCTCTTTCCGCGCCTCCAACTCCTGAACCACATGAGTCGTCGATGCCGTCTCACTCACCACCCCACTGGGGAGCTGGAACAAACTGGTCGGCCCGTGAAAGGAGATGCGACCGTCAGTTTCCACATTCAAGCCATCGAATTCGCGGGCTAAGTCCTGCGTGTCGTCGTTTTCGAGTTTGATTCTGCGGCCGGCGCTCGAGCTAGATTCCGCCACCGATGCCGGAGAGCTCACCTTGCGTGCCTCCGTATTGGCCTGTTGGCCACGGAGCTTGGTAAGAGCATCTTCAAGCTGGGCGACTCTGGTCTCAAGCTGTTTCGTATAGGATAGAGTTGGGGCTCTAGAAAAGGAAGCGCGCAGAAGACGAATCGATTAGCCGACAGCCACGGGCGGTTCACGACCGCGGGAATGGTCCAGGGTCCAGGGTCGATGACGATCGGAGGAACGAACTACTCACAAGCTGTAGACACAAGTCTCGCCTCGTGCGGCACATCGCGAGCACGACGGACTAGCTCCGTTGCATTTGACCTGTCGGATGCAACCGTTAGCTATTCAGCACCCAGCTGTGCCCCCATGATCCGCATGGAGCGATCTCGGAATCTGCCCGAATATCAACCCACCTTGCGCTTGCGACAAGCTTCGCAGGAGAAGGCGCTTTTTCGCGGAAGCGCGCTCTTCAGAGACACGTCGGACATGCCGGAGCCCTCAACCACCATCGATTATGGACTCGTTCACGGAGGGGGCTTGATACGGTCAACCCCATTGGCGACGATCGAGGATGAGAAAAAAAAAGAGAAGATCGAATATGAGGGGAAACCGGTGAGGGGAATCACTGGCGAAATTTGGGCGCTCCGAACGGGCCTGCGTGGGGCAAGGGTGCTTTATCGCGGGGAGCGGTTTAACCTTTTTTTGGGCTACGGTGGACCGGCGCTTTGAGAGCGATTTCGCAGGTCCTCCAAGTTTCCACTGCGCACAAGGGCGAGATCGCCTTGACGTCGGGGTCGGGTTTGCCTGGGTCCCATTTAGTCATTCTTTCCGGTCCCGTGGTTGAGCTGCGCCAAACGGGTAGACGATTCAACTGGCCTCAACGTGCCCTCTTGCCCTGTTGCCCTTCAATCATGGGAACCAATCGTATAGTTGTGCAGCGTTGGGGTCGTTGCATCTGCGGCGGAATGGCCCAATTGACCGCATGCATGGAGATTGTCGTGGGACTCGTGGCTGGGTTTCGACTCGCCTTGGCGTCGCCGGGCGCGCAATTTGCGGATCCCAGGTGGTTGAGGAGCCAGAAGAGGATCAGCCCGGTGGAGCTTAAAAGAGGAATATCCCCAAAGGGTTTAGTCGGTGCTGCACATGGATGGATCATGGAAGGCCTACTCCTGCACGCTCGATACGAGGTACCGGAGTACCACTGTAGATACAGTTCTCGCGAAGTAGTCGGCGATGCGATCGGCAAGATGCCAATTGCGGTAATTACTCGACGTACCGAAGCGTCTGGAAGTCGTGCAGATCTTTGCTGGATAGATCTAGAACCTTGGGCGTGAAGTTACAGTACATCATTCATATGCTGCTATACCCGTTGAAGTATGTACCCAGCGTTGAAGCACCGATTACATCTACATAGATTGATAATACAGATAAGGATGATACCTGATTACAATGCCAATAATATTCATAAATGCGCCCTTTTTTAAATCCCATCCTCGTGCCCTCTTCTCCGTCCATCTATACAAGGTTTGCAAGGATGCATGCCAAATCACACTAGACGGCCCCTCTTGGATCCATCTCCCATGGCCCAGGCGCTCATTTCTTTCCCTTCTTCTTCTTCTTGTCGTTGCCTTTCGTCTTCGGAGCATCTCGCTCCGACTTGCCCTTTTTCCACCCGATATTCCCCTCATGTCTCATCTTCGAATCGTCCAGCCGCTTCTTATCCTTGTTGCTCAACTTGACCTTATCCTTCTTCGAGTTCGAGTCTGGCCCATTCAATTCGGTACGGCCCAACTTGCGAGCGGCCAGTTTCTGCGTCTCCGTCTCGAACCACGTCCGCTTGGGGCGGCTCATAATCTCATGGCCATACTTCATCAGATTCTCGCCCTTGGTGACCTGCATCTCGGCCTGTGCCATTTGCTTCTCGGTCTTCTCTTCTTGTAGAACTTCTTCCACCTCGTCGGCGAGATCCTCGGCCTTTTGCGCCCACTCGTCGGCAATGGCCATCTCGACCACGCGGCTGACGATCTTGGCACCCTGAGCCTTACCGGCCCGGACGGCGGACTTGACAACCTTGCGGTCAGGCTCGGCAGCGATCGTGCACGCACAACCAGATCGACCAGCACGGGCGGTACGACCGACACGATGCAGGTAAATCTCGTGGCTCTGAGGGGCTTCGTAGTTGATAACGGTCTCGACACCCTTGATATCCAGACCACGGGAGGCGACGTCGGTAGCGAGTAGGAAGGCGACCTTGCCGTCACGGAAGTTCTCAACGGATTTGATACGCTAGAGACATAGATTAGTATGAGCAACGTAGCGAAGACTCGAGAAGCAATTGCGGCCGATTGCTAGGGTTGACAGTTCGTGGCTTACCTGTTCCTGGCTCAGACTACCGTGCAGCTCTGCAGCCTTCAAGCCCAATAGCCCGAAAATCACACGGACGCGATGCGCCTCCTTCTTCTGCCGGAAGAAAATGATAACTCGCCCGGTGTAGATCTCCTTGCACAGATACAACAAGTATCCCAGACGCTTGTCCTCACGACCGGGTCGTAGACGAACGAACTCCTGGGTCAGGGTGACGGCAGTCTTCTTCTTTGAATCCACCATGAGACGGACGGGACGGTTGAGACCAACGCGAATCAGCTTGTCGACGGTATCGGTCATCGTAGCAGAGAACAACATGGTCTGGCGGGACTTGGGGATCGTAGTCAAAATCTCGTTCAACTCGTCGGCGAAACCATCCTCCAGCATACGATCGGCTTCGTCGAGAACCAAAATCTCGAGGGTGTCTACGGTGAAGCTGGGCGAGTTGCGCATGTGATCAATGAAACGACCGGGAGTAGCGATAATCACGTCAGGACGCTTCTTGAGCACATTCTCCTGCTCGCGCAGACTGAAACCACCGATCAGCTGACAGAACGTGACGTCGGTGAAGGTGGCCAGCTTGACGGCGACATTATAACACTGAACCGCCAATTCACGGGTGGGCATGAGGATAGCGACACGGCTTGTAGGAGTCTTGCGAGGACGGAAGAGAAGACGCTCAAGAATAGGCACGATGAAAGCACCAGTCTTTCCGGAACCAGTAACGGCGCTACCGACGACATCCTTGCCGAGAAGAGCGACAGGGATGGCTTTGCGCTGAATTGGGGTGGGGTCGGTGAATCCAACAGAGGCCAATCCACGCAGAATGGGACGAGAAAGATTGAAGTCCTGGAATGTGCTGTTTGCCATGGCGGCCTTGTTGTCGACCTTCTCTTCAGGAGCAAAGAAGGCTTTGCGCTTCTCGGCTTCCTCCTCATCCACCTCGCTCTCAATGTCGGATTCACGGTCAGAGCCGATATCGTCGGGGTGGCCAACGGGGGTAGCAACGGAGTCGTTATCGGATGCAGCATCGTCATCGTCGTCGTCGGCCTGTTCGTCTTCGTCTTCGCTATCCTCGGGTCCAGAGCCAACTTCAGGGCCCTCAGCCTCGCTCTCATCCTCACCGTCAGCGCCCATGCCGAAAGCATCCTCTGCGACGAGCTCGTCGTCCTCAAAGTCCACCTCCATGCCGCCATCCTCCTCATCAGACTCGCTGGCAATATTCTCCTCCTGGGCTTGCTTCTTCTTCTGCTTCTTCTTGTCTGCAGCTTCCTTCTTTTCCCTTCTCCGAGTAATAATGTCGTCAATATCCACGGCCTTCTTATCACCACCGCCGTTCTGCTTGGAATCCTCCAGACCCCAACCGTCGAAGCCCTCTGTGACACCACTATTGGCCACGCCACCCACATCGAACTCGAAATCAGGGTTTAGAGCATCGTCATCGGCACCGGGGACATCGTTCTCTTCGTCTTCCTCCTCTTCAGACTCCTCGACCACGGGCTGGGCCTTGCCCTTCTTGCCCTTCACATTCTTGACTTGCTGCTTTTGCTTCTTGTTCTTGTCCTTGGAAGACTCGGCCTCACGCTTGCGCTTTTTCGAGTCGACAGCGGGGGCGTCATCGGCAAGCTCATCCTCGTCTTCGTCGAATCGGGGAATATTCTCGTCGTCGGACAGTGTGAGGACGAAGTCGTCGTCCTTGGGAGCGCTCCGCTTGGCTGTGCTGGGAGCCATTGTGGAAACGGTGGCAGGGAAAATACCTCTATGTAGAGATTGAATATCCCCTGTAGCTTCTCACAAAGATGAAAAGAGAACAAATGCTGTTAATCCCCAGACTCTGCTGCCCGCGCAATCCTTCGAACAGAAATCAACAGCAGAAAAAAAAAAGTTCCCCGGGCGGTGAGCGTGATATATGGCTGACCTAATGATGGACCCACCCCCTGTCACCGCCAAGCTGGATATCAACTACTTTCGAGGCTTATGACCATGTCGGGTCGGAACATTGAATTCTCGACTCTTACACTGGTCGTTCAAAATAACTCAGACTTGTTTATTTTGCAACTTGACGCAGTCATGCCTATATCCCAGACTGTGGTAAATATATACCCTAACTCAACTCCTGGTTTGTACAGGTTCTATTTGTTTCTGAGTCTATGGTGCTTTGGTCCTCTCATAATCGTATTCATTCCGCAGGACTGCCGGCTCCTGGCTGCTCTCTCAATGTTTGCTTAATCTGGATGACTTTCCTCTGTGAGATGGATGGCCACTATGAATCTTGTTCGTGCCCATGTTAATCCCGAAGTGTGACGCATGGTGTGCGGTGACGATCAATGAGAACGTTGCTGCATTTGCTGCTGAACTTGCTGCTGCATTTCCTGTTGCATTTGTTGCTGCACTTGTCTCTGTTGCCATCTTCTTCCAGCATTGATAAGGAGCTGAACGCAATAGATATTCTCTCTTCAAAGAAACGTCAGTACCTCTACGCAATCCTGCTCAGACAAAGATTGAAAGCCACGAAATCATAACGTACTCATGACCGTTCTTGGCGCGGTCTTGCCTTATTTCGCCGAAATCATTGAATCCGAATCTGGTCTTCAGCCAGTGCCAAGTAAATGCATAATTGTGCTCCACCTGAGCGGGATAAGAAATGGCACACATCAGCTGTCTCAGTCGCAACACATCCAGCTGCACTTCCCCGATTGGTCGCCACTCAATATTGCATCTGCGGCGGTAATGCTCGTCACAAATAGCTAGGATGCATTCGACAAGCACAGTACCAAAGCTGCGGCGCATCATTGGTGGGGGCACGTACACGCGCAGGTCACCGATGGAATCTTCGGTCGCAATCTCATCGAAGACATCAATGTAGGCAAGGCCGCAAACTTGCGATTTTGGGATTACCCCGGAGATTTGAGACAGATCCGGCGGTTGGACAATTACCAGGAAAGGGAGCCTCCGGTAGTGGCTAGTCTCGATGAAGTTGCAGACATGTTCAGCCTCCAGAAGTTCGAGGTCCGGGTCATGGGGATGTGATGCTGATGTGTGCCAATTGATAATTTGGACAATATCCTCTGCATCGTCCAGGACAGCAGGTCGGATGTAGGGGCGAGTAGGGGGAGAGGGAGAGGGGCTTTCCTGTGGGCCTTGATCCAGCTCCATCGAATCCCTCACAAAGGAGAGATCTCTGATGCCTGACTCAACGGATGCGAGTCGCAGATCCATGGCCTGGACTGCCTGATGCCTCTCTGCCCACGGAGGTGTCGCTTCGTGGGCGTAGCCCGCTGAATCGTGCTCATGGCAGGGGCTCATGTCGTCGGAATTCATGTAAAGAGAGGGAAAGGGATTGTAATCGATGAGATCCGTTCAGAGTACGGTGGATAGAAGAATTGGAAGAGTAAAAAGGAAGGATGAAGGATGTTCACCACCGCGCACCTAGTCGGCGATCCGCTTTACCTTCTGAATTCTAAGCGTGGACACGGGATCGTTGCATACGAGGCGATCACTCTGTCGGTTGCCCTTCCAATCTCGAGAATCTCCTGATCGTCCTCTTTCGAGTTGATCGCTTTGTATGGCAATGGCTGTGAAGTATCATCAAGTCTTCCCAAACAACCTGATGCCAATGAATGGAGTTTCATATTGATGCTTCACGGCCCTGCTCTTGGAGTCGTTTTGGTATGGAGTGCAATATGTACGGAGTTATCTCATGAAGATCTGCCTTTATTCTCCAGCTTATGAATAGGTCAATCTCTCCCACATCAATATGACCTTTGATGAGCTAATAGATCCTAACTCAGTTTCATTCTGCCCTTGCTATATGCGTGGCTTGGAAATTCCATGGTATTCCGCAGAGGCTGGGCCAACTGCACATCCTTATAGTTTTCTGGTCGATTCGAGAAATCATTGCCGGCCCTCTTCCTGGGTCATTTGGGTAGAGACCTTCCTCTTTGATGCGGAAGAGACTGACGTGGGATTTATGCTGCTATACCAGATTCTTTCAATCACGCCAACCCATTCCATTAGGAGCTCGAAATCGCTTGATTCCACAAGACTCTTATGCAATGCAGCTGAATATGAGAGAAAATCCTGATCCTCCAATATTGTAGACTTCAAGGACGTCTTCAGAGAGCTAAATTGATGTACATTTGATTAAGATGATACAGGACGAAGTTGGACTTGGTCAAAAATTTAAGCCGTCATTAACACACACATTACTCTCATGACCGCCACAGTAGAATATTTAGATAGCTAGTTGAGCACGATGGAACAATTCATGAATTATGTTCAAAGTGAAACTTTGTGGGGAATGTGGTTAGAGTAAGGTTGGTAGTATGCTGCATATCGATAAAGCCAAGAGGGCAAATTCCCGGCAGAGCTCGCACAAGATTTTGCCCCTCTTCAACTCCCCAGGAAAATCTAGCACTCCGAAAAGATAAGAGACCATGTTGTCAATACTGCGGAAAGCCCGTCTGAAGGACAAGGAGATGCGAATATTGATGCTGTACGAACCCTCAGTCCACATGCAAGTGCGCTGCTAATGGTGGAGGTCCCAGGGGTCTGGACAATGCGGGCAAGACCACCATTGTTAAACGGATCATGAATGAAGATGTCACCACAGTCAGCCCCACATTGGGCTTTATTATCAAGACCATTGATTTTATGGGGTAAGTCTACTATTCATTTTTGGGCTGAATACATTTTTCTGACTTGTGTAGATACAAACTCAACATTTGTGGGCTCACCCACGATCTGCCGGATCAGGACAGAACTGACCATTTATAGGGGATGTCGGTGGACAAAAGACACTACGCTCATACTGGAAAAACTACTTTGAAAAAACGGACACCCTTGTCTGGGTAGTTGATGCTACGGATCGTCTTCGTGTGGATGACTGCCGCCAGGAGCTAGCTGGGCTGCTCCTGGAAGAGGTACTTTCCCCACCGCCATTGCCCAACCTTTAGGATCATGAAGCTAAGCGGCTACCAGCGCCTAATGGGAGCCACACTTCTGGTCTTTCTCAACAAAACAGACGTGGAACACTGTATGGGTGAAGATGAAGTGCGAGAGGTATGTGCAGGCCCGCGGGTTTTTGGTGTGATGGTGATGGGATTTTATTACTTCTCGAGCAAAAGCTAATGATAGATGGCACAGCGCCTTGACTTGGATCTAATCAAAACACACAAATGGACTATCCTCCCATGCAGTGCCATGACGGGGAAAAACCTCACGGAAGGTTTGGAATGGGTGGTACAGGATGCTAAAGACCGACTTTTCCTGTATTAGGCATGACCGACCTTTGACCTATGCTGGGTTAGGCCGACTCCCGGCGAAAGTCGGTACCATTGGGCATCTGAGTATCCAACTCGAGGGATTCATGACCTGGAACTAATTGATTTATTCACGGTCGTCCATTCCAACTATAGAACTTTGCGGTTTATCCGGCGTCTGGGCGGGTTTTTTCTGCAGGTCAACCTTACCGGAGGGCCAGTGTTGGTTGCTGAACTACGTCGTTGCAGTTGCATTTAAACTTGACAGGAGATCGGAAGCTTCTATGCAGCGTGCCATAAGAAATGCACATAGTACAAAGCAGGTGCTAATCAACATTCTACTTTCTCCTCTCTGGACAAGAGCATTACACGGCTTCGGGTCGTCTTTCCGACCACGGGAAGCTACAGAAACTCCGAAGATGTTTGATCTCAATACAGGAAGGAATCCTCCTCTCAAGCATTTATCGTACTCAATGAGAAATTCTGAATGAAACAATTCATGCTACAACAACCGGGGAAATCATCAGCCCGGTAAGACCGTGTCTGTCTTCTGAAGAAGAATGGATAATTTAGAACTCGTGATTGGCCGACCCTCGACGGTGTACCCGAAGGGCCATGCTGCAAGGTACAAGCCGATAGATCACTTTCCGAGGTATCGTGTATGGAATATATAGCCAGATTGAGTTATCCGGTCTGTCAAAACCGAGTTGCTCCTTTTCCATTTGGCCCTGAAGGCAACGAAGGGAAAAATTCGTCATTTGCGGCTCACCCATGGGTCCAGCAGTTGGGCCAAAAACCGGCGGGGCTTGACTGGACGCGATCCGCTCCACCAAAACCTTCTCGCTGTAAACAAACATCCCGCACTGGATCTGTGGAAAATACATTTCCTGTTTCACTCAAAGGATATTAATATTAGAGCCTGGACTAGTCAGGAACATGAGAACAGTGGATGTAGAGAAAAGCTCCTCAAGATTATCGTCCTGTCGACAAGTCGCAAAGCGCGGAAGTAAAAAGCCAAAAGGTACCGGAAGGATGTGCGATGATGATCGGAGGAGCCAATGAGTTGCGATGATCGCGTCCATCCCCATTTAATTTAAGCAGGGCGGAGAACACCTAAGCCCTTGAGTCTTCCACTCTCCCACTCCTTCCCTTTCTAAATCCCTACCCCTCGTCCTTACGAACCTCAACGATCCCCGAAGAGTTTGCTGGTCCTTTTGGGGGACGACAAGGAGAATGACGGTCCCCACCAACCCCGATGGGGCCGAGGACGTAAATGACTTCCTGCTGCGCATTCGGGAACTGGGTGAGCGCCGCGACAAAGAAGATGAGGAGCGTACCAAGAAGCTGGAAGAGGAGATTCTGCAAGGCCGCAAAGAGAGACAGGCCCGCCGTGCTGGTATTGTTTCTTGTCCCTCCACTTCCTCCGCGGATTTCTCGAGATGAGTCGCTAGGGCCCTCAGCTGAGCCGACGGTGCACCCCGCGTGCAGCCGACCCCTCGAGAATACCACCCTCCACATGTCGGAGCGATTTGCTGATGATGGGTCACGATAGAGCGAGCTCGATCGATCGCCGGATCCCCCACCATGAATGCTTTCAGGCTGAGTGCCTCTTCTATCGGCCAACCCTCGGCCATCGACCCTCCCGAACAGCTGGAGCCGACGGTGCAGACACCAGATCCCGAAACACCGGGCAGAGCGAGCCCGAGTCAAGAACGAGACATACTAGCGGGTGATATGAGACGCGGATCAGTCCCGGACACCGATACGGATTCCCCCTCGCGAGCGACGCCCGCCTTGTCACGGAGCCGAGCGGGGACCTTGTCATGGCAGCAGCGCCCGTCTTCCCGTGAATTGGGGAGCAGGTCGCCTGGCTCCATTTCTCCGACTCGTTCCAGTCATTTGAGAAATGCATCCACAGCCTCGGACGCCAGCGAGCTATCCCGTGCCCAGATTGCGCAGTCACTCTCGTCCAAGGATCCGTCTTGGTTTCGCCAAACCCCGGACCGAGGACTGGGCTCACCGGCATTCCGTAAGCCCGAGGAACGGCCTGATAGTCCAACGGAGTCGATGACAGCGCGTCGACTGCCCGCGTTGAGTCGTGACTCTACCGCCGAGCCGGAGAGGGTGGAGGAACCCGAGGCGAGATCGCCTTCTCCGCCGAGAACTGCCTCTACCGTTGGAGATAGTAACTTCAGCAATCGATATTCGAGCGTCTCATCTGTGTCTCCCGCCACTGGACTCGGGTCTCCAGTCACCTTGTCGGACGCGCCGAAGTTGGATCCCTTGCAGAATGAGACGACGACAGATCCAATCCCAGCTTCTCCAACCCAGCGACGGATGTCACCAGAGCGAGCTCGCTCAACATCACCCACGAAAGGAATGGGCGGCTTCGTACAGAGTGCCATGCTGCGACGCTCAGATAGCGTATCCAAACGGTGGAGTGCTCAACTGCCACAGGGGTTGAACAGAAGTAACTCAATTATCTCGAACCGTAATAGCGTGGCGGGACCAAGTCTCACCGCGAGTGTCAGTGACATGTCTCCCACGAGTGCTACGCGACTGGCAAGTGACACTTCCCCGATGCCTTCTCAACCACGACCCAGCTCAAGTCACAGCGAAGCAACGGTCCACCCTCAAGAGTCCACAGAGAGACCAACGACGCCCTCTGGTCCCAGGAACGAGACTCGCGCTGAAGGTAGCCCAGGCCGACCCGCCTATTACGGACACTCCAGATCAACCAGTTCCATGACTGCGGACAGCATGGCTGGCGATACTCCATCAAGCCCCTTCACTTCTCGAACCATGGACCCTAGACGCTGGAGCCCAACCAAAGCATCTTGGCTCGAAAGTGCGCTCAACCGTCCAGAGTCTCCACGAACTCAAAAGCAACCGCCACCACAGCAACCCTCATGGGTCCGTGATCGCCAGTCGCGGGGCAGCGTCGATGCTGGCCGTGTGAACAACTTCAAAGAAGTCACCCTCCTTGGCTTGATGCGAACACCCCCACCAGGTGGTCACTTCAAGAAGCCCAGTCTTTCTGGCGCTCCTCCGGCCTTCGGCGTACTCAGCGCGACGAAGACAAAGGAACCAGAGCCAGAGCTACCTGCTCCTGAAGCAGTAGACAATGAGCCTCAGCCGGCGATAACAAAGCCAATTGAGGAAGCCCCAAAACTCGAGGCAGCAGAAGAGGCAGTGCAGGAGGAAGAGCCGAAGCAGGAAGATAAGTCTCCTGTCTCTCCTTCTGCCCCTCCCAAGGTCCTGCCCGAACCGGTACAAGCGTCATCCGAAAAGACTCCAGATCCCGTGCCAACTCGCAAATCTCCACCTCCGGCACTCAGCATGAAGCCCAATTTCTCTCTTCCCCTCCGAGATCCGATTTCCCCCAGACCCAAGCCCCAGTCTCCTGTTGTCGATTTCCGAGCCAATCTGCGTAAACGCGAGGTCGCCAAGGAAACTGGATCTCAAGCAGAGCCCGAATTCAAGAACGTGTTTGGCAAGCTCAAAAAGGCTGAGACTCGCAACTATGTCGCGCCGGACGAGCTCAAAGGTAACATCCTCCGCGGAAAGGCTGCCCTCAATGTGACTGGGGGTCCGAAGAAGACCCAGCGTGTCGATGAGCTCAAGGAAAGCATATTGAAGCGAAAGGAGGAAATGAAGGCTGGTGGGGGATCTATCAGACGCAATACACTTGAAGAAAAGGATGCCCCGGAGAAGCCCGCTGACGTTGTGCCCGAAGCCATTGCTAAGCGCCAACTCATGAACAAGAGCAACAGCGCCAAACGAGATGACGAGCAGACATCTCCTACTATAAGCGCCAGTAGCCCCACAAAGTCTGCATTGATCTCGCCCCGGTCTCCACCTCCACAAAGTGACGAATCCATCGCTGCACCAGAGCCCGAGGTGGCCTCTCCCATCACTAGCCCCGTGACTACAAGTGTTGTGGAGCCAGTGCCAATGTCAAGCCCCAGGGAAGACCCCAAATACATCGCTGAGACGATTGTCAAAGAGGTTGAGCCGGAAGCAAAGCCTGTCCGCGAGACAGCTAGCTCTGTTCGCGGCTTGCCGTCCGCGAGGCGGCCAACAGCAACTACGCCCGCTGTGAATCCATACTCCACGGCGAAAGGAAAGCTCGCAGGCCGAATCAACCCTGCCCTAGCAAATCTACTTTCTCGCGGTCCCCCGCCCGCAGCCGAGGGACCGAAGAAGGACCTGGTGGTTTCGCCGTCTGGCGAGAGTTCGCCCGTAACTCCGTCTGCACCACTTACCCATATGACGAAAGCTCGTGCTAGAGGACCTAAACGAAGACTGCCTGGTGGCTCTGCCATGCCAGATGCTGTCCCATCCGCGCAAGATACTACGGAGGTTGGTGCCATCTCTTCTCCTGAAGTCCCATCCTCGCAGCCACGTCCCGAGCCCGAGGTCTCTTTGGAGCCTCACTCGGAGAACCTGCCGAAAGAAACCACGGTCCCTGATACTGAACCAGCTCAAGCAGAGAGCCCCGTTATCAAGCACCAGCTCCCGGAAGTAAGAACCAGCTTCCAGAATGCTCTCAACAGCGGACTGCAGTATAGGCTGGGTAGCATGTCGCCGATGTCACCGATGTCACCTATGTCGCCCGTCTCTCCCGTCTCGCCCATTTCCACACGAGACGCACCCGGCGCTCAATCTCCCAGTGGGCATAGCGATAAAGAAAATGTCAGTCATGAATACGGGTCTCCAAAGGACGTCAGTCCGGCATCAAGCCCACTTTCAACCAGGCCCCCCGTTCCACCTAAGCCAAGCTCGCCATCGCCGCTACCATCATTGCCTTCAACTCCCGTAGCCAGGCCACAATGGGCGCAGCCACCCCGGTATGCGTCGCCGTCTTCTCCATCGCCTCTCAGAACGAGTTTCAAGGGGAATCAGATGGACACTCCGGACATGACACCCCAGAAACCACTTCCTGGTGTGGTCGTCGCCGACACTTCGCCTCAATCAAAGGCTCTCCCATCTCCACCAATACCTACCAGGCAATCTGATGTCTCTCTCAACAAGCCTCATCATTCGCACCGGCTGTCGCGGAAAATGTCTGCACCTTCGCTAGTTGCACAGGCAGCGGAAGCTCGCGAAGTCATCGCTGGTTTCTTTAAAGCCTTCCCCAACCCGCGAGACCGGATGGACATTGACCCACAGCTGATGTTGACAAGTAAACCTGATGCGACAAAGATCAGGACTGTGAAGCGCTATATTTGGGAGCTGACAGGCGATGGTAAGAGACAAGAACTCCCTATCAACCAAGAGTATGTCCTGTACGAGGGAAGCATGTACCTATGTGTGCATCAGTTCGAAGCACAGGGTAGTGGCAGCACCGAAGTGTATCTCTGGTGTGGAGACGACGTGCCAGAAGCGGCATTAGAAGACGCACAGCTGTTTGCTCGTAAGGTGGGCCGCGAGAACGGGTGCAAGTTGGTCGTGGTTCGACAAGGCAAGGAGCCTGTGCGGTTCATTCAAGCCCTGGGTGGGATCATTATCACTCGCCGTGGTTTCAGTTCTCGCTCCAACTCGTCTGCATTGTACATGCTCTGCGGTCGAAAGCATATGGGCCAGATGGCCTTTGATGAAGTCGACTACTCCCTGCGCAATTTGTGCTCCGGTTTCCCATTCGTGATTTCTGCACCTTTCGGTAAATTGTATCTCTGGAAGGGTCGAGGCAGCGGTCCCGAGGAAACGGGTGCAGCTCGTTTGATCAGCATGGATCTTGGTTTGACAGGCGAGTTCGAAGAGTGTGATGAGGGTCAAGAACCAGAATGCTTCTTCGAAGATTTTGCGGGCTCAAGCGAACGCAACTCCCTTCTATGCTCGGACTACTGGCAATTGAAACCGAAGTACGATCACTTCCGCACAAGGCTTCTTCGTGTCGATCATGAGTTGGCTCAGCCCACGCGCTTCTGGATGCGCCGCCCCGGTTCCGGATCACCAGTTGTCCGGCCGAATGACACTGTCCAGGAGATTGAGCCATTCTGCTACAAAGACCTGACGGAGAAGGATGTTTTCGTCCTGGATACATTCTTCGAGATTTACGTGTAAGTTTACGATATCTCAACCCCTGATCTGAACCATAACTGATGAAATCGCAGCATCATTGGTGAGCATGCCTCCCAGAAGTCGGCCGACTTCGCCTCGGCAGTTGTCTTTGCCCACGAGTATGGCATCCTCGCAGCTTCTCTCCAAGACCGCCCATTCATCCCCAAGAGTTTTGTTGCGCTAGGCGGCATCCCCGACCGATGTCAAAGTGCGTTCCGCAAATGGGACCCCCATGCCCTCTCGGCGCCGTGTGTGTTCCCTCTCGAAGTGGCTATTGAAGCTATCCGCTCGCATGATCGACGAGATTAGAATTCATACTATGTACTGTTTCAGGTTTCTTATTTCTGTTCGTTTGTCTTTTCTTTCTGGTTTTCCCTCGGTTTCTTCATTCTTATTTCTCTGTGCATATTTCGGTCTGTAAAGAGAGCATTTGCGGGAGGGGAGGATGGAGTCTTCTTTGATTTTTACCTTCATGTCTGTCATCTTGATCATCGGTGCACTGTGTTCTAGAAGAGAGGAGCATCGCCGGAGCATTCTGGGTTGTACATCTACCACATTTCACATTTGAGACATCTTCAGTATATGCATAAATCAAGCCATGTTATCCTCACAAAAGCTTCAATCAATCTAGTTCGTACCTGAAAAGGTTGAACTTGATTATGCTTGATGTAGTCATTTCAAGTAGCTCCGACGTCGTGAAAGAACACTCGACAAGAGAGCGCCAGGGCTAACAAGGTTGGTTGTCCTTGGCAATTTATGTACGAACTCGTGAGATAATTGGTGGTCTATCTTTGTGTTGTCTGAAAATACCGGCGTCGTTTCCAAGCTTGAACCTTACAAAGACACAAAAGTATAAACTGTAGATCTGATATCGGAGATAACCCAAAAGGGCAACTGTCAGCTTTAGGTTCGCGGCCTTCGGATGCGACCTCGGCCTGTCGCATTAGCGATCGATCGATCGGCGATGGCTGACACTGTAGGTCTTAGCTGCCTGGATTTCGGCGCGAACCACTAGAACGACCCCTCATACCAGGGGGATTAACCCTTGATTATAGAGCGCATGTTAGTTAGCTAGTTGAAGCCAAGTATGTAATCGGGGAGGTGGACGAGAGTGGGCCGATCCAAATCGCGTATTTCGCCATCGCGACACCTTTTTTTTAGTTTTAGCGTGCCGTGCCATTCTCTTGCCTTCTACCATTCCCCCCCTTATCTCTCCCCCACTGTCCTCCAAGAGAAACCCCAGGATAATCAGACAATGTGATAGAATTGCACTATGTCGTGATACAACCCGATCGATTCATCTACAACGACCCTCCCTTGCCATGGACTCCTCCATTTCCCACGAGCTGTCAAAGCTCGACCCCGCGGTCCCGTTCCGCGCAACCGCCGACCACCTGCATCATACTTGGGCCAAGACCTTCTTCTCTCGACCAGAGCTCTATGTTCGCCCTCAATCCATTGCGGAAGTCCAGCAGCTAGTCACCCTTGCCCGCCGCTGTCGCCGCCGCCTAGTGACCGTCGGTAGTGGCCACTCCCCGTCCGATCTGACCTGTACCTCGTCCTGGCTCGTCAACCTCGATGATTTCAATCGCATCCTGCATGTCGATACCGAGACTCGCTTGGTCACCGTTGAGGCTGGCATTCGCTTATACGAGTTGGGTCCGAGGCTGGAGGAGCAAGGCTTGACGCTGGAAAACCTGGGCAGCATTGACAGTCAGTCAATAGCGGGTGTCATTGCCACCGGCACCCATGGCAGCTCCTTGCGCCATGGCCTGCTCTCGGAGTGTATCGAATCGCTAGGCCTAGTGCTATCGAACGGCCAGCTGGTGCGCTGCAGCGCTACCAACAACTCGGATCTCTTCCGTGCCGCGCTGGTTTCTTTGGGCGCGCTCGGAATCGTGGTCGAAGTGACCCTCAGGGCCAGGCCTGCATTCAACATCGCTTGGCGCCAGGAGAGATACTCTCTGTCCAAGGTGTTGAGTGAGTGGTCCACTGGACTATGGACATCGCACGAGTTTGTCCGCGTCTGGTGGCTACCCTATGAGAAGGGCGCGATCGTCTGGCGCGCGGATCCGACCGACCAGCCTCTTCGCGCACCTCCCAAGAATTTCTATGGCGAGTGGTTCGGTTACCACGTTTACCACAACCTCCTTGCGCTGTCCTCCTACGTTCCCCGTATTCTCCCCTGGGTCGAGTGGTTCATCTTCGGCCTGCAGTATGGGTTCCGTCCGGGAGCAACCGTTACCGAGGCTGTCGAGCCGGCACGCGCCGGTTTGCTGATGAACTGCCTATACTCGCAATTCGTCAACGAGTGGGCGCTGCCCCTAGAGAAAGGTCCCGAGGCCATCATCCGCCTCTCTGCGTGGCTCCACGGGGATCTTCAGACCGCGCGCATTCCCTTCTCCCCTAAAGGTCTCTGGGTGCACTGCCCAATCGAGGTGCGAGTGTCGGACTCGAGCAAGAATTCCAACCCACGTCCTTTCCTGGATCCAACGTGTCGCGACGAGCCTACGCTCTACCTAAATGCAACTTTGTACCGGCCGTATTTCCGAGATCCGCCTTGTCGTCAGCGGTACTATGAGGCCTTCGAGTGGCTCATGCGGGACATGGGCGCTAAACCCCACTGGGCGAAGAACTTTACCACCCTGGATTCTACCGAGCTGCACCGGCTATACAAGGATGATATGGATCAGTGGCTGAAAGTGCGGCAAGAGGTTGATCCGGAAGGCATGTTCTTGGGTGAATGGCATTGTCGTAACTTGCCCGTAGTCGGTCCCTCCGAGCACGATGACCAGCTCCCTCTGGCGGAGCGTGAGAGCCAACGTTGCAAGGCGGACATCAGCGGTGCTGGTGATGGCCTCGAGTGGATCGGCGAACGTCGGTGGCAGAGTCAAACTCATTCGGAGGAGGATCACGCGTCTGAGCTGCTACACGACCATTCAGCGCCTAGTCCACCAACCACAGCGACTAGCGAGGAAAGCTTTGATCTGCTTGCAAAGGGTGAAGCCAGCATTTTGATTCATGGTGCGTGATTTGCTTATGCTAGATCGACCGACATTGTCGAGGGTTCAAGCATACAAGGCCCTGTGGTTAGTCGGGTGAATACGCCGAGCAGTGGTGTACCTGGCAGTGAGAAGGGTGGAAGAAATGACAAATGAAAAACGCAAGAACTGATTCAACTATTACGCCGTTTTGAGACGGACTACATCAATTTCCCGTTGGCCTGGCCTATGAGATGCCCGCTTGGCTGTTTCTTAATGCAGGTTGGACACATTGTCACGTCCTCTTTTACTTTTTTCTTTCTCTGCTAGCGGCCAATGTGACAGATTGGGCTTTGAAAATTGAGCCAGACTTGGATCCACTGCTCCTTTAAATGCCTTTGATGCCTCTGCCCCCTCACTATCAGGGGAGAGGGTTGATTTAGATCTGGTCCTGATATAGAATTCGTGCTCTGCACGTATAGCTCCTCCCCCTCTCATAAAATCGTTTAGAAAATACAAACTTAGATCGGCCTCAAAAAGATTTTCCACAAAGAATAAGACAATGACCTGCACCTCGCAGACGCGGATCTCTAGCAGAGTCACTCGGCACGACAGCCGCTTATAGGCTATGCCCAGGTTTTGATCGAAGCTAGCAGGTCATAGGGCGTGATCTTTCGGTTCTTGCATACATTGTACTCTGAACTTGGCAGGCATCAATCAGCAGTGCGGTTGTTGATCATGTCTCCCCGATGAAATGCATTCTTGTCTCCTCAAGAATTGGATGAGAAGGTCGTGAAGCCTCCCATCACCTTCTCTGTTCAGCTCAAACCCCCTAACTCTGGCCATTCAGCTGTGAGGAAACATACTAGAATAGATTATCAAACCATTCATGCTCAAAACTAAGGGTCTTTATTAGGAAACATGGAATGTAGATTATCCAAGCCAAAAACCGAGGAGCCTGGAATTGCAAAGCCCGAGCTCCAAAGCAGGGTGCACAGCACCAGTCGGCCTTGCCGGGGTTGGAGGGCTGTACCCAGTAGACTATCGTAGACTGTACAGTCGATCGTACTCCACCGGCCGTTACACGCCGGGGGTTGTGCAGAAGAGCTGGGAGATGTGACTAGCATGGATGCAAGACACGTTAGACACACAGATCCGTCGTTAGAGATGAGCAGAGTAGATGGAAGGAGGGATGCACGAGAGATGATCTTAGATCAATGCCGATCGGGAGGTTCTGATCTGGACGGGTGGTCGTGTCTCCGTTGGCCTTGTTGTGTAAGGAAATTGTGTTTGTTGGAGGTAGATGGAGGAGATTATCATACTTGATTGCAGTAGAGGGTGGAGTGGCCGTGATCGAGACAGGTAGAATGAACATGATGTATACATGGAGAGGGAGTATACAGAGACATAGTCTACACATCCAATCAAGTATGTAGACTTTGTCAGGCTCTTTTCTTCCATCTCTCCGGTCTTTTCTCTTTTCTCTTTTCCTTTGCCTATCCTCCCTTGGGCACCCAACATGTTTCACCTACATACTACTACGTACCATTCGGAATCTTTCCTCCATCACTGACAAAAGACCGACATTGTCCAGGAAAGAGCTGATGATTAACCACGAGCAACGTCTTCTTCGTCTCGCTCTCTCTCTCGCCTCCCCTGCAGACAAAATAATAACTCCGTGTCCCCTATTTCATGGCGTCTTCCGGGATTACCCATGGCCAAGAGCATATCACCTCGTACCACGTTTCGGTGCATTGGCTGCAAGGATATCAGGTGATATGGCCGAAATACAAGGTACTGTACAGTGTACACCGCTTGCGACCGCGTTCCCCTCAGATCAATTCTCGGCGGCATGACTGGCAGAGTCGACCTGCAGCAGATCACCAGCAGTTCGAATGTGCAGCGGGGAGGGAAGGGGGCTCCTGTAATCCAACGGGCTCGGTGGCAGACTCCCCTTGGACAATCAATCCAGTGGGCTGGAGTGACTTACCAGTGACACTTTCAGTCGACTTGCTTACTTTTTTCCCAGCCACTGGGATTGCACGTGTTGATCCTGGAAAAAAAGGCCCAAGCTGGTTCACCGTGTGCGTATGACAAGGCGTGACTCCATTGCGATTGCCTGGGGACATTTGCCGCACGGACGAAATCAATCGTGCTGAGAGGCGGAGCGTTGATCCTGCTCTCTCGCTGCCTAATTGACCGGGGTGTGTGCGAGGTCCAAGATGGGTATAGCCCGTGACTATAGCCCGTATAGGGTGGAAGATGGTGAACATCGAAAGGCGTCTCCAGAGGCGCTGTCCGTGTGCCGAAGCCTGGATCCACTGACGGCTCGGACCGTGTCCAGCGTCATCACAGTCATCAAATGCATCCAAAGGAAACTAATGCAATGCCTCCAAATTGCTGGGTCCTGTTTGGCCCCTCTGTCGGTGCGTGCTCACTGAATCGCGCCGTGGAAACTATGGAAATCATCATGCCTTTCTCCCACTCGTTCTTCCACCTCTACCAGTGGTCACGAGCCGATGGTTGCTGGCTACCTATAAGCGCGTCAACTATAACCCGCTATACCTTTTCAATTTCTGGCCATTTGTCTCGATTCCACTCATCCTGTGGGCGGAGATCCCTGCTTTGTACCTCCCACAGCCACAAGATGTCGCGAGACCCCCGAACGGCCGTCCCCGGTTGATATTCTGATAGATCCGTCCACGTTACCCGGTGGTATCTTGCCCATCAACCCCTCCTCCACCGAGGACATGATCCTCTAGGTACGGGAGACCTGTGCTGATGATGTGGGGCAGAGGGGGTGAGGGGTCTTGCTTGATACTTTCGTGGTCAAGCTGGACTGAACTAACCACTCAGGATAAACCAGATGGGTTGGCCCCGGCTTGCTCTGCCCAACTAATCATATTTTTATCCCATATAATCAAGAACATCAAGCTGGCTGCAGGTGATTGAGGCTGTTTTGCACTGCAGCTCTTTTTTTTTTCTGTGTCCATTATCTGATAATCTCCATATACCCCATTTCGCCATACCCATACTCCTGTTCTACCATTCCATATCACCGACACCGTCTGCTCCATCCAGACAATCTGCCTATCGGTCATAGCTTCTGCCCTTGCCTTTTTTAAACCTAGTTATTGCACTCGTCTATATCACCCTCTTCCAGGTCCTATCCATTGCGTGCATTTCCCTTTCTCAACCTATATCCGACCCTTTCTTTTTCTTTTCTTTCGCGCGAGTTCGTGCTCGGGTGCCTGCACCTACATTAGCGGGGGCTATAAGCCAACCATGCCGTGGCAACCTAAACTTCGTCCCAAGGGTTTCCCACATAGTCTTGATGACTTTGCTGTGGCTTCGTTGTCGGAGTTGGAGCATCGTTCCAGGACGGGCGAGGAGAAACGCGACCAGCGAGTTTTCCGGGTTAAGCGGAAGCATGTCCTAAAAGCCTGTGATCGCTGTCGGGTTAAGAAGACCAAGGTAGGTCGCTGACAATTGCACCTAACGTTAGCTATGATATTGACTTGGTATTACAGTGCGATGGTAAACAGCCTTGCAATCGCTGTTCGGTATATAATCATCCATGTTTATTCCGTGAGAGGAAAGCGACTCAGACAAAAGTGTATTCTCGAGGGTGAGTTTCTCGAGGCTATATTATCGCAACAAGAACAATCACTAATCATTGTATGGATCATTCATAGGTTTGTCGAGATGCTCGAATCACATCACTCACTGGTCGTCAAAGCCCTTCAAAAGCTATACAAGTTCTGCATCGACAAGGAAGACTTCCCGGGCGAACCACTCGCGGAAGCCCCAGACGGCCATCCACTCACACACGCTATCCTCGATCGACTAGGTCTCATCAAACAAGCCGAAGACAACGCAGACGAGCCAGAAGAAGACTCTGAAGATCTGCGGTACTTACGACTACTCTCTACATCAACGGAATGCAGTGCCACGGCAGAACCCTCCCCAGAACCAACTACACCTCCCGAACCTTCACCAACGACACTCTCCTCGCGTGCCTCGATCTGCAATTCCCTCCTCACTCCCATGACGAGTCGAAGTAACTCAAATTGGCAGTGGGATATGCCCACAGTCCCACAGGCCGGTTACAGTTATCTAGATTCCGGCTTCCAGGATATACTCGCCATGCAACACAGACCATCGATCACGTCCGCGGATCTAAGTGCGGGTGAAATCTCACCTCATGTCGATATCCCCCCTGGATCTTCGATTTCACATGGCCTACAACCACATGAGCAGCAATCTTTTGCATACTTTCTTGATGGAGGTTGCAATGCGGCTGATCCGTCTAATGCTAAGACTGCCGTTCGATTACACACCGGGATCATGCCCGAGTCACATCATCATGAGATGAATGGTTTGTCGAGTGCTTTGCTCGGTGACTTTCATTTTACCACACATGAGCCGTCACTTTACCCTGGCTTTACGCCCGGTTGGTCATTTCCCTCTGCATGAAGGAGTTTTTCTATGTTTGGTCTATCTTTTCAATCTCCGCTCTTGGTATTGAGCATACCACTATCCAGTATACCTTCTGATTCGGTGTCTCATATTCAACTATGCGGGTTATTCTATGACTGGAGTTTTGAGCACGGCTTTACGGTACGGCTTCTGGGTCTCCCTTTCTATGTTGCAGCTATATCCATGCGAATGAACGAGATTGACTTTTCCCCAGATTACCTAAAATACCCTCTTCACGTTTTCCGTCTGGAGTTCAGGGTGCTACAGTACATATAACTGGCGTATCGGTGTTTCAAGTATATAAATGGAGTCAGGCAGCCAGTGTTATGTGGAGGTGACTGGCTTATTTGATTTCTCTGTTTTGACTCTCCTGAGCTAGTTTTCTGCCGTTCTCTGCATACTCAGTAACATTTCATACTTCTAGCAAAGAAAGAAGACAAGATCGATCAGCAAAACTAAGCTTAACATGTTCAATTTTCTCCGTCAAGTTAGATAGACCTATCCCAATCCTTGTTTCCATGTCTAGATCGGATTTCTTAGATATTACCGGGCGTAAGAGGATATATGCCACGGCAAACCCCATCACAAAAGTAAACTATTTTGCAAAAACGTTCCTCTTGCCTATCAGACAAGCCCAGCTCCACCAATGCCAATGCCCAGAAGTCAAACTAACATGCTCTACAACTATCCCAAGCCCCACAGACCCGGTTCAATTAACGCCTAGCTAGATCTGTATCTCTCTACAACCGCACCCGTATCAGTCTAGGAGCACTGACACAAAATGTTACTGTCTACAACCCACGAACTGGAATCTACCCTCGACTAACCCGGTATAACCCCAGGAACGCACCACCCCCAATACAAGGCACCACAAAGGCGAACAGTGCGCTTGATTCGACGTTCGTACGAAGCCAAGTTCAACCAAACAAGAGACCGAGGGTATGACGACCTGCAGCGTCAAGAGACGCCATGACCCCCTGCGCACCCGGGGATGGAATATGGACCTAGGTTTACTACACTGAATGCACATCTTACGACGGAGGCTGATTGATTTCAGTGGATATGTTTGATTTAGAGGTTGTGCGGGATGGCAGAAGGTAGATATTTGGTATTCCCAGAGTCTATTTTCGGCGGTGGACCGGGGGTTGTTAAAAGGGGGTAATGTTCTAGATGAACATAGACGTGGACACGGACATATAGAGATCAGAGAAGAGGGGGAATGCAGCTCGGAGCGAGGATGAAACAAGGAGGAATGGCACCAAGATGGAGAATGAGACAACACCCGAAGAAATACACCCAATGGGACGACGACCGTCGTGGGAGGAAAAGAAGGCAAGACAAAGAAGAACCAGGGATGTCTTATGACAAAAGTGATAGAAGAGAAAAAAAAAGGACACCCAGAAACATCGGTCCTAATCGACCAAACAATGTCACACAAGTCCCGTGTACAATCCATTAATCAAAGCAAGGTAGATGCGATCAATCCTCATCCTCCGTCTCGGTGTTGGTGTCGCTAGTATCGCCTGCGTCGCCTTCAGTGTCACTCTCCTCGCTGGAGGACTCGGAAGGCTTCTTAGCCTTCTTAGGCTTCGGAGCCTGGCCAGTCTTGAGCGCCTGCATTTGACCGGCGATGGAGTCTGGATAGAAAGTTTGTAATTAGCATTCGACCTACACAACCGATACAACTGCGCACAAGTGCCGCGACACAAGTACGGGAGGAACAACTCACCTTCATCCGGTTCGCTGATGTCGTCTTCTTCTTCCAAGGCAGCGGCCTTGGCGGGGTCGTCAATATGCAGGGTAATCTCCTTCTTCGTGTCCAGACCCAGATAGCTGTCGCAAACCATGTGCATGACGAAGGTGAAGTCACCGACCTGCGGAGGAGCCTGGAACTGCATCTTGAGGGTTTGCACGTTGAACGTGGGCTTGCCGGCCTCGTCGAGAATCGGCTTGTCAAAGGTGGTGAATGTGAAGGGAGGCACAGCCATCTTGCCTTGTTTGGCGTCGGCCAGGAAGACATGCCAGCGAGGGGAATGATCGCGGGCGAAGTAGGGAGCGTGCGCGAGGGGAGGTTGGATGGTCTCAATCTTGTTCTCAACCTTCTTGCCATCGACCATCTTGGTGGCACGGTTCTTGGCCGGCTTGCGGCCCATCAGCGCGTCCAAGTCATCCTCATCGGGGTCGATGTCCTCCAAGTCGAGCTCATTGATCTGGGGCACTTGCGTGCAACCCGGTGGGACGAATCGTGCCTTCACAACCAGCTGTACCAGACTGCTAGGAGTGATAACCTTCTCACCCATGACCTTGAAGAATGCCTTGGAAACCTCCAGTGCGGGTAGCTGACGAGCCACCGTGACGGCATCCGTGTATTGCTTCTCAGACAACAGACCAGCGCCCACAGTAAGCTTGCGGCGCTCGTCCTCGGCCAATCTCATGAACTTTTGAACAGTCCAGTGTTCCTTGGAGTGCTCGCCTTCCACAGACTTGACAATTGACTCGGTGAAGTTGGGCAACTGCAAGAGAGGGGATGAACCGGGGGCAATAGCTTGGATCAAGTTTTGAGAGACCTGGAAAGCACCGAGAATAGGGCGAAGGCTACCGAATGCCAGAGAGATCGCGGTAAAGGCCTCGCCTAGGGTAAGAGCGATAGGCGCAGCTTCGTACTTCTCTGCGTCAAGTGTCGCATCACCAAGATCAATACGGCCGAGATACGCCCACAGCAAAGCCAAAGCCTTGCGACGGGCGGAGTTGTCCATTTGCTTAATCGCCTCGCGGTCCTTGGCAGTGAGGAATGTTGATTCTTCAGCCAGAACCTTCTTCTCCAACTTTGCAAGCCCGGCTTCAGCTTGAGCTCCCTTGAGCATTTCCTTGAATTCCTCGCCAGAAGACAAAGCGGTGACAATGCCACCGTCCAGAATATCTTCCTTGTACTCGCGGAAGATGTTACCTGCGCTGGCAACAAGGACACGCTCCTTGGTATAGCGCTGAGAACCATACCACCACTTTCCGACAATGTAAGGCAGAAGAACACCCAACAGAGCACCATAAATTAACAGGACGTATTTGCCATTGCCGTCCATGACAATCAGTTTGGGAAGGGCGATACCAATGCTGAAGCTCTGCTTGCCATCGGGGTGGCCATACTGGAGATAGTTATTTCGGATTTCTTCGTCAGTGAGCGCTTTATAAGCCTTGGTGAGCTCTACGAAGCGCTCATTGAGCATCTCCATAGTCTCATTCTTGGCGGGATCGGGGCGAACTTTATCGGGGTGATAGATGAGGGAAAGGCGCTTGTAGTGGCGAGAAATAGCTTTTTCGTCGGCGCTCTAATAATTCCTTTTAGTCAGTGCGAGATTCTTTCTTTTGGCTTTGCTAGGAGCTCGCGGCGACAGCCAGCCCCGCCATGCTCGGAGGTCCACACAACGTACCCTTGAGACGCCCAAAATTTCATATGGGTCATATAGTTTGGCGACCGTCCGCGCCGTCACGAGAATGAGATACACCATCCAGGCCATCACGATGTAGCCCACAATCACAGTGATGATGCGCTTGATTCGGCGCTCCTTGCGCAGACGCTTGCGCTTCTGCGACTCGACGAGATCGGCATGTTCAGGTTTGAAATCGGATTTGATGCGGGGAGCCGTATTCTCAAGCTCTGTCGGTAACGTATGATTAGCATAAACTACACAAAGAACAGCTGGACCGAGTCACACACCTTTGCTTGGTCGGAGGAGGTTGTAGGTGAGAGGGAGCGTGACCAAGCCGGTCAAGGTCAAGATGAAGAAGGGGAAGAATTGTCCCTGGTAGCGCATAAGTAAGCTATGTCAGTACTTCCAGCATCGTCTGAGAGAGCAATAGGGAGAGAGAAGGACTCACCTGCTCATCATAAGTGTAGTCTGACGACATCCTGCGGCGAATTCGGGCGACAGCGGTGGCCGCCGCGGAGTTAAAAGATCGTGGGGTGCCGAGTTACAGGGTCAAAGCAGATTAGGCTTGAGTGAGGGCGTCGAGAGTAAAAAGAAGTAGCCTAAATAATTGGAGCCACAAGCATGGCCCTCGAGAGTCAAATGAGCGTTGTAAGGGAGTATTCGCGCTTCCTGATCTGGTGATGACCGTGTCCTCAAGTGGTTTACCGCCTGCCTAAAAGTGCGGTCGGGTCCTTCGTGGGTGAAGGCGGTGAGCTGAGGACAACATTGCACTTTCCCTGCCGATCATTGTGCTTATCCTAAATTGGAAGGAACGAGCTAACTACAGGCCATGTGAGGGCTGCTAGTTAGTTACAGTTTTCGGTATTTCTAGATCTCTAATGTTTTTTGGGGGAATCATAATTGAAAAGAGAAATCCTTATTTGAAGTTTAGGATGCTTAATTGCAGTTGACTCATTATATGCAGGCTATGATGGTCTAGTCTAACCTATAAAGCATAAAGAATCAATAATATGCTCCGTAGGATTCTTGTTTCACTGTATGCGGCAGCCTTATGTTCAACCACCTCGCATTTCAACAGAACGGATCTGCATGTTCAAGGAGAACAAGCCACAGGGATGACTCTCTCGCTAGCACCCACAAAGGGAATTCAAGCGTCAACAATCCATAAAGATAGGACGCGAACTCGACCGATGCGAGGCCCGCGAGACAAGTCTACTCGTGACTCATCCCATCTCGAATTTGCAAAAATCGCAAACCACGATCCACATGGCCGGGTCGAAAGGGACCAATCCAACACTCCTGTGGGGGGGGGCGGAGTGTTTTCATTGCTTCAAGTCGGGGACCCGGGGAGTCCATGTGATATGGTGTTCCAGTCATGCTCGTTGCGTCAAGTCGGGACTGTGGCTGAGGGCGCGCTGCAGTGGGCAAGGGACGCTCAAGGCGAGCCTATGGCCAAATCGAACGGGGTGTTTTTTTCTTGTATATTGCATGAAGATCATGAATCATCGCAATCAGAGAAAAGAAAAAGGAGTATAGGTATTTTTTGAAGTTTTTGAGATGATTCCGGCTGGAAAGAGCATTCAATCTCCCAGAGTGCTGTTTCGCAGTCTGACGGCAAATGAGTCAGAGAGATGTTCGGCAAGGAAGAGGAGGAAGATCGGGAGACAAGGTGGTTACTCACGGGTCGATATAGTCGAGACCATCGAAATACTCCAGCATGCGATAACAAAGGCTTAGATCATCGCCCGGCTCGCCGCCGAACAATCGACACTGCCGTGCCTCGAGACCGATGCTTGCTTCCCGCCGTTGCGGTACATTCTCACGGATCGGCCAAGCCGTAAACCCATAATGCCAGGTCGGGGCAGGGGCTGCTGAGACCGGCGATCCAGGTGAAATGCATGCAGCGGGCGGAGTATAATGGAGGGCTACTGGCGGACGCACGGGAGTATAAGGGCTCCAGATTGTAGATGGGAGAGTCGATGGCGAGTGAATGTTTAACAATTCGGGCGAGTCTTGATCGAAACTGTTTCTTCGCTTGCTGGAACGAGGACGAGTGCGACGTCTGTTATGCCTCTGGCCCATTCTCTGAGATATATCGGTTGGCAATATCGAATTTGGGGAATCTCCAGCCGGGAGAAGAGATAATATGTGCAACGAAAAGAAGAACTTTTGTTTTTAAGGACAGAGGGGAGTGACCATCACCCCCTTTGGAAAAGGAAGGATGAGATGAAGAGTAAGAAAAGAACCGGAGGTGATCTACTGCAGGGGTGTGGATAGCTTTATACGGAGCCTCTCCTGGTGAAGCGGCTCACAAGGTATGAGTTGGGGGTGAGTCACTTACTCCGTCCGGAGGCTCTGACTAACCCAGCCCAACCAATCAAAGCCACGAACCCGGTTATTTCGGGCCAAAAATTGCAAAGAAAAAAAAAGAGAACGGACCCACATCAACCTGGGTGGAACCACCAGACTCCGGCAGATCACCTTATGGCCTTAAAAATGGCGCCAAACCCTTGCACTAGCGCTTGGAAAAGGCGTGATGTGAGCTCGGAGTCACTCGGTCCTGACTGACGTGATTCGTTTTTTTTAGTATCGCGTGATGGTTCGTCTTGATCAGTATATAGTTTTCGATGCTGTCGCAAGTGCTGTCGCAAGTGATCTTCGTAAATGAGGTGCGATTCTACACGAATTATGAAAATATTAATTCTATTGCCTAATGAGTGACTTATGAAACCATCCGCGTGGGGTCTGGAATGCGTGAGATTCGTCAAATAAAACCCGCCCATGAGCCAAAGAATGACGCCAGTGCAAAATTCTCGGCCAGTCGGGCCCTGACAGCTGCGTGGCTCCGATGCCGGGCGGATCGACGGCGGACTGGCTCTTACTTAATCGTCTGCCTTAGTTAGTGCGCCCTCTTCAGGCAATGCTTACGAGGTTTTGCTGAGCTGGCATGCCGTGCGGACCGGACGGGAAGTCCTCCAGGCAATGACAACACTGGATTTTGTCTCCTTGACGAGATCCTGTTTCGGACGATTTGTGCCAATTGTGATACAGAATATACTGCAAATGATTCAAACTCTCCATCGTGTTTACTATGCCCAATTGAAAAGGGAGGGAAATCCCTACGCTGTTAGGTAACTCTCAAAGCATAGACCAGCTGTCTCGGAGCCTGGCGTTAGGCTCCGAGCTGGAGATGTTTTTTCTTTAGCTGCTAGGCTGCTAGGGGGAAAAGGAGCTTTGAAAATTGAAAACTCTGACAGTTAAGGTCCCAGCTGAACAGGGGGAAAAAGAAAAACCAAAAAAAACTCCAGCCGTTAGCTTGTATGTTTCAGGAATCAGCGTTCGGATTCGCTCAAAGAAGAGACCTCCATAGACATCTTCGGGTACTTAGAGTAGGGTTGGGCTACATGCATAGGACTGCAGGCCTGACGCAGTCGGTACTCCTACTGTACTACGGGTGGGCTTACAAAATCCACGCATTCCACCCTCAACATTCCGGATTCATTGACCACTTTGCTCGTCCAGACTGTCCAGGCCCTAACCCTTGCATCCCGCCATGATATTCTAACACATTCCATGTCTGAAACGCGGTCAATTCCAACACGTGGACCCACGTCAAAAAACAGGCAAACCGTCTTGTTCTAGACGTTCTCCCTTGCAGGACCCCCTACCGAATCCGGGCAGTGCGAGGCACAGTCATGCCTTTCAGCTCAATCGGTTAGCTTCGATCTGATGGCTATCGACTTGCGCGATAAAAATCATCCGCTGCGGCTGTTGAGTTGAAACCCGGGTGGACCACGTCTTTTGCCTGGTTCATTCTATCCGACGGGCAGCATTAAGCGATTCGCAATTGAACCGTGTTTCTACTTCCCAGCGCTCTAGTCACACACTGCCAGGAAATCTCGCGAGACAGGAGAAGCCTTCAAGGGGGTCACTAGACGGATCAATGGCTAGAACGTGGCCATTCTTCAGGAGATGGTCCCGCTCGGCAGCATCCTTAATTACGCCCTCAAGGTTGCGCAACGTCTCCACAACGGTGAATCTGGAATGTACGCTTTAAGTCGGCACTCGAGGTTCAGTCAGGCATGGAAATTGTCGGCTGCGAAGAATCGCATTTGAATTGCAATGGTAGACGGCCGTTGTCCTAGCAGCGTCGGTTCTCCCTGATCGGTATAAGCGAGTGGCTTGAGTGTATAGACGGTCAGATCCATACACTCGGCACTGTATGTGTGTCAGTCAGCCCGTCAAAAGCCACAGTGGCACTTGGTACGCTTGCCGGATTGGCTCTGCCGTCTGGGGAAGGATCATCGACTTGACACATTCGGGCCCGATCGCGTGGTCATTCCCGGGTCATACCATAAAAACTGAAACTCATTTTGTGTGAGGATAAAGTTGGGTCCCCGTCCCCGAAGATCCTGTATCAGAACGAATGATTCATGTTCTAGACTCTCCAATGCAGTCTCCGGCTCACCCTTGGTACAAGTCCACCTCGACTGAGAATCCGGATCTAGAAACCCAATTCCAGATTGACATCTGCCTAGGTTCTTGGATGATATGATAGGTAGCTTCAGCTTTCCTTCTCTAGTTGCAAGGAATGTGTGCCCCGTTTTCGGTCATAACTTCGGATCAATCAAGGACTCTCTAGGGTGGTCAATTTTTACCGCCTTGGTCATTGTTACCGAGGTAGAATGGGGCCTTACGATGTGATTCAAGGTGGCCAAATCGATTGATCTCCTCTTCAGAGTGGTGGAATTCGCACACCACACTCGTCAGTGTCTGGGTTAAAATGAAATGCCGTGGTGTATTCAATGGGTAGAATATCACGTTGTAGGGGAGCCATGTGCCGCTTCCAATTGTAGATCGACACCGTCAAATGTCAGAGCGAGTCGGCATTCTATGACTTGCTAATCTGCCAATCTCTGAGGTCTTTGGGGCACACCGTTCTCGATCGAGTGGTGCAGTGCCCTCTTCACCTCTTTTGATTAGCCGGTTAATTCCAATCTTTTCGGGGCGGGAAGTACGTTATGGCCTCAAGACGAAGCTTCGGCCGAAACTGAGAGTAAGTTAGGTGAACCTAGGCGATCACGAATCAGATCAGATGGTGGCTCGATGGTAACTTTATGACATACAGTGTACTGTAATGATTATTATCACGGTTGAGACTATCAGATTTCATAGTACTTGGATACGTCTTCCAGAGGAATGCCGCGAAGTCCGGACCAATGAACCCGCTCTTGGATATATATCAGAGAGCTGGAAGTGATTTAGTTCAGGTTTGTTGGAGGTTGGGCTAGGTAGTCAGGCATTTGCTACCGCCCTTACATTTTACCCGGGTTGGTTTGTGTTCTCATATAGGACCAATTCAATACCTAAGTAAAAGTTGACCGCGACTATCAGGATTCCCGGGTTGTATCTGATTATTTATGCGAGAGGCCTAGAGAGTGTGGTAAAAAGTATGAATACACGGAAATATATGGACATAGCCCGGTGATTAAGCCGTTGTTAGATGCTGAATTTTGATTTAGTATCAATTATATTCATGAAAACGAAAAGATCAATGGATAGATATGTCAGTCATGTAGCGTAGTAGTGATATCTACTGTATGATCAATATCTAGCCTTCATTCACTGATCGAAGAGCCTTGAAGTAGAAAGACTGACCACTCACTGCGCCGTGGTGGTTGAAGTAGTCGAGCAATAGCCCCAGGCACCTCCATGTGCACATGCGTAGTGCCCCTTGGGTTTGAATACTGGACATGACTTATTTCAGAATACTCTTCGAGGCGCGAGACTGATAGCTCCGAGATACCCGCGAGGCGCTCTATTTACATTACACTAGATTGATATCACTATAGCATCAACATTGAGATGTAGACTCCCGGATAATGGCAAGCGCCTCCTCTCCCTTCGGAGCCGTAGTGAGGTTCTCATAGCCCGTAGCAGTAACGAGAATATCATCCTCAATGCGAACACCACCGATATGCACATACTTTTCAGCAACGTCAAAGTCGATGTACTTTGCAAAAGGTTGTTTCCGCGCATTTGCGAGAGCAAGCGGCGAGAAATAGATGCCCGGTTCCACGGTGACCACCATGCCCTCTTCCAACAATGGGGCAGATAGCGTGCAAGGTGCAAGACTGCCGGCCGGGTTCAGAACCGAGCCATATTGATCGTGATCGAAGTCGGGATGCAGAGCCATGATGGAAGACTCGGATACATCGTGAACCTCCAGACCGACGTGGTGGCCTAGACCGTGTGGGAAGAAAACCTTGGATGCGCCTGAGGCCCGGATTTCGGAGAGACTACCACCTTTGAAGACACCGAGGTGTAGGAGTTCGATGATGGAGATTTCGTGGGCCAGGTCGTGCAGAGACAGGAAGCGCGTTCCTCGGCGGATGCGCTTGATACATTCCTCTTGCATGCGTTCGACGACGCGGTAGATGTCGCGGGCGTATATGCTGGGCCATTCGCCCGAAAGGGGAAAGGTTCGAGTCACATCGCTAGCATAGCACTGCCATTCCGCACCGGCATCGAGACATACGAGAGGCTTGTCCTTGAGAGACTCGTTGTTTCGATCGTAATGGAGAACTGCCGCGTTGGGTCCCGAAGCGGCGATAATCTGGTACGCTTGATTCGGCGCACCGTGGGAGATGCAGGTATCCAGGAACGATCCTTCAATTTGGGACTCGTTGGTCATCTTCTGGATGTTCTCGAGGATTTTTCGGTGAGCCAGACCCGACACTTTATTGGCCTGGCGAATCAAGCGAATCTCATACTCATCTTTGACACCCCGCGCTGCATCCATGGCAGGCATCAGCTGCTTGGCATCCAGTGGCAGCTCTGCCGGCAATCCCTTGGGGGTCTCCGAGTCATGGACCATATACAACAAGCTACTTTGCACTCGTTCACTCAACCAAGTTACCAGCTCCGGCTGGAGCGACGACTTATACAACACTCGATCAACATCGTATCGATCCTGAGCATCCTCACGCGACAAAGTCGGACCCATCCAGATCGCCCGATGGAGATCAAAGTCCGGTACATAGAGTGTCAAAATATCCAAGCTAATATCATATGTCAGAGCACAGTCGGGCTCGTCGACACCACTGAGATAGTAGAAGTAACGACGTTGACGAAACGGGCGCGATTGGTCGGAATCGCGCCAATTGACCGTGGGCTGACCAGCGATGAAAATCAGGCCATGCGACACCCCAAGCTTGCGGGCAACGTTGCGCGCATGTTGTTTAGCTATGCGACAGAGTTCGATTAGCTCGAATTATCGGCGAGATTGCCGATCGGGAGTCCATTGAATTCAAGGGAGGGAATTCTTCAGTGGGCAACAGGGATTCTTCTCCTTTGGTGGGGGAAGGGCGACAGTGGACTTACCAGGATATTTATCGTGAGAGGTTCCAGTTATGGCAAGGCGGATTTGAATGGAGTCGACGGCGTTGATGATGACATCGGCCTGCTTTGCCAAGGAGGCGTCGCGGGGAGTGCCGCGAGCCTTTGCACGCATCGTCTGATCGCCGAAGGAGAAGTGTTGGAGAAAAGTGACAAGTGACAAGTCACGAGAGGAGGGGGGTCACGCTTTGGTTCTGGTTCAAAAGGCCCCAGCCACGCAAGGAGCCACGAGGGAGAGGGGAAGAAAAGGAGGAGGGAAGGAGGCTTATCCTGAGTAGGGATGGGGTGCCCGTACGATATGTGCTGATACCGCCATTCCTCTCCCGCCTTAGGTCCAAGGGCCGAGATGACAGGTTCGAAGGGGGAAAAAAAAAGCACAGTCCCCTGGGGAGAAAAAGGCACAGAGATCACATTGGAGAGCTATTGCAGGAGGAGGTCAAAAATGCCCTTTCGACCTTGCCTTGCATCTGAAGGGTATGGCGGTGGACGCAGGACCGCCGCAGGTCGAGACTAAATAAGCGTACTCGGGACGACTCTACCCTCGGCCGGAAACGTCACATCTTGCAGAGAGAGTCCACCGCCCCAGGCCTGTATCTCCTCTATTTTATCCCGTTAGCCTCGTCTCATTTATCTACTTGCTTCCTCCAGTGGCAGACTGTGTGCAAGAAGAGCTCCTGGCCAGCTAAATTTTGCAAAGAACTACTTTTATCTCTCTCTTGTCTCTCGCCGGTTGATCGGCCAATCTTACCCACTTATTCCTCTTTTCTGCCCGCCACCTCGACCGCCGGCCCACTTCCAACTGGGCTCGGACACCCACTTGCTACTCTCTCTACTCCACGACCATTGCAGCCTCACGCCTCTCGCATCTTCCTCTTCCATCACTCGTTCGTTCTGATCTCATTGCCTGCGCCTCATCTTCCATACCTCTTTGTCAGTCAATGAACGATGCAGAGCCCTGAGGCATCGGGCCCCGGTGCGCTCGCTGGCCTGCCCTCTACGCTCAAATCGGTGATAGCCACTCCGTCGACGTCACCGCTCGACCTCATCCTACAGACGCAGACCATTTCAACCGCTACTCAGACCGCGGCCGCATTCTCTCAACGACAAATACAAGAAAGCCTGCAGAATGTTATCTCCAGTCTGTCCTCGTCGCCCGATGGCACCGCGCACGACGTTGCCGCCAGTGGCGACTCCTCCGGCTCGACCGGCAAAGGCATCTTGATAGGCATCCTCTCGGCCTTTGGATCGGCAGCGATTGCATTTGTGGTGCTTGCGATCTTCTTTTTCTTCAAATATACCCGTCGCGGGCGCATTATGCTCGATCGCATTGGTCGCCCGGGTGAATATGACGATGAACAAGCCTTTCTGCGAGAGGAAGAAACGGCGATGGAGACGATGGATGACCTGACGCGATCAGAGTATCTCCGCGCGAAAGGTAGGCTACAAGTCGATCTAGATAGCGTCTTAAACCCCCAGAATTCTTACTGACAGCCCATCCAGCTTTCGTCCAGGCCAACCCTCCAGAATCTATGCAAACCGATATTTCCCTGTCGCAGTTCCTCGCCATTCAAGAAAAGGGTGTATCCGCTTGGGAGTTCCAACCGGAATTAGAGATTGCCAACTGTTTTGTGGAAGGACGAACGGAAATTGAGTTCTTCGACTCGGAGTGCAGCGTGCAGACCAATCTACCTCTTCCGAAACAGAACGAGGTCTATTACTGGGAGGCCAAGATCTACGATAAGCCCGAGTCAACAATGATCGGTATCGGTCTGACGACTAAACCGTACCCCCTTTTCCGAATGCCTGGTATGAATCTCTTGGGGTTTCCATCACTTTTCTTGCAGCCACCTCGGCTGTTCCTTAGCAGTCCCGCTAACTAGTCCCTCTCTAGGCTTCCACAAAACATCCGTTGCCTACCAATCAACCGGCCACCGCCGACACAATCAACCATTCACGCCGACCCCATATGGCCCACCACTCCTCCAAGGCGACGTCATTGGCGTCGGCTACCGACCGCGATCGGGGACTATTTTCTTTACTCGCAATGGCAAGAAGCTGGAAGACGTCGTTCACAACTACCGTGCCCAGAATCTGTTTCCAACAGTTGGAGCCAACGGTCCCTGCACCATTCATGTTAATTTTGGCCAGATGGGCTTCGTATTCATCGAAGCTAATGTGAAGAAATGGGGCCTAGCCCCCATGACAGGCAGCCTTGCTCCGCCTCCACCCTATGGCAGCGAGCAAGGCAGCATCCTCCTGGAGTCTGGCCGGGAAAGCGCTGCTTCAATATCTCAGCGCGTTTATCAATCATATCACGCCCGGAATGCCGGTATTGGGATCCCCCAGGCCGTCAGTCCTGGTCCAATTCGATCCCCGACCGACATCTCCCTTGCCCAGCTGGCCCATATTCCATCCAACGAGGATGCCGGGGAAGGCTCTAGCCACATCGGGGTGGATGGAGAAGATGCCAGTACCCCTGTGGCTGGTCCTTTGGCCGGCGCTCCAGAAGATCACGAGGCCCCGCCCCCAGAGTATTCGAGTCCGGAAGGTAGTCGCAGAGGTAGTGATGCTTCTCTAGAATTCCCTGCTCGCCGCTCTGGGGAATTGAGCCCGCCTGGAGATGCTCATGCTGCCGATCTTGGAACTCAAAACTTGCCAAGCTATCAAGCCGTGGTCGATCGGGATTTCCATGGACATCAATAAGAGCCATACCTCGCGCCTGGCACCGAGCCTCCTTCTCTTATATTATACGTCTTTTTTTACGAACATACCCTCTCGTTATGGCCTTTGTTGTCGCTTTTCGTGCTTCGACCACGGTCGGACCACTCTCTACCCCATTTTCTTTTGGATTTATTTTCTCTTTTTCTATAGTTAGCGAGTCCACGGATGGCGTTTTAGCAACTCGGGTGGGCTGGTTCTCAGAATGTGCTTTTTTGCTTATCAGGAATTTCTTGGGGGGTCTTTCTATCTTGGGATGAATCGGGTTTTATGGTTTTCACTGGACCACACGATCAGGCACAGGAACAAGCGGTCTTTTGCTCTCTCTCTTCATCGCTGCACCTCTCCATCAATCGCTCATTGTTACCCCTGGTCATTGTTATACGTTGTCAGCAGCCGGTCTGTACATTTTGTCATCTAGCATCCTCATATCCCGGGAGGACTCCTGGAGTGCAAGTATCTATACTCTCAACCATTGATCTGGCTGGACAGCTGCCGCTGCTTCTTATCAAGAAATAATTTGTCGCAAATCGATGTAATTCTCTCTCTTGTAGCAAAGCTTGTAGAATGGAAAGTGTATTCCATATGAGACTGTATATATTGATATACCTGTGAGGACTCAGAGAAATAATGAAAAGACGCAGGGCAAAATGACTAGGGTAAGGCTGCTGCCACCCCGAGGGCCGTATATCTCTATCTGACGGACTCAACTTGCTCAATTCGTTATGAGCACAAGTACAAGTCCCTTCCGGAAACTCTTGAGATCTTTTTCCGGGCAACTCACATGATATCTCTCGATCCAAGTACGTAACGTTAGTCAAGTTAACTAGTTAGTTATCTTTCGAAATATGACTAATTGGAAAATTTGAAATTGAGTCAAGATTCTGAACATACCATCAGACCCCACTATAGAGTAATAAGTGTGCTAGTCAGATAGCGGTGGCTACCAGATAGATATGTTTCGCTATCCCAGTGGCAACGGCCTCGCCTAAGAGCTATGGGGATCGGTCTCGTACCCCATTTGCTAGCGGAACGTCATTGATTAACCTTTCGATTAGACTCATACCCATGGATCGTCCGCCCGCTTATCAGCTCCGCATTTCTGCTTGAACCTCAACCCTTTTCTTCCCAGCTGGATGCCTTGCATAACCACAAAACTAGCACAGGATGTAAAGAGGGCTGTCGGCCTCCCAGCCTTCACTCCCACAGTCTCCACAATAAGCAATTGCTAATCTGACTTGGCTTCACGGTGCCCCGAAGGTGGAGTTGAATGCGCCAAGGCCAGCCCCCTAGTTGCCCCGGAGCGCTCTGAGCGCGTCACAGATCCTTCGCAAATCTGATCCTTTTAAAACCTCGTCAGTTTCATCCAAGACGCATATTCGATTCAGCTTCAGTTCTCCCCAGAGTGTCTCAGGTGCGCAAGGTCTCCGCGCCTCCATCCAAGGCTTTGTAGTGCCGCCGCACATTGTGCTGCAGCCCCCACCAAGAACAAAGCCTCGATCCGCCCCCGATCGGCTGAGATATTGCGGCGCCGTACATTGTTGTGCGCGGAGCTCGTTGTCGCTGCAGCAGTGGCTACCTGGGGAACGCAATCCCTGGTCATCATCCAATCGGCGCTCCGCTACTAGGGTTTTACGTGCAGTAGCGTCCTGTCCTGTGCTGCAGCCTGCACTTTGGTGCGCCTCTCTTGCTGGTGGTACAAACTGGGGAAGGGGTCCCACCACTGGGCGGAGTCTTTTGTCTCGCTTTCAAAGGACCAAGCTACAAGCGCGCCTGAATTTATCTGCGGCCAACGTGCACCTGCCTCGCCTGCGCTTGCGGGATCTCATTTTTGCCCGACACTTGAATGACTCGTGGTTCCCGTTCCTTGTCACTAATCGCACTTTCTTCGCGTTTCTGCCCGCATAGTGGCACTAACAGTCGAGCTCGGCGGCTGCATCTCCGTTGTTTTGCGAAAGACTGTCTTAAATAGTTACCACTTTGCGGCTCAGGCAGTATCTAGAATCTCGGCCCAACACTCTGACCTAGCCCTACGAGTGGTATAGATTGGTCGTTATCAGGGTAAGACAATTACATTTTTGTTTAACCAGCACGCTATTAACAGGCATCAGGGTTACCGACGTGGTTCCTCACTCATCTAGACGGCCAAGACTTATTGATCCGTGTCTCACACACTGGACAACGCGGCGACGTGCGTGAGCAGAGAATGGCAGAAAGTGAAAAACCCGCGTTCCAAGTCATTGTCTTGGTGAGTGACTCTTGATCTCCATCTTTGCCTTGTGCATCTCCCGCCCGGTCACGTGTTAGATCTAGGTGTCGGTGATCTACGATCTAGCCCCTCTGTTCTTTGCGCTTTGAAACGATGTGGATCCATTCCCGGATTCTAGCGTCCTGAGTCCCTGCCACTTGATTGATCAGAATGCTAACCCTGTATAGGGCCCCAATGGCGGTCCCCGAGAAGACAGCGTCACAGGTCTTCTTGTGCGATCAACATCCATGAATTGGTCTCCCGGCTCGGTCGTTGCCGTAGATGCGGGAACTCTGCTTGCGGGGATCATTCGCGTACTGAAGAACTTCCTACCGAATTCCAAGAATGAAGAGGGAATCATGACGGCCGGGCCTTTCAAGGGTCTTCCGCTGCCCGCCCAAAGTGCTGAAGCCAATGCTGCACATATCTTCCGCGAGATCATCGGCGCCGTCTTGATCACACACCCTCATCTGGATCATATCTCGGGCTTGGCGATCAACACACCGATCTTAGAGGCGGGAAACGGACCTAAACCTGTCGCGGCTCTTCCGTCAGTACTATCTGCAATCAAAAACCACATGTTTAACGACATTATCTGGCCGAACTTGTCAGATGAGGATGGTGGTGCCGGTTTGCTCACGTACCAACGCTTGGTTGAAGGCGGAAACACGAGATTCGGTAGCGGAGAGAGCAGGGGTTACGTTCGCGCCTGTAATGGCCTTTTGGCCAAGTGTCTCGCCGTCAGTCACGGTAGTTGCAAGCAGCGATACCATCCCGAGTCCGCCGCGCATCACAGAATCGGAAGTGCCGTGTTTCCTTCAGAGCAATTGATGCTACCATCCAGGGCGGTTTCCATGGATCATACCGAAGGAAGGTGAGCAATATCCATGCGTTTAGTTTATGGTGAGATGACAAGGAATAAAGATGCTAATGTTATGCCAGTTTTTACTCACCGGCTCGCTCACCACGTCTCCTCCCAGCCAATGCCAAAGAACCTATGCTGGCTACCGTCGAAAGCTCCGCATTCTTCCTTCGTGACCACCGCACTGCTAAAGAAATTATCATATTCGGAGATCTCGAGCCAGACACGATTTCTCTCGAACCACGCAACAAACGCGTCTGGGAGGCGGCGGCCCCTAAAGTCCATGCAGGTACACTGCGGGCTATTTTTATTGAATGCTCCTTCAGTGATAGCATCGATGATGCCTATCTCTACGGTCACCTATGCCCCCGACACATGATAGCCGAGCTGAGTGTACTTGCCACAAAGGTCATGGCCTTTCGTGATCCTGCATCCTTGCCCGATAGGAAGCGCAAACGGCCCAATACCAGCTTTGGCGACGGTACGGGCAGTCCAGTCAGCCCACGAACGAAACGTGGCTCCAACCCCTCGATCGAGAAGGAGCAGAAAGTGGAACCTCGCTCGGGTGATTCGTACGGTGTAGACCTGTCCGAAAACTTTGGCGATGGCACCGACAGTAGGGATGTCGAAGTGCCTAATATTGCAAGCTGGGCAGATGCTGATCCTCTGCCACTGACCGGGCTGTCTGTTTACATTATTCATATCAAGGAGAATTTGACCGATGGTCCAGCCCCTCAAGATCAAATCCTTCGGGAGCTTCGGGACCATGCCAAGGAGGCGCATTTGGGGTGTGAATTCTTCCTTCCGGATCCGATGGAGGCTATTTGGGTTTGAGTGGGATGGGTGCTTGGACGGGGTAATTTTTTTTTCCTGTTTTTTGTCGGTTTCAGCGCGGCGGTGTTCTATCTCTGTTCTGGGAGGATAAATGGTTTTTTTTTTCCATGGATGTTTGCATTTACTTCTCAGCATATCAATTAAACAGCATGCCGCTCAGAGGGTGGTTGATTCGAAACAGTCCCTGTCTAAGATCAAGAAAGGCAGTCGTTGATCATCGTGATGTGCGAGCCATTAAACCTCGAGAGAATTCTTGATCCCCAATTCATGAGTGAACCACCCGATATACACCACAATCACTAAACCAAGATGATAGCAGCCCCCAGAACCATACTCAAAACAGTCACAGAGAAGACAATACCCATGACATCCCACGATCCCGTTGCAGACGGCAGTCTCACCGCAGCATTAGAAGTAGCCGTAGCCGCCGCGGTCGCAGTGGCCTCGTAATCAGCCGGTCTATGAATCAACGTCACGAAAGGTAGAACCGAGTAGGCGACGAGACTGCTCGTCCCAGTTCCATTAGAAGTGACTGTTGTGGTCTGATCAAGAGGTACAGTACCAACAAGGGTGTATACACTGGCCACGATCGTCTGCCCATCGTACCAGAATGTGCGGTCGACTGCTGACAAGTCAGCGGTTGGAATGACTCTCTCACAGCCGGTGGTAAACTTGTAGTCCGGTAGAGTCGAGTAGCATCCGATGTAATAGCCGGCAGTCATGGAACTGTAACATCTTAGTGGACGCGCCTGATTGAGACGTAATATGTAAGGACGTTGACTTTACCTCGGATAACAAACCATCGCCGTCTCACTCGCATCCAGGAGTTGCGTAAGCACATTTCCGGGGTTATTAAAGATAGCCCCGTCAACGGTCGTCGGTATAGCCACGGTAGGACTGAAAAGACCGGACCAAGTTACTGACGCGGTGCCATTGCTTGACGCAAGGCCGGCAGTCGTCCATCCAGATGGACAGTATAGACCCGGCGAGAAAATGCTTCCTGGAATAGGTTCGTCGGGTTTAGGTTGGTGGCTAGTGCAGGATCAGCGGATTCACCCGTTGGAACGCAGCTGTATTCTCTGACTTGGCAGCTTACATCGTAGTAGGCTCTTCCTGGTAACTTGGTCAAGCCAATTCTAACATGATCCGTTAAAGTGGCACAGCTGGCTGGGGCTGTCCAGGTCGTTGTGAGGGGACCTAGATTGGTGAATGTATATTCGGAGAGGACAGATGAGATCGGCATCTTTTCGTTTTAAATTGATCAATCTAGAAGGATACTGTTCGAGCTAGGAGTAGTCTGTCGATTGTGTCAATTAGGCGGAGGAGAAGAGGATATAGAGGTTTAAAAGGGAAGATATACAACTACAATATGGCATAGCCAAACCTACTTCTGAGACAAGCATTGGGAATAAAGAGCCCCAGGGGCTTAGCTAGACGCCTCAAACCACATTCCATCCACTTATACAGGTTTGCTACGGATTTATGTCCGCGATGCCGCAAGTAAGCACTAGAACGACCTTTGCGTCCAATGAAGCCTCTGTGGCTTTCGGCATTCGAATCGCTCGGATATAGGAGTACGTAGCCCGGTTTAAAAACATAGCCAATGATTTAGGAATACTAAGAAATTGTTCTTAGGAACGCAATATACTGACTCTCTGCACCTGGTAGATTCATCCTTCTGTACTCGAATGGTTTAGACATAACGAGCGTCACTCAGCTTTGATGCCGAAATGGCGTGCAGAGCTTGTTATTTATGGAGGATATGTTGACGATCACGGTGGACTTCTATCATGGCCCAGCCTATTGACAATTAACTAACTTGCGTGATTAATGTGGTTTTTCTCTGCCGGCTTGCTAGTCAAGGACACTTTCTATTTTACCCGGCAGCTTAAGTCATCTTGTTCCTCACAATTAGTTAACTAGTTAGTTAACTACAGTGACTACGCAAAAGTTTGGACACCCCCCTAGACCCACCTGCTAGACCGCCTAAGGGTATATCCTACCGCCTTCCAAAAACGCGTAGCTAGAAAACACGCTATAATGCATACAACGCGATATTATTATGAATTGCTCACAATATACCAACTTACCTGCCTGATTTCTCTATCAATAACACCTTTTGGTGTATATCTTGCGTTTTACTACCATCGCGCGTTCAACTGAGCTTCTACCGGCGCTTCGAGAGCGTATATGCGAGCTTCACGCTATCGGCTGGGGGTATAAGCGTATTCATAAGCGCTATCCCTGGGGCTCTCTCTCTGGTATTCGATATACTATCAAGAAAGAGTCTGAGCGACGAATGGGTGTTTCGAAACCTCGATCTGGCCGCCCTAAGAAGCTTATAGAAGATGACAAAGCTCGAATCTTGCAGGTTATTGAGGAGACACCGCGTGTAACCTACGATGATCTACTTTCTGAGGTTTCTTATAAAGTGAAAAAGGATTCAATTCGCCGATTGTTAAACGCTGAGAATATGCGTAAGTGGCGCTGCTCTTGGAGACCCTATCTCGACGATAAACACGCGGCTAAACGCCTCCGATGGGCTTTACAATATCAGAACTTTACACCCGCTGATTGGGCCCGTGTTTACTGGTCTGATGAGTGTACTGTTGAGCGTGGGATTGGTATACGCCGCGAATGGACCTTTATACGTCCTCGGGATCAACCAAAAAAGCGTGAATGTCAAGGGTTACCGCACCGCGGTAAGCAGGTTAAGCAGATGTTTTGGGCTGCTTTCTCTGCGGATCGCCGCACTGGTTTAATTCCTCTATTCGGAGATCCTACTTCCGAGCGTGGTGGTGTTAATCGATTCGTGATTGAAGAGTTATATCGTCGAGCCTTACCGACCTTATTGCCTACTGAGGATGGGATTTTTATGCATGATAACGCACCTACACATACCGCGTACGTTGTACGCGATGCATTGGCTGAAATGGAGATCGAGGTGATGGTTTGGCCACCTCATTCGCCTGACCTTAATCCAATTGAGAATCTATGGGCCCTTCTTAAAGCAGAAATCTATAAGATCCGGCCTGATCTTATGGATATGAAGAACAACGATGAGACTAAGAGGATTTTAGTGGAAACTGCGCAGATTGCATGGCAAAATATCGATATGAAGCATCTAGAACACCTCTCTGAGACCATGCCTAATAGGGTGCAAGCAATTATCGAATCAGAAGGGTGGTATACGCCATATTAGGCGTATGTTATCTAGTCTTGTGGTAGAGAATTGATTATCTAGAGGTTTTGCGACCGGCAGAATATTATGTAATATAGGGGGTGTGGGGCTGGGGGGTGTCCAAACTTTTGCGTAGTCACTGTAACTAACTAAGTTAGTTAAGTTAACTAGTTAACTAACGTAATCCACGGCCGACCGGATCACACGGCCGACCGGATCACCTACCCCCATAAGAATATTTCAAAATCGATTATCTCAACCAACACCTATCAATTCAATTAGATATAGCGATTTTTACATACATTAATCCTGTGGCCAATCTCCCTGCATCCACTACACCTAGGCGGAGCCCTAGCTGCTGGCCTAGTTGGCTGACTAGGCAATTCGACCTCTGCATGCGAATCTACCCCATCATCTTCCTCTGGCTGGTTTAGCTGCGTAGCTAGCTGTATAGCCTCTTCAATGGTTAAACCCTCTTCGTAGGGTATCTTCTTAGTTTACCGATTGCGCTTTTTGACCATCTTCTTATTCGCTATGCGTAAATTCGCGTTTTCCTCTGCTAGTAGTGCACTGCTTTGAAGCGCTAGCTGGAACCCCTTAATCATCTGGTCTAGGATCTCCTTTGATTGGCTCGGAGGGCTATTTTACCGCCGTTTTAGTAGATCTTTTAACATAGAAGCTTGCTTGAATAGCTTAGTAGCGGTTCTAGGCGTTTGTGGTGTGAATTCGCTAGATCTTCTTCTTTGCCGGCTGTTTTGTGGTGTTGGAGTTCGTAGAGAGATATTAAGCTTATTAAGTACTCTCTCAGCATCTAATGGTACTAGACCGCTAGCTGCGAAGCTGTTTTTGATAGTAGGATTGGTTGATTGGAACGCTTCTAGCCGCGCGTGCTGGTAATCCACTAAGAAATCGTGCTTGTCGATATGGTTATATCCTCTACGCGCAAGATCGCTAACGAAGCGACCGTACGCGCGCTTAACCACTGCAAAACACCCAACATCTAGTGGTTGTAGTAGATGCGATGAATGCGCAGGCATGCAAAGAGGTATAATATCGTTTTCTGTGCAGATTCGGTCGAATTGGGGTGTAAGGTGGCTACCATGACCATCAAGAATCAATAGCCGAAACCGACCTCGTACGCGCGAATTCGTATATGGTATAAAGATCTTTTGTAACCAGCGTAGGCCAATCTCATGGGTAGTCCAACCGTTGGCAGAGACCTCGATTCGCCAGTCTTTCGGTAGATTTTCGTTAAACCATCCTGCAATAGCCACTTTGCCTTTGAAGACTATACATGGCGGTAGTGAATAGCCATCTGCGCAGATTGCTTCGATCGCAGTAACCCATTCGCGATTTCCTGGTTGTAGAAGACGTGGCCGACCGTAGTATTCAGCTCTTGTAACCACTTTCTGCGAAGATATAAGGCCCATTGCAAAGCCTGTCTCATCAAAGTTGTAGATATCCTCCGGTTGTATACCCTTGTCATCGATTGTGCGCTGTACGGTCGTAAACCACTGCCGAATCGATTTCGGATCTTCGTTTAGGGCTCTTTGGTAATCATATCTTCGCGAGAAGCGAGATCGAAGCTCATCGCGGCGTTTAATAAAGCTTGATGGCCAATTGACACCAACAGTAGGCGGAGGGTTACTACCGCGCGTAGCAAGCAGGATATTAGCCATTTCTCCCACAGTAGCCGGTCTAGGCGCTGCTCCACGTGAATCCATAGATAATATCCACTCAGCAAGCGCATCCTCTTCGGTTTGGGTCAATTTATGACCAGATGGGCGCTTATCAACGCGTGAGACGCGGCCATCGGCGCGCGCATGTAGGGTAGTGTAGGGTATCTCATATAGCTTTGCTGCTGCGCGGATAGAAGAGATACGGCCCTCTTTTAAATCAGAAAGGGCCAATAGGATCTTGCCCTCTTGGTTGGCCAATTTATGGCTAGATTCACTGCGAATTGGTGGCATGGTAGGTGGTTGAATTAATCAGGTTGGTAGAAAGACGCGAATTTAGAAGGGGTGATCCGGTCGGCCGTGTGATCCGGTCGGCCGTGGATTACGTTAGTTACCAGAACCTGCATAGTAAGCAGGAGAAGCATAACCCAGTTCGAGTCAAGGATAAGCCCCACCGCCTCCCCCACGAATCCCCAGTGCCGCCGATAACCGAGGCTCTTTCGGCCGCTCTCACTTTCCCTTGTGATTTATTGCTCTTCACGTTCACATTCACGTTCTCTTCCCTCTTCCTCCCTTCTCTATTCGTACACGACAGAATCATACCCCTCTACACACTTCACCCCCTCATTACTGTCGCAATGGCCTCCATCACCCGCGCCTTGCGACCCCTGTCACGCACTACTCCCTCGGCCCGTCTGGCCTCCAAGCGGCTGGCTACCGTTCGCCCGATTCAGAGGTATGTTGATCTACACCGACACGGACATGCGGATGCCGCTTGACTCGGCTTCAAAGAGCAATCCTCAACTAAATTGTCCCGGTCGATAGTGCTTATGCCTTCTCGACCACCCCCCGCCGGCGGGATGCCGACCTCTCCGAGCTGACCCCGACGCCCATCTCGCTCTTGTCCGAGACCGAGACCATGATGGCCGACATGGTGTCCAAGTTTGCCTCCGAACAGATCGGCCCGAAGGTTCGGGATATGGACGAAGCCGAGACGATGGACCCTTCCGTTGTCGAGGGTCTCTTCGAGCAGGGTGTCATGGGTATCGAAATTCCCGAGGAGTTCGGCGGAGCGGGCATGAACTTCACTGCTGCTATTGTCGCGATCGAGGAGTTAGCACGTGTCGACCCCAGTGTCAGTGTCATGGTCGATGTCCACAACACTCTCGTCAACACTGCTATCATGAAGTACGGCGATGCCCAGGCTCACCGCACCTGGTTGCCCAAGCTCAGCACTGGCACCGTCGGCTCGTTCTGCCTGTCCGAGCCCGTCTCCGGATCGGACGCTTTCGCCCTGCAGACCAAGGCCGAGAAGACCGCCGACGGCTACAAAATCAACGGCTCCAAGATGTGGATCACCAACGCCATGGAGTCCGGCATCTTCATTGTCTTTGCCAACCTCAACCCCAGCGCTGGATACAAGGGTATCACCGCTTTCATTGTGGAGAAGGGTACCCCCGGTTTCTCCATCGCTAAGAAGGAGAAGAAGCTCGGTATCCGCGCTAGCAGCACCTGCGTGCTGAACTTTGACGACGTCGTCATCCCCAAGAGCAACATTCTCGGCGAGGAGGGCAAGGGTTACAAGATCGCCATTGAGATCTTGAACGAGGGTCGTATCGGTATCGCCGCTCAGATGACCGGCCTGGCCCTCGGTGCCTGGGAGCACGCTGCTCGGTAAGTGGTGTTTTCCCACAGATTATGTCAATCCCATGCTTACCAACGTATTCAAGCTACGTCTGGAACGACCGCAAGCAGTTCGGCCAGCTCATTGGCGAGTTCCAGGGCATGCAGCACCAGATCGCGCAGGCCTACACCGAGATCGCCGCCGCGCGAGCTCTGGTCTACAACGCCGCCCGCAAGAAGGAGGCCGGCCAAGACTTCGTCAAGGACGCTGCCATGGCCAAGCTCTACGCTTCCCAGGTTGCTGGCCGCGTGGCTGGTTCCGCGGTCGAGTGGATGGGTGGTATGGGCTTCGTCCGGGAGGGTATTGCCGAGAAGATGTTCCGAGACAGCAAGATCGGTGCCATCTACGAGGGAACCAGCAACATTCAGCTGCAGACGATCGCCAAAATGCTACAGAAGCAGTATACGAACTAGATTAGAGAACTAACTACGAATTAGTCTTGAATATTTGGGGGTTTCCTTTTTGCGATAAATATGGGTTGACATGCGCGCGTTGATGATGATGTTTTGTACATTCTTCGCAGCTTTGGGAGTCTAGGGCATCATTGATTGGAATTGATCAGGGCTTTCTCCGTTGCATCTTCTTGGTGTATCATCAGTGTGGACCTCGTAGTGCCGGCACCATTCTTGTATCACTTAATACGATAGTCTCTAGGCGATCGAGCTTTCCCCAGATGGCCATGTGCTGAGTGTCCCAGAATCTGAATTTGAAAGAAGCGTCTCTGTCATGAATGGAACTGTCGACCTCTGATTGCCTATATACCTCCCCATAATGCTCTATCGCAATCTCTTGATGCCGAAGTACATACTTTGGAGACTGGCCGGGACTACACCTAAAGGCAGCCACCTCTACATACCTCCTAGAGTCTGAATTTCCTCAAAGAAATTAAGCATTCATATTTTAATATTTACAGTAGAGTTCTATTTATCATAAAAAACCAAAAAGAAGAAGTGCTGCGAGTAAGGTGAACCACCTCACTCGCATCCCGCCCGCCCACTCTCCCCGCCTAGGGATGTGCCCGGTTACCAGTGGAGATCCTGCTCGACACGGGAGACCGGTACTGTGGTTTCCCCTCATGGGGCACACCCAAATGGTCCATCCACTGAAGGTATGTCCAACTAGGCCATATGAGGGGGGAGAGTGACTGAAGGACCTGGAAGTGGGTGATAAACCTTCGGACACTTAGCGTTGAGAGTATGAATTATGGGGTTGTATTTGAAGCATTTGGTTGTATTTTCGCGTTCAATTCATGATCATGATCCATGTCGCTCATGCTCATCTATATTGATTGAAAGCAACCACTTTGGAGACATGATACTATGAAATTGATCCCCGATGGTTATTTATCTTGGGCTTGACTACCTTTTCGACAGAAGAGCCCGTGTCCGGAAAGACGCATCTCGCATTCAGCATGATTTTATGGTCTTTTTTCTGAAACAACCCCTTGTAATGTGTGGCATGTTCCTCCAGAATCTTGTGTTTGGGAAGCTTTATCGACGTCTCCATGAGGTTCTCTCCTGACCAGAGTAGCCACCATCCTGTAAACATTCGTCATATTCTGTCACCGGTCCGTCGGTGTCAAGCAATATGCCGAACCAAAACAAACCGCAGCAGGTTCACCAAAGAGTCGGTGTATTCAAGTCTGTGGGAGATTGAGGTCG